TTTGGCGATGAGGACCTGGCTGTCTTAGCAGGGCTTCAAGGTCAGGCAAAACGTGGACACAGCATTTGGGTCCGAATCGCAGCAGCAAACGAGATAGACTAGCGGGCGTATGCCTCCCAAAGATGAGCACGAAGCTTCCATTAGTTTGGCTTTCTTTTGTATTGCAAAATACTGCTGTGTGCTCTTGGACGTCCATTCTTCTGTATGGAACGCTGAGAACCTGCCAATAACTAACCATCCATCCAGTTGACCAAACGCCGTATTTCCCCACACTTTATTCAAATCCAGTGGTCATCCAAAGCCCGGTTCTTATCGAGATATTCGTACACCTGCTTGTAGTCCTTGCAGACGTGCTTCGCATCCCATCCATCGCTTCCCGTGAACCCAGGCGGGAACGTCGTCTGCGTGCCCTCCAGCGCGACATCGCCGGCGCACATGATGGCCTGCTCTCCACGATTAGTTCCCAATCACTAACAAGTAGAGAAAAAGGTCTACCGTTACTCACCTGCCTCAGATACTCGAAGCAATGCTGCAGATGCCACGGCCCCTCCGCGCCCTCGGTGCCCTCGGGGATATGCGAGTGCATGTCGACGTTGGCGCTGCCGTTGACCGCGAGCCCCGCGTAGCTCTCGAGAATGGCGTACAGGCAGTGCAGCTGGTGCGTCATGGACGTCGTGAAGACGGTGCGCGGGGCGAACTCGGGTAGGGGGACGGGGAGGTTGTCGTGGGCCTTTGGGTCCTTGATCACGAGGTAGCCCAGGCCCTTGGGGACGATAGAGAGCCACTGCTCTTGGAGTGAGGTGTTTGTGAAGAGCTTCTTTGGGTCGTCGGGGATGAAGTCTGTTGTCGGGTGGAACGTTGTGATTTGCTGTGTGACTGTGATGTGCGTCAGGATGGATTTTTGCTAGCAGTGGGAAAGGGCCTCCACGTACACTTTGGTGCGAATCCTGTGAGGTCGCCGACAGGCTCGAGACGCTTGTCAGGTGTGGTTTTTTGCAGCCCCCGTCGCTCGAGGAGCAGGCCGACGACGACGACCAACAGAAAGGTATCAACCAGCCAGCGCCAACGTCTGAAAAGGTTTCGTGCCGTCGCGCACTGACGGGCTCGTGATGACCCGCATCTGCCATCTTCAATATCTGCCCGCTTCCACTGCCTGCCCTCGTCGCTGAGGAGCGACACGCTGACGTCGGTCATGGAATCATCGTGGATGTCTGCCTCTCGACGGGCATCGGAGTAGGGCGTTTCACTGGGTTTCATAGCGCCAGCTCTACTATTCGGAATAATGTGACGAGAAAGAGGAGGATACAGCCGCTCAAACAAGCAGATGGCACGTGGATGTTATGCCCAGAATAATCAGTCTTTCGACTCTTGAGAAGCAAGTGGTTTGTGGTATCCAAAGTCTGACCAGCAAGTTGTCACGTCTCTGAGTGCCTCAGCCTGGCTATAGGAGGGGGCGACATCGCCTGCCTCCCTTGTATTCGTCGTTTTGAAACACCAGCATGGCGGCATCTGGGCTGATGTCGAGGGCGGCAACGCAGGCAAGGATCTCCGACACTTTGTGTATGAGGTGAGCGGAGCGCGGGAGGGTGTTTGGGACCGTGGACCGTGCAGGCCGCATCCCACGGGATGAATGGGGTTTCCACGTCGTGTTCATCCTCTTTGGCCATCATCTTGACATTTTGTTGTTGTATTGGATTGGAGATCGATATGTGCATGTGGGATGGGATGGGTTACGAAGGTTTTGACGAAATGATCACTTTGAACCCTTTTTGGTGAGCTTCTGTCAACGACAACAACAAACATTTTGTCTGCTCAACTCAAGCTCGGCTTCCACAAATTGTTCTAGAGGAATTGACCTTAAATTGAGGGCTTTTTGGGGTTGAAAAGTACTCAGAGCAGTGCTTTATAGTTTTAATGGATGAAGCTACTATGCAACGTTGAATTACACTGCAGTCATTGAACTAGTAAATAGTCGCCCCTAGGTGTTAGGGAATTGACGAAATCCACTTGCAAATCAACAAACTTGAGGGAGGACAGGAAGGAGAAAGAGAAGAGGAAAGGAAAAAGACGTGAAGCCAACAAAATTGGCAAGTACTCCATGGTGGGAAAACAAAATGATAACTGTGAGATTCGAACTCACGCCTCTTGCGAGACCAGAATGCGCATCCGCTGGACGGATGAAGCTTATTAAGCTTGAGTCTGGCGCCTTAGACCGCTCGGCCAAGTTACCTGTTGATATTTTAAGGCCCAAAAGAGACATCAGATAGCTGGCGCATCCTCTCCGGAATGCACGCAGAATTAAGCTCTGGTTTGACTTTCGGGATCGACAAACTCTCATCCGTCCTTTACAACTACGCAACACCGTTCCGACTTCATTCATAGTCGCCCCACTACCAAGAAGTGTCTGCCATCCCAATCTGCTCACATTATCAATGTCAGAATATCGCAGCCGCCCCTTATCAGAGCCAACACCTGACCGCTGAGTCCTGACCGCTCTTATCTCGGATCCAAATTCTATCCATCTTTCGGAATGGGCCCGGGCCTCGGCGATCTTACAAGCGCCGAGATTGAGCAGGAAAAATGTCTTACTGCGTCTGACAGGAGTCGGGCCGCTATCGTCGTCGACCACAATCATTCCACTTTCTTCTTGGTATCGTCTACCGTGGAGCCCCGGTGGGAATCAAAACAGCGGAGACGGCTCCAGAGCGGGAGTTGATGTCGGCAATCTCATTCATTTTCTGCCGCTGCAACTTGCACTTTTTGATGTTTCTTGCCAATGTCATCTCTGGTTCGAACTTCAGCAAGTCTTGAAGAACAAGCTGCCTGGCGTGTCTTCATCAACACTTTTATTTACTTGATACGCCAATCTAGCGATGCGTCTAGTGACGACCCGGGCATTCGAAATCATGCACTGCTACCGCGTATCTGGACTGCTAGCATCTTTACCGGCTGCAACGGCAGCAACAACCAAAGCAATGCGTGATGAACCCTCGCATCGCAGCGCCGCAAACAAGTGTTGACCGGGCTCGTCCGTCGGCACCACCCTATCGGGCCAAGTAGCGGAGACTTTAATAGCTTTTTCTCTCTCTCTTTCTCGCGTCTTTCTGTTTCTCCCCTGCCAACACCCTCCAATCTGGGACTCCAAGTGCGAAAGAGTGGACCCTAGTGGTGCAATGAGCGGTCCCATTCTCAGCCTCTTGCGACCAAGTTTATATCCGGTCAAGGGGTCTGACCTTGCCCGCCACGCAACCTGACCATTCATTCTTTCTCTCTTTTGCCGTCACTGCTACCCGATGGATTCTTTGAGACCACATTCGTTGATTTTTTCTTCTTATTCTGTATTCGAGATCTCGAATTGGAACGACAATAAGACCATCTTCGGCCGTTGCCCGAGCCCTTGATACAGGCTTGCAAGCGTATTTAATGTCTAATCTATCCTGACAGACTGCTCTCGTTCACTTTTGTCAAAATAGCGCGCTGTAGACCAAAGATCGTCACCCAATGTTGCAGCAGCAGTTCGATTCACCGAGACGTATCAAAGTAATTCGCCAAAGCAAAGGATATCCAATAACGAAACGTGCCGACTAAACAGTACAAGCCAACTTGGCAACAGACCTCCAGCCTAAACCCTTCACAATGACCGTCCGAGACGCGGCCACCACGACCGAAAAGTCCGGCTCCGGCCCGGGCCTTCGCTCAACCACGCCTTCCGAAACGACCCTCACCCCGGCCACCGACCCGGAACCCCAAGCAACAGCCGCGGCCGGCGCCCAGCCCGTAACGACATCCACCCCGGGCCCGGTCCCCGACGGCGGCCTCGAGGCCTGGATCCAGGTCCTCGGCTCCTGGGTCATCCTCGCCGACACCTGGGGCCTCGTCAACGCCTTTGGCGTCTATCAGACCTACTACGAACGAACCCTCCCCGGCGTCACCCCGTCCGCCATTTCCTGGATCGGCTCCATCCAGGGCGCCCTCCTCATGATGGTCGGCCCCATCTCGGGTCCCCTCTACGACGCCGGCTACTTCCGCGAGCTCCTCTGGGCCGGCATCTTCCTCATCCTCCTCGGCATGTTCATGACCTCCCTCTGCACGACCTACTGGCAGGTCCTCCTCGCCCAGGGGGTCTGCGTCGGCCTGGGCTGCGGCCTGACCTTCCTCCCTTCCACCGCCATCCTCAGCCAGTACTTCCACCGCCGCCGCGCCCTCGTCATCGGCATCGCCGCCACGGGGTCCCCGCTCGCGGGCATGTGCTTCCCCATCCTCTTTGGCCACCTCGAGCCCCGCATCGGCTTCGGCTGGACCACCCGCATCATAGCCTTCATCCTCCTCGGCCTCTCCGTCATCCCCGCCGTCTCCATGCACACCCGCCTCCCGCCCTCGGGCCACAAGCGCTCCCTCGTCGACCGCACCGCCCTGCGCGAACCGGCCTTCATGCTCGTCATGGCCGGCTCCTTTGTCGGCTTCCTGGCCATGTACGTGCCCTACTTTTACATCCAGCTCTTCGCCGTCAACCACGACATTGGCCCGGCAAACTTCTCGTCCTACTTTGTCACCCTGCTCAGCGCGGGGAGCGTCCCGGGGCGCGTGATTCCGAATTACCTGGCGGACAAGGTCGGCGCGCTGTACATGCAAATCTCCGTCGCTGCGGGCTCGGCCGTGCTCATGTTTGCGTGGCTGGGCATCCGCAACATGGCCGGCCTCGTCGTCTTTGCGATACTGTACGGCCTCTTCTCCGGCGGTATGGTGAGCATCTCGCCGACCGTTATTGTCAGCTTGTCGCCCGACCTGGGCCGCGTGGGCACGCGCCTGGGCATGGTCAACTTTATCGCGGGCATCGCCATACTCATCGGCACGCCTATTGCCGGGGCCATCTTGGGCGACTACAGCGGTGTGGCGTGGCAGGCCATGATTGGGTACGGCGCGGCGGCGTTGACGGTTGGATCAATGTTGCTTACGTCGGCAAAGATCTTTCAATTGAAGACGGCGCGGGATGTGAAGGCCTAAGGAGGGGCCTTGTTGATGGGCAATGAACTATAGATGGATGGATTTCTTACAGTTGGATTATATACCCCCTTTTTGCGAATAGATATGATTTGATTGTTCGACTACGGACCTATTCTACAAGGCTCACCTCACCTTGTCCACCACCAGCCACCACCTACAGCCGCCAAGCTTCCCAGCAAGACAGCCCACCTCGTCAGTCCCTTGAGAATCTGCTCTTTGGCAAACGCATCAATAGCATCCCCGTCATTGATCCTCGGAAACGGCACATCGGGCACTGGCTTCCCCAGCGCCTCGCACAACGGCCCCCACCCATCCTTGACATTATAAAACACCAACCTCTCCGCGGGCACGACCCTCCTCAACCACGCCTGATGCTGATCCCAAACCCCGCGCGTCGGCATGACCTCCTCCTGCGGGAACAGCTCGCCCCAGCGACCCTTGGGAATGGCATCAATGTACCGCGGAAACCAGCGCATCGTCGGCAACAAGAAGAGCGCAAACGATAAGAAAGCCTGCAGGCTCTTCTGCCCCGTCTGCCGTATACTCCGCACCCATGCATCCGGGTCGCGCATGGTGCAGAGCACGAGGGCGTCCGGGTGCAGCCCGACGAGTTCCTCGGTGAAGAGCATGCCGGGGACGTCGACGGTCGCGGCGTAGCCTTGCCCGAAATGGGTGCGGAGGACGTCGAGGACGACTTTTTCGTCGGCGGCGGAGCGGAAGGGCGTGTGTTCGAGGGCGGCGGTCCAGGAGCGGATCTCGGACTCGGGACCGCGGGTGACTTGGGTGCCGCCGTGGTAGACGGGGCCGTCGAGGAGGATTTCGAGGGCTTGTGCGACGGAGGCGGTGCCGGTGCGGGGTAGGCCCGCGCCGATTACTTGGAGTTTGGTGCCGGGTTTCGGCTTGGAGGCTTGCTGGCCCATATTCGTAGGGTTCTGGGGGTAAATCTGGTCTTCTGGAAAAGCCTGTGTGGTATTCTGAAGCCCCGGTACCAGGCTTGTTACGTGAAGATGATAATTGAAAGAGAAACAAACAAAATTGAAGTCGTCAAGCTTACTTGAAATGAGAGGGGGAAGAGAAATGGCAGCATCACCGCCTGCAGATTTCGATGCTGATGTCAGATCCGTTTAAGATACCTAGAGTTGCCAAAAGAGGAAATATAAAGTATCGACCTAGTTTTCAGCCTCGGACATCATCAAACACTAGTTTGGTGTGTGAAGAATTTTGATTAGTTTCTTGGTAGACGACTTGGCGCGAGTATTAGAGCTGTAGGTAAGCCAATGATCAGAAAAGTAAGCAAGCCTGCTGATTGCTTTAAACGGCCATGCCAAGATTCCTTGCTTCAAGTGATATTCATGGAATACCCGACTGAATCTGCAAATGACAGACGAAGCATTGATTATCTTGGGGGAGAGTTAAGGGATGAGATATGAGAAGGATGTTGGGACATAGTATGTAGGGGCTCTTAAGCCTTTCCTCCCTTTGCTTTTCGTACTCAGCAAGAGAAATCACCTCAATAAGAACGGACCTCGAGCAGGAATAGATGATCTTGAAGTTTCCTGTTCTCGGTCGAGCGTCTCTATAGTAAAGGACTATGACGTGCAGAATAAGCCAGGTTCGGCCTATTTCTCGACGAAGAAGCAGACAAGAGAGAAAGAATACCGAAGAGAAGAAGGATTTGCAAAGTCAACGGCAGGGAAGAGAAATTACCCGGCGCAACGTCGTCGGGAAGCTGCTCCGTTTGTTCTCGCACCGCGGGCTGATGATAAGGTACACATCAGGCTCAACTAGACCTACCTAGTCAAGATCTGAGAACGAGAAGGATGGGTAGTCCCAATTTAGGTGATGGCAAGTAACAAGAACTACGGATGACAAACTTGACATTGCCAAGTCCCAGCAGGTTTCAATGCTTTTGCCCTTGCTCTCTTTCAAAGAAAACGATTCATGAGAGCGAGCGCCAAAAGTCACCGCTCTGGCGGTAGGGCGCAAAAGGGGTGTGTATTTGTGCCTTGGGGCGCGGATCCGTCGATGCGGCATGGGGGAGCTCCGCCCTATCACAGAGGGCGGAGACGACTGCTGCCCCAGTATATTGCTGTGGGGTGCTGATTCATTCTTGGATGATGGCTTCGCTGCCGCTTACATAGCAACTGCTTAACTCAGACCCGCGCGCGAGAGGAGTGACAGCCAGCGGACAGGGCAAGTAGGTAGTAGAAGGTACCGTTGTACCTTGTGGGGCCAATGCTTTTTCTGCAGCCAGCTCCGATCCTCGATGCAGCAGCAATCTGTCGGTTCCGTAGCCGTACCTGTCAGCTTCGTGGGGGATGGCGGTGGCTCATTTGTCAGTCACTACTAATATCTTTCTTGTGAGGCAACTACCTTAGGTAGGTGAACTTGGCTAGGTATGCATGTACAATGTACGCATTTGTACTACCTTCACCATCTCTACATTCCACCCTGCGTTGCCAGTGCCAACCAGCAAGGCTCGCTTGCATTGGTCGCCGCGCAGCACGATTCAACACATTGTCGACCGGACGAGCCGCATGGTTATTCGGTCCTCTGTCCGGGGATTCAGCGAGCGCGCGGGTCCTCGTCATGGCCACGGAGCCAATTCTAATTCTGAGGGCGGCAGGCTCTAGATCCGAGCCTCCTCCGCTTTCGTAATCCGTGTTCCGGAAATCTCTAATTCCATCTGCACTCTACCGGTATAATTAGTCGTCCCGAGTCCTACCGCCCACATAGGACCGGGATCTAGAAGCGCAAACTAGCAAACAAGTGCCGTTCTACAGTGGCGTCACAACCTTTGGTATCGTATTCGTACCTTATCGAGGGGAGTCCAGAGAGTCGTAGAAGGGATTGCCTGGGTATTCGTCAGGCTTATGATAGCAGAGCCGGGGTTGTCAAGAACTTATTCAGCAACCATCAACCATCACTATCACTCAGATACTTCCCCCGCGGCCCGACTGCCTCGACTGTCTGCGCACCGCTGGCTGTGCCCCCCCCCCACCGTTTGTTGTCACCACCTTACCACCTTGTGTACCCAAGGTAGGTAGCATTGGATGCTGTACAGCTGAGGTGAGGTAAGCACCGTAAGGCCGGGTAGCTTGACATGGTTCGGATGGGGTAACGTGCGTACTTGGGCAGATGGAGGATGTTCTCCGGATAGCTTTGCGTCCCATCGCCTAACGCCAAAACAAACCATGATCTTGAAGAGCCCGTCGCATTCGATCTTGACCGCACGGGTTGATGCTCAATTGGGCCCCATCCGTCCATTGGATGAGCCAACGATCCTAGAAAGGTCGGCGGCAACAGGCAGCCTGGAGGGAGATTGAGGTACTTCCCTTACACAATGATACAGGCAGCGCGCAGCGAGGTGACCCGGCATTCCAGATTGGACCGACTGCTGCAAGCCCCCCCTCCCCCCCTTCCCCCTCCTCGCCTGCCCCTCAGTGGAGCATGGACCCGCAGAAAAAGATAGACAGACATCACCGGTACGTATCCGCACCCTCATGCCGACTCTACCTATTCCTCACTACGTACGGACGTACATACCGACCTTAGGTACCTGAGGTAGCTCCCCACCTCATGCAAGAGCTCCCCTACCTACAGGACTAGGTCCCGAGTCCGTCGTCTGCTTACTTCACCTTACATGAGCAGCATGGCAAGCCCGCCGAGCTCCTCTCGTGCCTCCAAGGTCTCGATGCTAATCCCACTAGGCCGATGAACCCGATGAAACCGCATCGCTGTCGGCCTGCCATTACCCATTCCACTCCATTCCACCCATCTTTCTTCCTATTGGCACCTGACTGGCCAACCCTCTATCTCTGTCCAGCGACTTGCCCAGTCTAGCGTGCCATTGATGATGCAACACGCCCGTCTCAGTCCCCTCTCTTCTGTCTTTTCTCGTCTCGTATGCCCGGGGTCGCGCGTGCCATGGCCCAAGTCCAGGTTGATATAAGACCACGACCTCTCCCCATCTCACCCCCTCGTGTTGAGCTTCTGTCTCTAGTATCTCTTTGTTAAGCACTGATTTACCATCTTCTTCCCTTAAACCCCCAAACCAGACATCAATCCGTCACAATGGCTCCCAAGATTGCCATCGTCTACGTAAGTCCACTGTCCATCAGCACTTCTTTCCCAATCGGGCAATTTCTCTTCGTCCTACCCTCCCAACCCCCACCTCACTCTTCCACCACACACCGCAGCCTCTGCCATTGGGCGTTCCCATCATTCGCGAGGCACGATCATGAGCACTGTTCATGTAGTCCCCGTGCCTCATACGGTTGCGTGGCCCCGTCTGCCGAACACTTTCGATGACACTATGATATGGGTTGCCCGCATGAGAGCGCCCTGCACCCCCTGTCATTAAGACCGTCCTGCTAACACCACAACCTCTCTTTCCGCAGTACTCCATGTACGGCCACATCCGCCAATTGGCCGAGGCCGAGAAGAAGGGCATCGAGAAGGCCGGCGGCACCGCCGACCTCTTCCAGTACGTCTCCCGCACATACACATCCACGACACGAGACTAACACGCAAAACCACCAGGGTCGCCGAGACTCTCCCCGAGGAAGTCCTCGCCAAGATGGGCGCGCCCCCCAAGCCCACCGACGTCCCCGTCCTCGACGACCCGGCCGTCCTCGAAGGCTACGACGCTTTCCTCCTCGGCATCCCCACCCGCTACGGCAACTTCCCCACCCAGTGGAAGGCCTTCTGGGACAAGTCCGGAAAGCAGTGGTCCACCGGCGGCTACTGGGGCAAGCTCGCTGGCCTCTTCATCTCCACCGCCTCCCTCGGCGGCGGACAAGAGTCCACCGCCATCGCCGCCATGTCCACCTTTGCCCACCACGGCATCATCTACGTGCCCTTTGGCTTCGCAAAGGCATTCCCCCTCATGGCTGACCTCTCCGAGGTCCACGGCGGTGGACCCTGGGGCGCTGGTACCTTCGCCGGTGCCGACGGCTCCCGCCAGCCCTCCGCCCGCGAGCTTGAGATCGCCACTATCCAGGGCGAGGCCTTTTACCAGACTGTCGCCAAGCACGTGGGTTGACTGCATGGCAGTGGCAGCGGAAGCGAGAGCAATGGCGGCGTTGGGGCCGGGAACGGATCCGAGAAGCAGACTCCCGCGGTTCCGGCAAAGCAGGCGGCGGCGGCGTCGGCAGCGCAGACCCGAAAGGCTCCTCAGGAATTGGACGACCAGGATGTCAAGGCCGGCCCATGCGGTCTGCCGAACAAGTGCGTCGTGCAATAACGAGACGGCCTGATCTCATACTTTAAAAGTTTTACACCAAAAAAAAAAAGAAAGAAATGATACCTCAATTGCTACTGATACCCGTCAAAAGTCTTCATATCATGCAATGCCTACTTTGCCTACTTATCAATGTTTACAAATCTTGGCCGTGATGTGTGAAGATCGGTTCCTACCAGCGACCTCGGACTATCTCGACAGACAACCGGGGAGCTCTCACAGCGGACGAAATTGAGTTCAGGGCAAACTTTCAGCAGATGGCCCGGGAAGGAAGGGTCTGGAACTCAAGATGATTACCAGCAAATCACCTGCAGGCCACCCCGTATCCATCCAGGGAGCATATCTCGTACTTGACTGACATTCTGCAGCAACATACCCTCGGAAAACGAGACGCCTTTCGACAAGATTCGCCAGACCCCTGAAAAGCATACTTGATTCTGCGCTGCGACTCGCTGGCTAGATCTGCTGCATAAATCTTACCCAACTACGTAGCTGCCGAAGGATTGAGTTTAACACCTCGGCGAACCCACTGTGTTTTGGTATCCCCTTTCGACCGTTGAAGCGACATTGGCGGATCAATTGTGGTCACACCATTCGCCGATTCAGCCGTCAGCGTTCACATTCTCATTGCTGAAATCGTTATACATAATCACTGGCGAGGTAGATATTGAAGTTTCCCTCGGTAATCGAAACGCGAATCCCATGTTGACCGATCTGCTGTAAATAACGCCATTGACCATGCACATTTTCGCCTCGTGCAATACGCTCCCTAACAAACCAGTAATAACAAAGTCATGTTTACATAGCCCATTTAATGTCTACCACCAAAGACAACGTTTTTGCTGTCGTGAACGTTGATCATGGTGTATTCGGCGAGAAGCGGGTCCTTGTTGCCCAAGTTCAGAGTCACGGCGAGCAGGTTGGGTTCGGTCCAGGTAGGGCGAAGACCACGGGACTCCAGACGCTCCCACCAGTCAAGGAAGCCAGAGGCAGTCATGCCACTGAAGAAGTGAATCTCAATCATGAGCTGGCCAATAGGAAGCTCCTCGCCGGCGCGGATGGGGAAATCCTCGTTGAGACCGTCCATGGCCTCAAACTCGGCAAATTCAATGTCCATCTTCAAGATATCACTGGTGCCATGTTAGTGAATGGTGACTTGCACTGGTGCATCATGAAAGACACGTACATGTACTCGTGGCCATTCATCTTCATCAGGTCGGCGATGCTGTAGAAGGGGGGCGTCTTGGTCTTGTCCGTCTTGCCAGAGATACCAGCCTGGAGGAAGTGGGCTCGGTCGCGGTTGCCAGGCTCGAGTTGCTCGCCAAAGTCGACGACAGAGAAGTCGTAGGCCCAGACGACGCAGTTGGTGCGGCTCAGCATTTCGTTCTCTGCACGTTTTTGATCAGTAAGTGAACATCCATGGACACAGGAAAATGGGGGGTTGGGACGACTGCGTGCGCAGAAAGCTTACCGAAGCTGGACTCATCACGAACACCGAAGGAGTAGATGACACATTCACGGTCTCTGGGAAAGTTGACATATCTCGACATGCCGCACACCCACTTGCCGCCGTCTCCCATACGTCCGACGCGCTCCATCTCGTGGGGGCAGCTGTACGAGGCGGGGGCGAAGTCCCAGACGGAATAGGGGTGTTTTCCGTAGGCCGCAGGGTCAGTGGCAGGGAACCTGATGTAGGGCATTGGTTAGCCATGTTCTCTACTTGGGTATGATGCCCAACCCATCTAATGGATGTGGAAAGTGACGCTAGCATCGACATGGAGATGGCTTACAAAGGCATCAGCGAGGCATCACCGTAGTCCTCAGCAATCATGTCATGGCGCTGCTTGACAGTCTTTGCCCAGATGGACTCGGCGGTAGCCATGAACTCGCGCATGGTGTTGCGGCCACCATCGTTGTTCATGAGGTTGCCAACCTTGTTGGTGGCCCATTCCTTGGCCTTATCAGGGCTGCCAAGGGAGTGCAGCAGAGCGAGCGTGAAGAGCAATCCGGCGGCGAGCCAGAGCATCTGCACGATGCGCTTGGAGTTTGCAGCGATGGCCATGGTTGCTGTCGGAAGTTGGTGTTCTCCGGCTGATGTTCCTGGAGGGATATTGGAAACCCGAGTGTAAGTCGAGTCGCGAGGGCTCGGCTGTCGCTCTGGCGGGAGTGGACAGAATCGACACGTTATTGAAGGATGACAGTGTCGATGAAGGGACAAAGATGGGCGTCACAAAAAAATGAATGAGAAGAACAATAACCGCAATCAGCGCTGGTCAGCAGCCAGCGCGGGGAGAAGGGCAAGCCACGGGCGGATGGAGTGGACTTGCGCAGATCTCTCAAGCGGTGTCAAGGGAGCGACTGGAAGAGAAGACTGAGGAGTCGAGGAGATAAAAGGGAAGCTGACGAGTCACGCCGAGAATGGATGAAAACGTCGGGACGAGAAGTGAGAAGGGGAAAAAGGAAGCTTATCGACGACTACTTAAAGCTCCGTCGACTTGGGAAGGGCACCTGAACATTGTGAAGGGGGGGCCGCCAGGTTCCTCCCTCCAGACCCTTGCGGATCTCGAGTTTGGAAAGGTCCAAGGTGGAAGGCGAGATTGCCACGACTGCCCTGAGTGACTTCCCATGATGTTCTGGGTGGTATTTGGAGGCAGGAACGGGCAGGGAGCCAAGGTGTCTCTGTCTCCCTCCCTTGCGAGGGGTTTGGCTCATACCTGGGGGAGGGAAGGAGCTACATTGTTCGCTCATTCCTTTAGGTGCCGTTGAGAGGAATTCTGAAATGTGGAAGAGTACCTCCAGTCTCCCGAACAGCCAAGAAAGATGGCAAGTAACACGAGGTGCGCCTCCCCTCCCAAAGTGCGTCTTGCTGGTCTGTACCTTCTATCTGTGTCCGAGATAGATTTAGTATGCACCGAAACATGGAGTGTTTGGCGTCGAGAGTGGGGATACCCAGCCAAGCCTAGACTGTCCAACTGACGTCTAGCCTCAAAATGGACGATGCACTTGGTAAGGAGACATTTTGGCCTTGGTTGCCATTTTGCTGGAGGCAGGCGCCAGGCGCCCACTGGCAGCTGCGTGGATGGGCAAGTGCCGCGGTGTCGGGTGCACGCGACCCAGTTCGGTTAATCGGGAGAGTCTGGCAGCATTTAGAGTTCATACCTGGAAGGTTAGGACGGGATGGCAACCTGGAAGTTGATGTGACAGGACGCCGGGGAAGGGGAGAGGGTGGGCGATCGGTGTCATCCAATATCACACTCCGCTCCGGTTTCTTTCTTTTCCATTGGTATCTGTGCCTCTGAGGTACCCTCGCGTGCCTCGAGGGTGTCCTCTTCCTTAATCGCAAAGCTGAGCACCAGAAAATGCACTTTTGTTCTCCTGCATGAGCATGGCATCCAAGCCCGACGGTGGCGTCCAATAAAGCTGGGTTATTGCTCGTGATACAAACATGTCAGACTCGTCAGACACGTTTACCCCTAATTCGAAGGGAAGCCAGCTTTGGCCAACAATCAACAGCTGAAAAATGTACAGACGCGCTAGCGTGATAACCTTCATTCCCGCCCTCCCGCGCCGTCTGTGCTCACCATGTGGTGCTCCTCTACGGGGTATCATTGCTTCTTCTTCTTCTCCAACTTGGCCCCTCTTCAATCGATACCGGCAGGCCGCAGGCCGCAGTACGGATGCCTGTTGAGACATCAGCAGCAGGCTAGTAGCGATGGCGGACTCGCGGAGTTTCTTCAAGTTCCTTGCAGCCACCCGTGTCGCCTCTGCCGACTAATTGTAGATAGACCCTTGACTCGGCACTGCTTTCTCAGTTGACCGGGTGCGATATCACCAGATGGGGTCCACATTAGGATTGCGTCTTCATTTCCCTCCTCTCATTCAATCTCAGACTCCTCTCTTGAATAGGTTTGTCTGCGAGCCGAAAAACGGGTTGGGCTGATACGACGACCGGTAGTTGCCCATCTCCGTATTGTCGCCATTCTTTCCGTCCGAAAAGTCACAGGGCGCGACCTTGATATCGCCGCGCATGATTTCCACCATGGAGACGATGGGGAAGAGCAGCACGAGGAGCGATAGCAGTTGACCGAAGCCCCAGCCTCTCTCGCCCTGGTCGCTCAGCTCGTATGAGGGGCCGTTGCCAAAAGCATCAGAAGCGATGATACATCGGACCGCGGCGCCGACCGCCGACGCTGCCATGAGAAGGGTGCCGATGAGTTTGATGATGTTGATAAACTTCTGCGTCCGTAAGTGGAGGTACCAGCTCGCCAAAGCAAAGACGAGAACGTTGGCGGCGATGACGACAACGGTGCCAACGTAGCTCAGTCCCTGTTGATTTCCTTTGCCCTCGTTGCCGACCTTCCAGACGCAGGCGACGGGTAGCTTGGATTCCTGCATGCCCTTTGACACGCCTTGCAGGATGAAGACGCCATACACGACGTTCAGCGTCAGGTTGACAAACATGAGGAATTGGCGGAGCCATCGCAAGACCCAATCTCGGCGGAAGTCGTGGGCCAGGGCGAGAAGTGTCGCGTTGTGGACGGCCATGGAAAGATTCGAGAGCATCCAAATGATGAAGAAGTGATAGGGAACCATGACATTGACCCTAGCGAGCCCAACACACGCGATACCGATGCCCTGGAGGATCTGCTGATCCGAATAACTGTTGAGGAGCTTGCGGCGGATGTTTGACGGGTTTCCCTTCATCTCCTGGAATATGATGGAGGAACTTATGATGAGAGCGAGGCCGGCGGTGATGATGAAAGAGAGGAGCACGCCTCTGCCGGCGACGCCCGCATCGCTGGCGACTGGGGTATCCGGTGCCACGGTGCAGTTTGGGCTGTCGAAGACTGACATGTCCGTGGTGGTATTGAGGATTGTCGTCGTAGCTTTTGTTGGTATTTTGCCTCTGTGAAGCAGGCTGGGTAGAGTGAAAAATCCTGCGTCCAAGGGGAGAAGACTGGAGGGGAGTCTTGAGGGATAAGGCTGAATGAGTGAAGCCGCCACCCGAGTCTGTTGCGTGCTGCTTCGACTTGTCCCAGGTCCAATCTGCAAATCCTAAAGGGGAAGTCTGACTGCATATACGCAGCAGATGATGGGCAGAGACAGCAAGTATTCGCCCTCCTTTTCTCAACCCAAATGACGTACGACTAAGCGCTGCCCCTGTCGTCTGAAACGGCCATCCGCTGGGGAAGACCCTTGAAGCCGGAGGATTAGTGGCTCTCAGCGTCCGCCGCCATCCTCTGGGCCATGGGTAACATTGGTCGCTGTGGCTGTGCCCCACCTTTAACCCCCGGGAAAGAGGGCGCCAACGCCCTGCAGATCGCCCCGCGATCCCTTGGGCTGCCATCCGCCACACTTGGCCCTCTCATCAGCACTTTGCAGAGGCGCGGGCATCCCAGCAACTTTAAGGACCCCATGTCGTATACGACAATGCGACTTCTTCTCATCGGATGATTGGCCGTTGAATTCTACTTCGGCGGAGTACCTGCGGCCGATTGGATCTCGCGGTTCCTCTCTCGAGTTTCGCCATGAACCAGAGTACGGTGAGAAACTCGGACTCGTGATAGCAAACCAGCAATCAAAATGGTGCCGATCACAGTATGCGACTGTCAAAGCGTTTGAAGCTATCTTTTCAAACCTGGGTAGTCTACGCTTGAGCAACAAAAGCTGTCTTTCGCGGACAAGATGCGTCGAGCTTGCGCCGAGCCCGTTTGATCCCGTTTTCTGGACTCCAGCCATTGACCAGAACTTCTTCTCTAGGCCCACAGACGACAGCTTGGTTGCTTTCCCTTAAGTTTATTATGAAAGGCTTGTGCAATATCCTCTATTCTTTGGGTTTATCCAGGCTCATGCGCTGGTCTAGACAATCTACGTGTGGTATCTACTCTCGCAAGTTTACAAAATCAAGTTGACAAAAGAAAGGAGCTCGTCACTGAGCGCCTACACCATCGGCTTCAGTATCATCTCCGACCGCGTGCTCTCCTTTCCCCTCCGAGGGCGGAATCCTAACCATGAGAAGCAGTCCCAAGGCGGCGACACAAAAACAAGCGACGCCCAAGTACGGGAGTCCGATCCAGGCTCCACCAAGTTTCATACCCAGACTAAACAGCCCTGCGAGCATAGGCTGCGTGTACGTCTGGCCCGCCGTCTCCACAAGTGAGATGATCGAGTACAGCCGCGTGCGGTGGGCGGCGTCTACGTACACCGCACAAAGACTTCGCACGTAGCTGCCCCATCCCGCGCCAAGTGCCAGAATAGCCAGTCCGCCGATGAAGGCTCCGATGGTAGGGGAGGCAGACATGCTCAGCGACCCGAACACGAGCGCGATTGATGATAGGCGTGCCAGAAAGAGGTCACGTTCGGGTCCGTCTGTGTAGCGTAGGGCCTTCGGGGCCTTTGGCGAGGCGAGCAGCTTCGAGAAGGCTGGCAATATGGCGACAATGGTGAGGAACACGCCCAGGCCGTAGAGCGATGACAGGTATCCCGTCTGCGAGAGCGAGACGTGGAAGCGCTTCGAGGCAAAGATTGTCATAAACTGGTACGTTGACATGAGGACGGGGTACGAGCTGAGCGCGGCGGCCAACAGGATAACGAGCGAAGGCGATTTGAGGAGAGCCATGGACTCTTTGAGACGGTTAAACGTGTGCTGGATGGTGCCGACGATGGGCGAATCGGATTCCGGCTCGTCTGCGGTGGGGTCGGAGGAGACCTGGGCCGCCGGCTTCGTCTCCGGGACAAGGTGAATGTTGAAGAGCGTCAAGGCGAAACCGCCGTAAGAGAGCCACATTACGGGCCATGGACCCGTTCTCTCCATCATCCACCCGGCGATGGCCGGGGCGCAGAGGTTCCCAATCATCGAGGACAGGTGAACAATCATGAATTTCTTAGCCCTGTTCAGCATGTTAGTGAGTCGTACCACCATGGGCTAACAGGGTACGAACCTGTTTTCCGGAGTCGTTACATCCGAGAGCATCGAGAAAACGACCGCGGACAGCACAGCGTTACCCCCGCCAACGAACAACATTGAAGGACCAAACCAGAGCGCCTTGATCGGGATCGTCTTGGGGAACGCGCACACAACGAGGAACCACGCCTGGTCGAGCAGCTGACCCAATACGGACAGCGAGAAAACTTGCTTCCTACCGAGCCTGTCCGCGACGATGCCCCAGGGGAACGCGGAGACGGCGCCGATGGACGCCTGCAGCGCGCTGTAGACGGCAAAGATGATGGCGACCTCGCTCTGGATCTCGTCTTCTTTGCACTTGCTCTCGTCAATGGCGTCCTGTGTGTAGAGGACGCCGTAGTACTGCCGACAGACAATGTCCTCTACTTTGCGGGTGGTGGGGATGGTCCAGAGGCCTCCTGCGCCAGCGCCGAGGAGGATGATTATGACAAAGATTGCGACAATGGCGTCGGCGTTGTGGATTTTGGGGACGTGGATGTGTGCTGCATTGCGGAGGAGGGAGTCGGTTCTGCCGCGGCCTGTTGCTGGTCTCTTTTGGGGTTTCGTCGTCGATGTGGCGATGAAGGGGGTTGACTCAGTTGATGAGTCTTCCGAGGCTCTGGTCGAGGAGCCGGTGTCGTCGACGACGGTGTCTTCGTCCGAGTGTTCGGTCCGGGGATGCATATTGGCTCCTGGTGTGAATATCTCCGTGGGTGTCTCCGTAGGTGGTAATCCCCAAAGTTGTCCCTCAACCTCGTGCAATGGCAGGGCTTGGACGTTGTTATATGCTAGACGAACGCGGGCAAGATACTAGGATTGGTATGGTTGGTGTGTTCAACATATATGCTAGAAAAGCATGGTGTGAAACGCCGAGGTGTGGGTAGTCGAGAAACAAGAAGGGAAGGCAAAAGAGGCTCCGAGATGTCTGTGGATGCAGAGTGCAATCTTATCCCTGGGATTTGGCGGCAACAAGATGCCAGTGATTGCCGGTGTGAATGGGGGAGTCTGGGGGGGGGGGGGGGGCGGGGGGGGGGGGGGGGAGGGGGGGGGGGGGGGTGGGGGGGTGGGGGGTGGAGGTTGTGCCCGGGGTGTGGGGGGGGAAGGAGGGGGGGGGGTGGAGGGGGGGGGGGGGGGGGGGGGGGGGGGGGGGGGGGGGGCTCTCAGACACAAGGCAGGTTTGAAACCGGGGGCCCTCCCTGGCTAGGAACAAGACGCACTACTCAGACTGTAAGACGGAGAGAATATAATGCGATTTTGGCTCATGCAAGCTGCATGTTGCGTTGTTGCGTCGTCGAGTCTGACGTGACGACGAACGTCGTTCGGAGGATTGAGAGAGCTTGCAGCTGTTCCACCGGGGGCTTTTTTTTACCCCTTTAGGATTGGGATTCGTAGGGGCGGTAGGGGGATATAAAATTGTAGAGCTATGGGATTGGCGGGTACAGATTGCGATAACAAGGGGGGGGTTGATGTGCTTATGACGCGGATAAGATGGAGAAGGTTAGTTGAGGATTGTCACGGAACGAATGGATAGGAAACACGGCGGGTTGATCTCTCAAGGCTTGCGTGTGTGTTGTTATGTGTCTGCTGTCGTTCTCTTTGACGATGGCGCGGGCGCGGAGCTCCGGAAGGAAAGAGAACAGTTACTGGGAGTGAGAGAGCAAAAGAGGGAGTAGAGACACGCGCCACGTAGCTGTGCCGTCATCAAACGCAAAGAAAAAGCAATAGTAGGAAAAAAGACTGCGAATTGCGGCTCGTATGCAAGGTCAGCAAAGTCGCCCGCTTACGATATCATAGGTTCCTCGTGGTGTTTTGCCCCGGGACGGGTTGGGCCTTGATGGGAAAACAAGAGGGATCAACCACGTCACTCGTTCGTTGTCTAGGGAGAAGACGCAGCATGGCCGATGAATTACGCGTTTTGTCTCTTTTTTCTACGGATACAAAAGTTCTCACCGGACTTTCCAGGTTGTTATCCGTAAGACGGAAGGGAAATAATTTGTTAATTGGTATTTGATGTTCCAGAAAATAAGCACGGAGCTTCCATCAGGCCGGTTTTCAATTACCAGCTTCTCCTTTGGGGATCGGCCGCTTTTTGCAGCTAGAATTTCTTTCCTAAACAGGGCAGCGGGTGCGCTGCCCACCCAATCACTCAAGCGTCGCTGGCGCGGCTGGTGTAAAAAAGACCGGAAAGAATTCTCAGGAACGGCTGAATCGGCACAGCTCAAGGACCTGAGCTCTCCTAACCAAAGACTAAAAAGGAGCTTGAGATTGCGTGCTGCGGAGGGGAGCTTGACTTGACTCGCAAGTAGATGGAAAGTCTAAATAAATACTGGGACGGAACGCCGCGGCCCAGGAACGAACGAGGAGCTCGGGACACCAGACGCTGGCGAATGTTGCCATTTCCCTCCCCATCACCCTCCCACCCAACAATGTTCGGACGCTGGGAGATCCCCGATTGGGGGCGCTCTTTGGGCGAGAGTGAAGAGAGGTCTCTGTAACCAACGTGGCTTTGATCCGTAACGTACTTCGAGTCCCTGCCAGCTCCTCCGGGGGGGAGCGACGGCGTCCTATCCCGCGATGGAGTGACTTGAGCGAGCGAGTGTACTCTCGATTTCCGCAAAAAAGATTGACAGCCTTTCACGAGGGATCCACTGCCACTCTACGAATCATGAGTTTTGTTTTGCGTTCCAAACTTCCCAATTGTCGAATGGTTACCCTTTCTTTCCAATGAAAGGGGGGGGGGGGTTCCGAGATGCTCGTGTTAAAAGACCTCACTAGGTGAAAGCATCTGATACTCGTCGATTGGTAACAAGCTTCCAACTCTGAAAATTATCTGCCAAACGGACGCGCGTTCACGTCGACGAAACCCTACTCTCTTTTTCTCTCTCCCTCTATCCCCCCCTCTCCCCCACCCCGACGCGAAGAATCCGACGAAGCCGAATAGTGCGCATCATTCTCTTGCTTGTAATCGAAAGCGCGGCCGGCCGGGGAACCCAGCAGTCTGTCACCGCACGTGTCTCTTCGCAGTGCTTGGCCCGTTCGGTGAACTGCCCAAACGTGTTTCTCTTCAACTATTACCGTTTACACTTTGAGAGAGGCGGCAGAGAGCGCCGACAGGGATCGTTTGGAGCGAAACGAGCCCCTGCCGCCCAGATTTCCGGTTACACGGCGCCGCTAAACCGGCCTTGAGTGCGCCGGCCCCGAGGCCCGGTAAAGGCCTTGCCGCTAGCGGTGGAAGCCCGGGTTGGACGAGTTAGCCGTCGCCGCCGGCCGCTCGGGATGGCCCCGGCCGGCAGCGTGCTTCCACACCTCCGAGACGGCACGGAGTACTGCTTTGTTCCTGCTGACCTCGATTTCTTCGTCAGATACCACAGCCATGCGTGACCCTTGCACCCCGTTGGCTCTCCCACTCTTGCCCCGTCCTTCACTTCATGGTATCTGCTCTCGAGTCTTCCAAGGCCGATCGCTTCCGGGCCCGAACGATTTTTGCGGGCGGCGTGACGCAGTCGTGTTGATCACAGCCACCGCTGCTGCATGGGCTCTCTCTCGAGCTGCTGAGCGCTTATAAGCGGGATGCCGGATTCGTCCTTTCCCCCCCTTGCCCTGCTGCTTCTGGGCGGAAGAGCGGTAAATCAACAAATAAAAGGGCCAGGAGACGTAACACAGCGGCCCGCACAACGGCCCAACGTCGCTCAACCAACATGGGCGCCCAACAAAGAGTAGCACGCGCCAAAATCTGAGGTCTGAGGTGTCATAGTTTGGACCGTTCACCATGACTTCTGTGGCTCCATTATCCGCACCCTCTCATGCGACAGGTCAACTGAATCTAGTGCACAATAGAAGCTCTGTCGATGGCCTCTTGCCCGTTGCCGGGCGAGGTGGTGGATATCCAGTCGTTTCGGCACTTCCAGGTCCCCGGCGTGAGATCGGCCATTCTCATATGGCACCTCGATGAAGCCCACATTTGGGATTTGTACGCAAAGCATGCCACAACCTTCAAGGTAAAGAAATTGGCCCGTCGTTTGATCGTCTGATATCCCCATGTCGACCTGCCGAAAACGGTTGAAAGCGCAACTTCGAGACTGATCGACATCGAAGCTTCCTCCATCTAGATCAGGGCTCAAGCCGGCCGCGCTTTCTCGCGCGCCGCCGGAAGGTCTTGTGACTAAAATGAGCTGCGGCTTGCCGTGGGTAAGTGCAGGAGTGACAGAGTGCTTGCCATCTCGTACACTACAGAGTACATGTACATTTGGCACAGAAGCAAACAACCGTGACATACTCAGTCATCCTGCGCTCTGTTGCACCCTTCGGCGGCTTGCCCTCCTTTTCTCCAGTCTTCCTCACTCCACCGAGTCCACCCTCCGACCCCCTGCCAATAACGCGACCTCAACACATCTCAATTAATGCAACGGGAAGTTCCTAGCGAGCTTACATTGTGCGGAATGGTGGACGAACTCGAGATCTGGAGAGGGGGAGAGGGGGGGGGGACGGGGTTCTCGGCCGGAAGGGGAAACTCAGCCCGCGCCAGCTCATCGGCCCGCTGAACGGGATCCATCCCACCTCATCTGCGAAGCGAGAAGGGCGGGATTGCACCAAAATCCTTTTTATTCTTTTTATACTCGAACCCCCCAGTTCAATGAGGACCAAAATGGACCAAGATGCAGAACTTTAATCAAGCCTTGCACACACACCCACATATCCACATCCTCACTAACATAGCGATGTAGGTATTGTACTTAGGCCCACCGAGGAAGATATTCGCCAACGGCACAGCAAACAATCCCGCGGAGAACAATCACCAAGGATCACGGAGCGTGGTCCGCGGGCGATGATTCGGCTTAGGTCGCCAAATTCGTCAACGGCCGAGACCGCAGCGCCCGTTACGGCCTCTAGGCATAGGGTTAAGAAGGGAAGCAAACAAACACAGTCGAGAGGATCACGCTATAATGCTATCGGTTAGTTGGTAGGCGTTCCCTCTCCAGAGACGCCTAGGAAAAGGGGAGGGAGGAGGAGGGAGATAGCCACCAACATCACCAAATCAAGGCTTACAAGCATCTTCCAGGTTATCGGATAGACATAACGCTAGGAGGGGGAACGGGGGAGTGTCGCACAACGTCCCCGACTAAGTCCCCACCCCTGGATCCGGAACACCTCCTTATGCGGAATAGTAGACCAAAACGACCATGAAAAACACGGTCAATCGGAAATCTTAATAACATCGCAATTATATTAATCTATTATATAAAATTAATATTAAAAAGATTAAAATTCGACCTTTTATTCTTTTACCGTTTTTATTATTTAAAAAGAGATTTTTTATATTTATTTTTATAATTTACGAATAATATCGATTTTAATAAATCGTTCGTTCGGCCTAAGCGTTATATTTACTTTTATATACGGTTTATAAACTTTTACGGTCTCTTTTAATTAATAAATCCGTCTTTTATAATCGATAATAAAGGTATTTTTTTTATTTAGACTCTTATTAAATTTAAAAAATAATATACGACCCTTTATTTTATTAATATTAGGGTAAAATAATAAAATAAAAATAATCTTTTTTAAATCATTTAAATGTTTAAAAATCGTTACTTTTTTTTTTATTATTTAATTTTAAAAAACTAAGGTTACCGAGGGTTTTTTTTTTATAAATAATTACCTCTTTTATTTATTAAAAAGAAATTACTAATTTAAAAGTATTTTATTAAAGTAAAATAGCTAAATATTAATTATTTTTTATTTAGTGTATATATTTAATATCGTTAAAACTTTTTAATACGCCTCGCCGTAATAATAAAAAAAGTTCTTTTTATTAACGATTAAAAGGTTTATAAGCGTATATAAAACCCTTATCTTTTTATAATATCTTAATTTTAATATATTAAAAATAAATACGTCGAGAGGTTAGGTTATATAAAAAAAATAAAATAGTAAAAAAATTAAATATATCCTATGGATATAGCACTTTTATATAAATGTATTAAAATAATAATTACCGTACCTATTTAATATTAAAAAGCGGTTAAAACCTTTATTAACGCTTTTTAACTTAATTTAAAGTTTAAAAATATTAGTTAATTAAAAAATTACTATAATATTATTTATTTACCTATTTTTGATTACGTTAAAAAACTAGCTTTTATAAGCCGCGAGTTCGTTAAAAAACTACTATTATTATACTTTTTTACCCTTAAATAAAACTAAAGGCCGAAATATTACTCTTATTATTAATACGTACTTAATTATCGTCGTTTATATATAAAAACCAAAATAATATATATAAATCGAACCTTTTTTTTTACTAAAACTTAATACTAAACTATTAACCCCTTAACCTTTTATTATCCCGGTTTCGTTTATATTTTATATATTTTATAATAGAATAGCTTTAACTATAAAGTCGGTATATAAATTAAAATATTTTAATAAAATCTTAATAATAACGGTTTTAACGTAAAGGCTTTTAATAAATCTATTTTTTAATATCTTAAGTTCTAAATTCCGTTTAATAAAATATTTTAATTAATATTTACTAAAAAGTTAAAAATCGCTATTTATAAAAACGATTTTAATAATAAAAAAGTATAACTAAGCATAAATTAAAATAAGGCTAAGGGAGCTCTACGCTAATACTTAGTTAATTAAATACTTTTTTTATTTTAACGATAATCGTTATAAATATTCCGTTAACGTTTTTTTAATTAAACCGCCGTTTTAATAATAATAAAGGGTCGTTATAAAGATCCCTTAGGCCCGAGATACTTATCGTATAAGCTAACTAGCTTATATATCGCTAAAAGCTACGATAATATCCTGCTCGGTATATTTAGTTATTACGAATATATTAATATTTTCAAAAGAATTAAATTTTAATATTATAATAGTTTAATTAATAGTAGTGGTGTTGTGGTACTGGGATGTATGATAAAGAAATCCTGTTCCGAATGAGGGGGTGTTCCGGATCTAGGGGTGGGGACTTACTCAATCTCTCCGAGGAAGGCAGAAGCAGAGAGAGAGAGAGAGAGACAGAGAAAGGAAGGTGGTTTTTAGCAAGGTTGTCGACAAGCGTTGGTTCAATCATCCCTCCCAGACCCCGGTAACAGCGTATTGTCATCGGGGAGGCGGGCTTTCGAACCGAGGAGCAATCAACCGCATCTCGTCAGGAACAAGTCTCCCTTGGTCCCCATGTTCCCTGGAATATCGAGAGTAAAACCTCATTTGCTGCCCGAGATTCAGGAGGAAAACTCTCCAGCTCCTCCGCATGCACGACTCGGGCCTCCGAAGGGTGGATTTCCATTCGCCGTTCAGAAGGAAGCGCCTTGACCAACCCTTGTTTTTTCATGTTGGTTGCACGGTTGCAACGGTCCAACGAGATCCCTGTCTGCCAACGAAACCAGGGGTGTTGGATCGATACTTTCTCAGCATAGACGAAGAAGCAGCATCGCCAACGTCGTCGTCCCGTTGTTTGTGCCAACAAGAGGAGCAGGGTGTGACGAGAGAGGCAGAGACTCGACCTGCGGCCGCTTGTGCAGGGGGGGCCCGCCCAACAGCAACTCACCTCATTCTACCTACTCCCACCCGGTGTTGGGGCCCTGGGCACACGTTCAGGAATTTGAATAAATTCCAGCACGCCGGCACCGACACGCTGGGTCGTCACACTTATCACATCAGATGTTACGTGGTGTAATCTCCCTTCTTCCGCCCTCGTACGCAGTTTGCTCTGGGCGCGCCTCAGCGACTCGAGCGGTTGACCATAGTGGAGCGAGCTTCGTCCTCTTCTTCATCCTCTTCTTCATCCTCTTCTTCTTCTTCTTTTTCTCTTTCTTGATTGTACCGCCTGAGACCTAGCAACATGCTTTGCGACGGGGGGTCAGTGGTTGAAGGATATGATGCGCGACTTACAAACGGTTGTGCAGGTTGCATATCACCATCCGCGATTTCGCCCTCACGATTCGTGGCGTTGGGCTGACTGTTCGATTGGTAACTCGTGAGACTGTCAGGCATCACCCGCCCCTCCCTGACACCATCTAGGACATTGTCTACCTAGGAGACGACATGTCTTTGATGCGGAGAAGGTTGCATCCCAGATGCGCCTCCGACCTCAATAGGCATCCAGGACGAGGTTGTCTCGGAAAGGTCGCGCCCTCGATCCCCTTGGAAAAGCACTAGCTGTGGGGTCAACGTGGACACTATTCTGAGCAAGTGAATGATCACCTCTGTTGTCTAGACCGATTCGACGACGAAGCATCCGCTTTGAAGTGGGCATATGCCAGCTCAAGAGCATGTCACCGGTGAGCGGCAAGCTTGTGGTATGGCATGACCAGCCCTACCTTGTGCACCCTAGACTGGATACGCCCCCCCTCCTCTTGCCATGCCGTATTCAAATCAAACTTCCAGGAAGTTGGGAAACGCCAACAGAGATGCGGTCCCAAAACCCGGGCAGCTAGGAGCCCCAGAACCTGGTCGAACCCCCTTGCAAATTGCAACACACTGTTGGTGCAAGCCCGTCCACGGTCCACGGTCCACGGTCCACGGTCCACGACCTCGAACGTCCGTCCATCTTTGCTTTTTCTCATGCCAGTTGACATGAAAATCCCCTCCACTTCTTCTCTCTCTGTGGTATGACGCCAGTGCAGGGCAAAAATTCACCCAAGCTGCTGCTGCTGCTGCTGCTCCTCCACCCTTTCCCCCGTGTGGGAGTGTGTGTCGATACATCAGTCTGGATATGGCGTCTAACTAGTATGGGTACCTCTTTCGATCTGCAACTGCTGTGACTGCAGGGAAACCCTGGCCAGGTCGGTGAGGTATCAGAGCCTATGATAGGCCTTGAAGCAATGTCCCCTCGTCTAGCTGACCAACAAGCATCGAGTCCACGAGAAGGCGCGGATGCTATCGTGCTGTTCCGGCGGCCGTGTCTGTGTGCTGCTTCTGTCAACGATGTCAAGGGCGACGACGGGCTACGATGTATCTGAGGATCCCAAGAAGACTGATCAATTTGGAGGAAGCAGAAAAGTTACGAGGAAGGGAGCCTCAAGTGCAATGGGTTCTCATTCAAGACCATCGAGTTTTTCGTTGGCAGTAGGTAAAGAAGGTAGGTCTTGATGAGCCAAAGAGGTAAGTGAATCGCACACTCTCCATTTCCAATGCATTATCTGCAAGTTGCAAGACTACACCCCCTTCCCCTTGTCAGGTGTGCAGCCGCTGCTGCGCGTGCTTGTTCGTCCTTCTCTTGTTGGAGGTGCAGGGTACGCTTGTTAGCCCTTGCTTGGCCATCCTCTTTCCTCCTTGCTTCGTGGTGACGCTTGCTCAGATGGCCCAGCATCCCGTCCTTCATGCAAAAAATACTTCCCAGTCAGTGTATAAGAATGGGTGTCGACCGGAACTGCACCTTAAAAATCTTCCGATCTGCCACTGGAATCTCTATCCCTCAATATCGACATTCTATGATCTATTGCTCGTCAACAAAATACCTATCGCCGGATCCTCATCGTGAGTTTGCATCCTCCATTCGACGGGAGACACTTTGTGATTAAAACTTGCCGGGACACTTGAGAGCGAGACGTGAACATACCAAGGAAAACAAAGTCGTCCCGGAATCCAGGAAACGTCACCATGGCGCTCTCAGCCGGTGAACATCAAGCCAGACGACGACGCCGCTCGACGACTGCCCCGAGGCGTCGCATAGTCTCGGACCCTTCCATTACACCTATCATAAGACGGCCCAGCTTCCCCAGAAACCTACCAACTCGACGCAGAACTTCTACTTCGCCGATAAGAAGCCATACGTCCAGTCCCGTCCTCTCATCTACGACATCCGAATCAAGCCCTTCCACGCCAGTCGTTGCCTTCTCAGCTCTGCAAAGGTCGACTCTCCCCAGGCCTTATCGTGACTTTTCCCACTTCTTCCAAGCCATGTGCCCTGCCTTGCGAAATCGGATACTCGGACAGGTCGACTGGGCCTCTTTGCACGGAGGGCCTTACTGGCGCAGTCAGTGTTACCAGCCGTGGCATGCATCGGACTCCTGCAAGACTGCCTTTATCATCCACGCCGAAGGGAACTTCCCAAAGGCCTGCGGACGACCAGCAGAGAGAGAAGAAGAAGAAGAAGGCAGAAGCAAAGGAGACGGCAAGAAGAACCCATTAGCGACCGGAAAGCCTTCAGAGGCCACTTGCGCCAACAGTACATCATCATCAAAGGGATACGGGTGCTACCGCTGCCACACGGTCAAGCCCGAGGCCGCCTTTGAGAAGCTGCCCGACTACTTTGTCGTGTCATCCAGCGGCTGCATCGTCGGGCGGTACGCCGGCAAAGCAGCCGACGGCGACAAGGAGCAGTCGAGGCTCCCGACGTTGCGGAGCGGGGAGGGTCTCTTGCGGCGCTTCTGCATCGAGTGCGGCGTCAGGGACGGGCTGTACGAGAAGCGGAAGCTCATCACGTCGTTGACGGAGGAGAGGTGGTCGATCTGCGACTGTCGGCGCTTGCACTGGGTGCCGTCGAACGAGTCGTACATTGAGTGCGAGCATTGTCTCGTCAAGAGCGCTTTTAGACCGCCGGTGTGATGTCCAGGGATGTTGCTTGAGTTCTTTTTTGAGAATGGCAATGGTTGTCTGCCTACCTTAGTTGAGAACTGTTGATGGGGTGGTGGTCATTTTTGGGGTTAGTTGAAAGTAGGTTTTCTTCGGCGGTGTCGTGTGCGATCCAGATTGGGCGGCTCCTTTGTCATTCCTTGGCTTTATGGGAAGCGCACTTTATGCATGCAACCAAACAGGGGCAGGCTCCGGGGAGCCCAAAGGCAGCCGGGTATTTTGTTTATGCAGGGTTTGGGCGCATTCATCGACCAAGAACCTGCACTTGGCTTAGCATGGGTGGTTGTCGATGTCGAGCACTTGTCTAGCAACGCTGGTGAGTTGTTCCTTGAGGCTGAAGAAAGGGCTTCGTAAATGGAGGAGAACAGGACTCCAGCGGAAACGAGGAGATGTAGGGATTATTGTGTTGTTGGACTAGGCAGCGGCGCTTGATGTTTTGAACAGTCTTGGTTCAATTGGAACTTCTATTTTTTGCTACTGATTTTCCCTGCCTGCATTGTTGAAATCAGCTTTTTGGTTCCTGCGTACTGGTTGGCCCAAGGCTTTTAAGTCGTGTCCTCCTGTATAGATTCTATCCCGTCAAATCTTTCTAACATAGTCTATTTGGTTTTTTTCTTTCTAAGTGATGTCGTGAAATCCCGCACTATAGCGGCGAAGTTTTGGCAAAGTAGAGGTGGGCTCAGTTGTATCCGGATCGGCCCTTTGGTGATACGCCGTGGCCGTGTTCGCGTTCGCGGGTCCGGTTGTAGCCGCTGCGACCTTGGGGGACCTCTCTTTGCCGATCCCCACTGGAGGTTTTGACGTGATGTGAGCCCTCGTTGAGTCTCCCGCTGGCATCTCGGTGCCTTGACTTTTGGTTGGAGCTTGAGTGGCTCGTTCTATTTGAGCTTCTGTAGTCCATTGTGCTGGGTCGGGCTGTTTTCTCGTGTGAGTAAGAGGCACTTCATCATTTCATGTGATTATGTAGTTACCTTGGTGAGATGCTGATTCTCTGATAGTGATAGTGCTTCCGAGAGGTGTAGTGTATGCCACGCTGATTATGAGTGTTCAGTGTGTTTGATGGTAGAATCCGGATAGATTTGATAATGGAAAAGCAAGAGGTAAGTGAGAAGAAGGGCGCATTCTTATGTGTAGACTGCTGCGAGTGAAGGCGAGTAATGCTTCTGATAATAATGGTCTGATACAATCATGGGATGGTTGCTAAGGAAGCTGGCTCAAGGGGAAAGTGACGGGGACATCCATGGCTTGTATATCTCTCCTGGCGGGCTGCACCCTGAAGATAGTTCTGCGGCATGGCATGGCATGGCATCCCATCGGACCGTATGACGAAATGCCGAAGGAGGGACGATTTCTGGCTGCAGGAGAAAACACAAGAGGAAAAGGGAGAGGGGAAGAAGAGGAGAAGGGGGAAAAAAAAAAAAAAAAAAAGGCTCGCGCATTGCATTGGACAGCTACTTGACATGTGCCTCGTCGCGACTCGGCCGAGGACGCATGCTCCGTCTGAAGTAGGGTCCCCGCGGCATGGGTTCCTGGCGAGACCCGGTCCTTCTAGCTGCGTTCGATATTCAGACGTGGAAGCCTGGCGGATCAAGGATACCCCAAAGGGCCCCAAGGGGGGGGCGAGAGAGGCAAAGGACCTGATGCTTTAATGCGCCCGCCCTATGGGCACAAAGACGGGCGAAAGAAACTATGTGCAAGTTGAGGAAGGATAACACAGGGAAGCCTAGGCAGTTGGGTTCGTTCAACAAATGCAACGATAACAACGGTTGAGCTTGAACATCGGACCCGGAACCCTTCATAGAGAGGGGGGGGGGGGGGCAGGGCAGAAGAAACAAACAGAGCTCGGCGGCTTGCGTGCCCAGTCAGAGAACGAGGCGCCGCCAGCTTTTGGTTACATGGCTGACCATGCCAACGGGCTCCCGGCACGCGGGGCCGGACGGAGGAAGCTTTGCAACTCTGAAGCTTCGGATCGAACTCGATCGAATGGAAAGAGACCAGCACAGTTTCTGCTACGAGGTACGCTCCCGGTCAGGTAATGTGCAAGAAATTCGCTCGTCTGTGGGCTCTCCCCAAAAAGTATGAGTGCCGAGAATAACTTTGTCTCCTTGTCTCTCTCCAAAAAGAAAAAAAAAAAAAACTCAAGAGGGCAAAACAGCCGAAAAGAGGGCGGTCTCATCGAGTTTGGGAAATGCAGTGCGAAGGAATAAGATGCGACTCCTGACCAAGAGCTTGAAAAGTGGGTGCGAGTGAGTGGAAGGGTCCGAGTCGAACTTGCCGGTCTACCGGCTCCGGCAGTCACGTGGATGATCCACTCCTTCGGTGCGATCACACCGAGTGCGGTACGTATTTACGTACTATGTACACTGTCAGCCACTGCCTTAGCTTACCTTTCCTGCCTTAACTCTCGTTTTCTTTCAGCTGCTTTTCCTTGCTGTGGCTAATTCCATCGCTCCCGCCACCATGGACGGCCCTCTAGACACAGGATCACCATCAGCCCTATCCGTCTCTATCAAATCAGCAAGGCTTACTTCGACAAGCGACGTTTCTCATCGAATCACCTCCACATCGTTTTGCTTCCACGCATTCTTCACCCCGTCACGAACCTTTCATGGTCAAGGTGCGTCATCCGACATGATGTTCGACTCAAGACATGTGGTCTGCGCGGCTTGCAAAGGGTCGATGCCTCGCTCGACTTCGCCCTGCATCGGCATGAGGCAATTGCTGCGCGACACCAAGCGTCTCTTGCGCTTCTCTCTTCGTCCCTGCATACTTCAAAATTTTTCTTTTCACTTCCGGCGGGAGGACCTTGCATGAGCGCCGGCAGACTGCCTTTTTCTGTCAAAGCGCGAAACAAATGTCCCGAAAAAAGTACTCATGGCGCTCAATTGGGTCGTCGCACATGCCAAGTTCCCTCCCGGCTGATTCCCCGAAGAAACACGCATCTCGATATTGTGGATATCGGAACGTGAAGTGACTCACTGCTTTAGACCTCAACGGAAACCTAGCCTCTTGTCGCAGCTTCAGATCCACATCCTCTCTTTGGAATTGCAGAATAGCATGGACAAAGTCTTTGCCTCTCAACCAGATCAATTGCGTTTGACAAGCGCCGCCCAAGCAGCTGTAGACACACACTACCCTGCGAATGAATCCGCTTGCTTGACATCTGCTGCCTTGGCACCTACCTTACGCAACCCCTACTACTTTGCTGATATTTCTTCCGAAATTCAAGCTTGATCTGCGCTACCTGTCAGAAAGTTTCCTGATTTCCACGAGGCTTGGCTTTCTGCTCAGGCCAAGTACTCCTGAACCGAGCGCTCTGTCGGCGGTTGTTTGAAACGGGGAGCAACGCCCGGTTTGTTGAGGGCGCTGCTCAAATCTGCGACGACGCCTGGGCCATGGATGACGGATGAACACTTGCATTCCGCAGCATTATTGCGTCGGTTCGTCTTCCGGTTCCCGGCCTGCGTTGTACCATGCAGGAGCACAGCGCCGGTTGGTGCTGGCATTCATGTTTACATGCTACAGCTTGGGAACCTTCTTCTACACCTAGGGACGCCGGCCGATGGATAGCAGCCAAGTGGCTGGATCGGTGAGGCGGCACGGCAGAAGCTGCCGTGCTGAGTCTAATCCCGTAGGCTGAAGCATCCCCGTCCAGGTCTATACTGGGCTGATGATTCCACTGCTGTTGTGTATTCCCGGGTTCTCTCTGGCTTTCCGGCATTGCTTTCCTTTCTCTAGATTGTCAATGTATATGCCTTCGTTCTCCAACTTCAAACACCAAGTGGTTGAAGCACAAAGAGAAAGGAGACATTGAAGAGGGGGGGGTATGTACGCTGACAATGTGAGTAAGAAGTCAACACAAGCGAGATGTTTGTGTAGCAGTTTCATGAGTGAGACTTGTAGGAAGAAGGGCCAAGAGTACAAGAGCCGACTTGCTTTGAGATTGCGTCCTTTGTTTGGCGTTTCCCTCAAATATACTGTCATGATGGGTTGGTAGACGGAATCTTTGACGGCCAGAATTCCCTCTCACCTTGTCCAGTCCCCGTCTCCCTTGAACTCATCCCATAAGAAGAGAATCCTTCTGTGGTTCTGAATGGTGTCAAATATTTATTGGGCCAGTTCCATTAGCCTCTAACAACACTGTAACTCTTCCAGATTGCCATGATGCCAAGCCGAATGAATGTCCGCTTCCCACACAACAGACTACCCGCACCTGCTGCATATTTATCTGCAAGCGTTTATATCACTTGCTAGCAAGTATGAGGAAAACTTTTCTAGAGCACATTGATTTTCACCATAAGCAACTTACTGTGTTTTGAAACGTTTGTGTGCCCTCATGCTGTGTTCATGATTGCTCCGATTAGGCCTCACCAAAATGTGGGAAGTCGTCACCCACTGTTGCCAGCTCTTGCCGTTCAAGCAACCTCGCTACCCATCAAGTGTGGTCGCACCTGCTGACTTTCAGAATCAAATTGAGGAATGGGCGTAAATATGATTATGAAGCGGAGAATACGCAGCTGGCCGGCCCACTCAACTCGGCCTCACCTTCCTCCACCCAGCCTCTGAATCTTCGCCTCTTTAATCCCCTTTGAGTCCTCACCTCCTCATCTCGGCTTCTTCAACTCAGCTTCAGAGATATTGGCTTCACAACAAGACAAACATCCCATACATTCATTGACTTTTGCAATTCACATTTGAGACTCTTGATTATCTTCAGCGTTTCTTCTTACTTTGGGTATGTTGATACATCATGACTTCTTTGTTTGACAACAACAAAAAAGGGCAACTGGAAGATTACTGATAGGCTTGAAACTTCAGCAGTGAGCAGAAAAGCGACTGAGGAATCTGGCTCTTTCCATTTGATTGCTACAACTTCAACTCCCAAGAGCGATCGCAAAGAAAAGCCGAGACACTGGCAACACAAGATCACTTCGACCGTGAGGTTTCGCAGACCACATCAACCAAACCATATCGCTCTTTCTTATGGGCGCCATAAAGAAGAAAGGCATGGCGCGAGATGATTTCAATGTCGGCATTGAAGTGCTGGTCAAGAATAAGGCCCGTATTGAGATGGTAGTTCTTAATGCAATCCTTGATCTCACTGTCGACGCCGAGGCAGTCAATCATATAATGAACATGAGAGAGCCACTTGAGGTAAGTGCCACCTGACCCTTGATAATTAATAATCAGAAGGAAGGGGCTGACAGCTATCAACCATAGAAACTCAAGGTCGAGTTCCTCGAGTTTCAATCAATGATTAATAAGGCTCTTCCTCCTTTACCATTTTCAGAGATGACTTGGAAGTCAATTTACGTTGCTCAAGGCATTATTGTTGACGGGGAACTGAGCGATGATGACGAGGAGGAGGAGGAGGAGGACGACGATGATTACAGCGACGCAGGCTACTACACGCAGTGTTCAACGAGCTCAGCGGCTAGCAGCTTGGTGTCTGACGTGCCCATCCAAGGGTGAGTACTCACTCTCCTTCAAACACTGCTCTTGTCTGACATTTAAAAGCAACAGCTTCGGCAGCATCGAAGATCCCATCGTTCTCAGTCCCGTTGAACTGCCGCTCCTGACAACTTACGAGGACAACCACAGCAGCAAGGAGCGACTATCAATCTTCTCGAACGAGTTCTTTGAGATTCGCAGATCCCCTACGGCCGGCTGGGGCGCCTTCGCTACCAAGAAGCTCCATAGGGGTGAACAGATCATGGTAGAGAAGGCTTTATATCACGCTTTCTACTCAGATGTGACCAAGGCTGTCAAATCTCTGCCGCAGAAGGAGCGATTGGTTGCGAACGATATGTCCGCTTTTTCTAATCAGGAAGGAGAGACAAAAGAGGAGGCCATCTGGAGCACAAACGCGTAGGTGGCCCGTTTCTATCGTTCGCCTATCAACTTATTAACCGGGCGATATCAACTTATTGACCGGATAATAGGTTCACAGCTCGTCTCACCTCCAAGGATGGTACTCAGAAGAACGTACCCGGTCTCTTCGCCATTGCAGGCCGATTCAATCATTCTTGCTCTCCAAAGATTGATTACAAGTTTCGCACTGATAAAGAGCTCTTAGTCTTTACCGTGAGAGACTGGGAGATTGAAAAGGGCGAAGAGCTAACCATATCATACGGTCAAGTGCCGTCCGTGCTGTGGTATAAGTACGGGTTCATCTGCGAATGTGGCTACTGCCGCAAGTTCGACCCGAAGCAGTCTGAATGGTCTTGAGACATCATCACATCTAGTTCCTGGACTATACAGTGTTTTTTTTTTTCTTTGGCATCGGAGGAGCGTTTGGAGATAGTGGTTGGTACAGAGAAGGAGCATTGATACACAGACGGGAGCTTTTGGGGAAAATGATACAGCGTGCGATTTGATTCCCAGCAAAACTTGCATAGCTTCATTCCCAGAGAGATGGCTTACTTTCACAGCACAGCACGTACAACTCTGCTAATACACAAGCGCTTTTGATTGAATAAGAATGGCTTATTTCAAAGACGCTCATTCGGTCAATTTAATATTAGTAGCTGTCTACTAGCAACGCCCAGGTCGCTGTCCATGCACGCGCAATGTACGTCCAGCGCTGGTCATATAGTTTGGAGACATCCTTCAAGATAGACTCGTTCTTGGCCCCAGTAATAGTTATCGTATGATGTAAAGAGAACAGCATGCCAACTTTGCCATCTCAGTGCAGCAGTTACAGTAAAAAGGTTGAACATGGCCAATGCCGGTAGCAGATCCCGGAAAGGTTGGCGTACTGGCGGGACGAAGAGCACATGAAACGGCCGGATTGTAGAGTAACATGAAAAAAGTATCATACAGCGAGTTCATCCACCTTCTTCTACCTTAGTACACTTATTCCAAACGACGAAAGCATACATCAAGTCGTCAAGTCACCATTCTATTTCATACACACCTCAAGCCGCACACTCCGCCAACTCCCCCTCTCGTAACGCATCAAGCAAAACCCTCGCGGTATCCCGATCCGTCCGATCCTCACCGCTCCTGCCACCCGCCGCCGCCGCCGAAGAGTGCTGCGCAAGCTCATTCCACGCCGTCTCGATCCACCCGCCAGGCCCGTCGTGCCCAGGCATCCCGTCAAAGTACATACCATCAAAGTCCCCGTCCACGCTCGCTGACTGATCGTCCAAGGGAAACGCCGCAAGCACCTCAGCCGCCAGGCCATCGATCCCTTCCGACGGCGGGTGGTCCGTCATAGTGACGTCGCAGCTGCTTTGGTATTCTGCCCCGGTTTGCGGTGAGGTGTCGTCCGTCACGCTGTCTTGGCTGTGGCTGCCCGCGGACGCCGGCGAGGTCGAGCCCTCGTCCGACGGGATGGCCGTGACCGTCCCCGGCTGCATTCGGAACAGGTTCACCCGCATCGCAGCGGCGTCAAAATCCGTCATACGCTCCACGGCGTGCTCCGCGGCCTCGGAGAGCCCCACGCTCGCGTCTCTGCTCTCTTTCCGCTTACGCTCAAGGAGCGCCTTGAGCGGATTGAAGCCTCCCGTAAAGAGGCCCTGAAGACTGACCGGAAAGTCACCGTCCTCGGGAAGCCGTCCTTTGCTGAGCGAAAGATCCATCGTCAGGGCGAGGCGGAGGTAGGAGCTTGGCTGGGAGGCGAGGATGTCGGTCCAATCTGCAATGACTGCACCGCCGGGGGTTGCGTTTGCGGTCTCTCCTCGTGCTGGCGAATCTATCTGAGCCAAGTTGACAATGTGTCGAATCGTCTCGCTGACCCAGTCGACGCCGTCGTATTGCGGTTGGTAGGTTTTCATGGCCTCTATGAGGATGTTGAGGCGATGCTGCTTGAGAGCTGATTGGGTATTGGGGTCGAAGGATCGCGACGAGGCCGAAAGTTTCACGTCGAGAATATGCAAGACCAATGGCAAAGCGGTGCAAGCCACAGCGCTAATGGGTAACCAGCGGGCGAGTCGAAGATGGATCAATTCCTTCAGACACTCTGTTACCCCGGAAGCGGCGTCCTGAAGCTCGTGTCGGTTCTCCCCGATGATGACTAGATCAGAGGTGGGAATGGCGTTGAACGATGGCGCTGCGGCGGTGATGGCGAGGTGTAGGACTTCGTGGTGACTGAGAACAACTCGAGAAGAGCTGAGCGGATGTTAGTGACCTTCAATAGAATTGGGTCATAGGAGCGACTTACTGATAATACATGTACATCAGATTGGTGTACAAAATCACAGAGTCATGTTGGAACTCGTTCCCAGGAGTCTTGATCCTCGCGACAGAACCACCACCAAACATGGGGAACCGCAAAGTCACACCCTTGTACCACCTCTGTAGCGCAACCTTGCATACGCGTACCTTGTCCTGTTCTTCGGCTCGCATCTCTCTGCCCCAGCCCGGCCTGTCATCCAGGGGAAACACCAGGATCAGGATATCAGTCAGCACGACACACAACTCGACTAGTTGCTCCAAAATCTCGGCCAAACACCGTTTCGTGCCTGGGTTATACACCCTACTTCTCTCAATCTCATCGGCTAAGTCCGAAAACCCGAGACTCTCATTCGCGTCAAAAGTGAAGTGACTCCGGGTGATCTGCAGACTGCGGCGGAGGCCCAGGCCGACGATGCGGTCGCGTAAGATACAGCACCACCAGAGCCGCTTGAGGAGGTTGCGCTTCTTGGGAGATGCTGTGCGCGTGGCGTAGTGATGGGCTTCCACCATTTTTGCATTTTGGATCGCAATAGAGAGCCATGCTGTGTTTGATTTGCGGAAGGCCGGAGACGTGGGCGATGACCAGAAGGAGAGGAGGAGGGAGGCCTGTGAGATTGCGAGAGGAGACGATTCGGATTCGAGGTCGTAGAGGAGTTTGGCACGTCTGTAGAAAGCGGCGCGAGCGGCGCGTATCGTGGGAAAGCCGAGGGTCTTGATAGTCTGGCGGGAGACGAACTAGTTGATGTCAGTATGCCGCACCAAAGGCTGTCAGGTTGGCGATGGATGACATACGTTGCAGGACGCGAATAGCATTGCCTGGAAGACCAGCAGCGAAATTTTGTCGCTAGGCACGTAGCCCGCAGGGTTCACGCAGTAGACATCCCAAAAATCGCCCTCATTGACCATTGGTAGTAATGGGTGGACATGCAGGAAGTATTGTTGAACAAGCTCGTCCAGTATGGTGCGCGTTGGCACCCGGAGACATCCCTGAAGCTCCAAGTAGTTAACATCCTGTGGCGGTATGCCATGAAGGTTGCCTAGTGCTAGGAATGGGTAAAAGGAATAAGTGACGTCTATCCCCATCGTGTTACGTTGATCAGCGGTATATGGTGTTGTAAATGGTTGGTTGTTCAACGGTAAGGAATTGGAAGGGAAGGCTTCGTATGTGCTCGTGGACGCGACTGAAGAGCGGGCACGGTAACTTGGCTTTGGGTGGTCATGCTGGGTATTGCTGTTAATAAGTACTGGACTCTCTGATCGCTCGGCGGTTGTTGGTATTGAGATATCGTCGCCATGTGAATGATTACAGGTTTGGGGCTGGGCGTCTGGTTCGTTTGAGGGAACTGGCCGAGAGTCGTTGCTCGTTGTCGTGATGGGGTCTACGACCAGAAGTTGCTCGCCAGCATCAGCGTCGTACGGCGGGTATGCGCCCTCCGTGGTGTCGGCGCCATCTACCTGCTGCGCTCTGCGACTGGTCGACGGGTCAGTATATCCAAGAAAACTGGACAAGAATACGAGTACTCACAACCGTGAGGCGCGCCCAGTAACAACACAGTTCTCACTGTCGAGGTAACAATTCATACATGGGCGACCTCGCTGAGACACGTCGCATCTGACTTTGCGAGCGCGACATGATAGACAGGCTTTTGGTGCGCGCTTGCGGACCTTGTTCTGCGACTTGGGCTTGGAGGCTTCAGGAGGTATGGTCTCAGGTGCCATTGTTTAGACTTTTGGACCGCGCAAGGAGGGTTCTTCACTGGGGATTCGCAAGATAAGTGATTGGAGCAAGGGGAAGCTCGTCTAAGGAGATAGAATACTGAAACATATGACACGGAAAGAGTTGAACAAGGTGAGATTCCCGATTCTGGACTGACTGACTTGACCGAAGATGGCGGACGGGAACACTTTGCGGGGTGTGGGGAAGAGGGGAGAGAGATGCATGACAACTCTGGAGTCGAAATTCTGGGGTCTGGAGCCGTCGACGATCCTTTGACGCTAGATGTCTGGGGACAGATGTCTGGGGACGGGACGGGATGGTGGTGGGCACGGCACGGAATTCGAGCCTGACTTTCCTGCAGAGCTGGAGCTGTGACAGGGGAAGCTATCAACCAAGCCAGGGTAGGCCGGGCATATGTCGGAGTGATCGGAATTGGCCATCTCTCCTCTCAATCTCTCACTCTGACTCGTCTCTTCCACTGGCTTGGCATAGCCACTAATGATCTGTAATTCGCTCACCCGCTCAACGAAGTGCATGCCGTACGGGTAGTGCTTTAACTTGGGGCATGGGGCTAGAGGTTGGAGCCGAGGACTGCGAAACTGCGAAGTGGAGGGTTGGATTTGACATGGCAAATCAGAGTCAGTCGACTCAGGAACCTCTTTGCCGACCACCTCTGCCGAGTCGCTGGGGCGACTTACCACGAGCTCCTCATGAGCTCGGCAGTACAGACAGACCAATTAGACATAGCGATCCTATTCCCCGACTGGGTCCGAGTCATTAGCGTCATCATGAACCGTGAGTCCCGAGCTTCCAGAGGCACGTCAGGGACCACAGAACGCGGAATTAGAGAGACTCACACACCTCGCACTATCTTAGTACGTCATTTGACCTCGTTCGGTGACTTGTTAGGATGAAAGAACGTATCGTATCAATGCATATCAACCGCCGATACTGGCTTCTGACTAGGATTGCAACGATGCTTCTCAGTCAGAATCAGATTCAGACGACGACGACGACTCCTCGCTCTCGATTGGCTTGAACACCCAGTCGCCATCATCTTCCCTCCATAAGCACACCTTGACATCGCCGACAGCCTCATCCAGTCCATTGGGCACATCCATGCCATCGCCAACCTTTGCAAGAATCGAGGCATCAATCCGACAGAAGAGCATTGGCAACGAATCGCTCTTCCATACCGATATGCCGTCGCGAGCGCCTCTGATGATGGTGTGAAAGAGATGGTAAATGCTGATCATGATCAGGCCCGTCGGGAACAGCATCCACAACCAGTCCACGACAATTACCTGCACCGTCTCATACGCACGCCCGCTGTATCGATGTCGGTCCTTGTCCCGAACTTCGCCATGAAGCCGCACTTCATTCGTCAGACTGATGCTGAATCGGTTGATCCATTCCGGCAGTTTTTCTCTCGCATTGTATATCCCTTCGGCCCAATCCGACGAAAAGTTGATAATTGTATACTGCTTCTCGTACGTTGTCTCGACAAGCGGGTCTACGAACCTCCGCAACGCAGCCAACGCTTTTCTGGAGATGCTGTACCTGGATTCCGGCGCCACATTCATGTCTCCCGGAACATCAACGAAGACGTACTCGTCGCCGTGCGCGCTGTTGCTCAGTTCAAATCGCGTCGTGTTCCAGCTTTTGATGAGTTCTTGGTGAAACTGGCTTTCGATAATCGTGAAGTTGTAGCTCTTCATGCAGAACCACAGCGCGCATTCCGTAGCAACACTCTGCGTCTCTCGCTTGCTCTTCATGACCCATAGGACGTCGAAGACAGATATGTATGTTCGCGTCGTCGAATTGATATGGTGGATGGTGCCCTCCGACGCGGCCGTCCTGAACCGCTCAGTGGTTGGGGCATTTCGGCTGATCTCCACTGACGTGCCCATGGGCAAGCTGTACCGGCACGTTTGTGTTTTGTCGGTACACATGGTCCTCATGTCCAGAGGATTGCACTCGCCGCAAACTGCCAGTGTTGGCACGATGGGCCACGTGCAGTTGACGCCAGAACATTCGAGGTTGAGGTTTTTGACGTCCACGGATAGTATACCACTGTATACGGCTGCTTTGGTGGACACATTGAGAGAGGGTCCTGTTGCGCGTTAGCGACTAGATGCGTCAAGCGATGCGCTGCCACTTACGCGGATCAAGGCCCCGGGAGACAGTGTAATCCTACAGATCGCTTCTCTCAGGTGCCGCGACTTTGGGTTCGTCGAGGATTTCTCGTGGCTGGCCCTCGTACTGATAAAGCTGTTGGGATGATGCCTCGAGCCCGTGGACAAGAATGACGATCAAGGCACCGATGCAAGCAAGATGTCTGGCACATGGTCAGTGAGCATGATGATCAGGGCAGAAGAAGAGTTGCACGGCGCTACCTTCCTCTCAGCCGCCACAAGAGATACAGGCTTCCCCAAAGCCCGCGTGATGCCTCGTCATAAATCTTGAAGTCTTCCAGCCTGGCTCGGCTGTCATTGGTGCGACGTTGCCGGGCTTCAGACACCCAGATCCAGGCAGACTGGCTAATGGAGGACTCGACAATGCCACTCATGGCGACGCGAACGCAGGTGAACATGGCTACAATGATGACATCAAAGTCGAGGTTGCCATGCATTAGTTGGGGGATTGGCTGCTTGTCGTAATTCTTGAAGATGATGCCTAGGACGAGGGCTCCGATGACGCAGACTGCGACCAGGCGGTATTCGTCGTTCCACCATTTGTATATGGATTTGTAGTCGCTCTTGGGGAGGGGCCGTGGGGGCCCTTCTTCCGTATTGTCGTCATCGTCGACTGCGCCGTCGTGTTCAATCTGCTGGAGCCTTAGTCGCTTCCGAAGGGTCTCCCTTGGGCGGTAACTCGTGGCTGAGGATCGGGAGTAGGGTGCGTCATTCGACATGGTGGAGGATACAAGTGTATTTCTGTTATATGGATACTGAATTCAGGTTGGTAAAGAAAGTCTCGATCAGAAATGAGCCGCCACCATCACAGGAAGTGTGGAAATGCAGCAAAAGCGACTGATGCCTGGTGCAAATGTTGAAGGTTGCTGGAGCGGGAGATGGGTGATGGTGGCGGAGGGTTCGAAGCGGAGCATCATTGACCAGGTTCCAAGCTCTCCGCGCAATTTTCATTAGGTTCAACTCTGAGAAAGACTAAAGACTAAAATATCTATTATCACCCCCTAGGCACCTTCCCTATAAATTCGATGTGTTTGTGGAAAGAACGCATCTCAGGAATCAAGCCACACCTCCGCTTACACGAACATGTGGCTGATGCCGACTTCCATTCATTGAGGGGTCGCGATAAGGCACAGTGGAAGCGGCCAATGAGACGATGACGTTGACATCGACCTGCCTTCCTTCAAAAGGGCAGGAAGTGCTCTAGGTACTTCTTCCTTTCCCGTCGGACAAGAAGTCAGATATTCCAGCATCTGATTGAGTCACCAATACTCAACCCTAGAATTCAGCTTTTCGACAATGACGTACACTTTATCAATGCTTCATATTTCCCTCCCCCCCCTCCTCCTTCTCCTCCACCACCTCCACGGCGGGGCTGCTTGGAAGGTTCCCCATCAAGCATTTGACAACCTCCAGCCACCTCATGGCCACCAGCTGCCATTGGCCCTGGATCACGATGAGGATGTCGATATTTACGGTGCGACATCATATGCTGGTCTAAGAACGTTTGCGAACCTGCCGTTCGTGGACTGCTTCTCGGATGAGAATACAAAGGGACACAAGTATGACATTGCGGTCTTCGGTGCCCCTCACGACACAGTAAATGCAGTCCTCAATTAGCTGTTTTAACAGAGTGGCCATCTGACGCGTGGTGATAGACAACCACTGGTCGTCCCGGGGCTCGGTTTGGCCCGCCGGCCATTCGGAGCGGTAGTCAGAGAAAATCGCCCGGGCAATGGAGTGTGTACACGGGTAACTCATCCATCTACACAAGCTATGTACAGGTGGATGTGTTCATCTGACAAGACAACCACCAGGAAGAAACCCTCTGCAAGACTGGGCTACCGTGGTAGACTGCGGCGACGCCCGCCTGACCTGGCTGGATAACACGGCTTCATTGAAGCGTCTCGATAAAGTCCACACTGTTGAGTGATTCCTCGCTGAGCCATCTCGAAAGTAGGCGCTAATCATCGGGGGAAAGGTCCTTTCGGGTAGACCGGCAGCGAACTCATCGGTGTCGTCCACGCCGAGGATTCTCACGCTCGGGGGAGACCATACAACGACGCTGTCTGCTTTGCGGTCGACCTACCAGAGATGGGGTCCTGTCTCAGTCATCCACTTTGATAGTCACATCGGTCAGTACTTCTGACATGGGATTGGCATCTAGCTTACCATCTACGCAGACACTTGGGATCCTTTAGTTTTAGGTAAGCCATCCACGACTGGTCTCTATTGCACCAGATGTTGACGCTGAGCGCCTTCGCGCGCTTTAGGTGGAGGTATTTCCGATTATGCGTAAGTGAAGACATGCGACCATGCAGCTGCCGTTTTCTGACTGACAATAGAGGTCTTAACCATGGAACGTTCCTCCATATTGCTCATGAAGAGGTCTGCTAAGTTATACTACCCGGCGAAGTTGCTCTTACATGAAGCTAACAAGCCGAGAACCTGATATTGAATACCTCGATCCATGCGGGTATCAGAGCTCCATTGCTCCGACGGAAGGGTGACCTGCGGAATGACCTCCGATGCGGTTTCGAAATTGTCACCGCACGCGACTTGGACAAGCTCGGCACCAAAGGTGTGATCTCCAAGCTCAAAGAGCGAGTCGGTGACTCTCTAGTCTACATCAGTGTCGACATTGACGTGCTTGACCCGGCTTTCGCGCCTGGTGGGTTGTGTGGAACTGTCTATCTATCCGAGTGAAGCTAATGTTTTGCAGCAACTGGCACTGCCGAGCCGGGTGGCTGGTCTACGAGGGAGCTTCTTGCCATTCTTGATGGCCTTGAAGGCCTCTCCGTTGTGGGTGCCGACGTAGTTGAAGTTGCGCCGGCCTACGATAATAACGGAGAGACTACTGTTCTCGCCGCAGCCGAGGTTGCATATTCGTTGATAGATCTCATGGTTCTAAAGCCTGTCTAGTAAGGCCTGTACGGTGAAAGTTGGATACTGATTGAATCGTGTGGAATCAATTTTTCTTCATGCTGCCAAGAGTTTGACGGTCGGTGAAGAGGAATGATGACGAGGAGACGTCCAAGCAGGGGAAGTCGCGTTAACTGCGCGGCAAAGGGACAGACCAATGTCGTTTTCCTCGCTGCGTCGCAGGTCTGGGATAGCGAAGAGTATACTGGAAATCAATTGCATTCACAATGACAAGAAATCGATGACTTGGGGACCATTAAACAACGGTAAAAACAATGCCTTTCAAGGAATTTCGCAGCTTGTGTCGAATCATTACCGCCGATGGGAAATAAGAAGGCCTTTGTTCTCACCGGCCGACTGCTGTGAAGAAATGACCCAGTGATCCCTTTGAAAAACACTTTTAAAATTCCCGAAAGGTCGCTGAACAAATTGGCGCCTACCAAGACCGGGTGTCGAGATGCTTTCTACTAAAACCCGCGGGGTCGAGTCCTGCCTGTTGGCACTCGTAACTTTCTCAACTCAACCACCCACACGTACAGCAAACGCTCCCACCGAAACCACCGAAACCACCGCAAACTCAGATTTCCCATCGTCCACTGTCCATTTCCACCTGCTCTACACCAACTCAATTATACACACACTCATCTTTCCCACATCATGGCGAGCTCGTCAAGCGTTGCGCCTGAAGCCGAAATGCTACCCAGCTCCTTCCAAGAATCTGCATTTCCTGTGGGAAGGACCGGTCTCTCAGCCTCAGCCGGAAAGATTCTTGGCCGAGGCCCAGTCCGAGATCTCCCAAGCTCAGTAAAGGGCGCGTCAGAAGATGAGATTGAGACTGCTTCAGATTCAGAGGTCCCAGTCGAAATTGACCTCACATCTTCATCCAAAAATACATCTCCAGCGGAAAGCACGCCTCCGACCGAACTCACATCTTCAGCCGGAAACTCATCTCCAGTCAGCAGCACCCTTTCAGCCAAAAACACTCCTCCCAGTACGCCTCCCACCAAGATCAAGATCAAGCTCAAGGGAACGCCCCCGGCCCAAACACAGCCAAGCACCAAGCCGTCGCCCGGAAAGCTCCCCCTGCAGATCTCGCCACAATCATCAACAGGAGACGATAGACCTCGCACCTCGAGCGACGAGCACGTCCGCGCTCTCTCCACGCGCGTCGACATGGGCCAGGATCTCACCTACAGCACCACAGTCAACTTCATCGGCTGGCAGCATAGAGTCGAAGGCCAGATCAAGGATCTGAAAGACCAAGCCAACAAGACCGAGCGTAAGAGCAAGACGCGTCTGGACAAGCTCGAAGGTGAGCAGGAGAAGCTCGAAGAAGTCCAAGACGTGCGAGAGTCCCGCAGCTCCAGGATTGAGCGCCGTGTCGCAACCGTCGAGGAGCTTCTGGGGATCCAGAGACCTCGCACGCCTGGTCTGTACCCGCCTGGCGATCCGGCGTACTTTGGCGGACCGGAGAGCCCGAGCCGTTTACCTGGAGCCTGGGGACCCAGGAGCAGTCGCAGTTCCCGGACGGGTTCGCAGGTCCCTCTTCCCAGCATTGAGACAAGCAATGTAATCAAGAGTATCGCACCGCCCACAGGTGGCCGCTCTGCCATACTTGGGCCTCGTGATCCGGCATATCTGTCTCCTTCCAAAGTTTCTAGGAAGAGGAAGTATGCGGATATGGAGTCTGATGACGACGGTTATGAGAAGAGGGGAGCAAAACAGGCGAAGAAGGCAGAGACACAGACGATTGAGAAGAAGCCGGCGAAGAAAGCGCCAGCTAAGAAGCAGAGGCATGAGGATAAAGATGACGTGGAGGCGAAGAAGGCGATTAAAAGTGCCGAGACCACGCACAAGACTATGACTACACCACAGAAGCCCCAGAAGCGTAAAGCAGATGAGGAGCCCGAGGAGCCCGAGGAGAATGGCGAAGAGGCGAGAAAGCAGAACCGGGAAGAAGAAGACTCCCAGCCTCGCAGGAGATCCATCAAGAAGGTCAAGACGGCCAAGAAGTCTTCAGCCGCGCCGAAGAAACCCATAGCGACTGCCGAGAAGCACGAGGTCGCGGCAGTGAAGCAGAGCAAGATCACCGACACCTACCATAGCTCCCAACACGACACCGGAAACAAGGACGGCATTCAGGAAGAGCAAGCGGGTCTGAAGAGCGAGACGGGCGCAATGGCGACGCCTATCAAATCTGCACCGAAGCCGGAGCCCCAGCCTAGTACCAAGCCGGCGCCGGCGGGGACGAGAACCGGCCTTCGCAGTCAGAGGAAGTAGGCTTCTCTCGCGAGCCGACGCTGTTTCGGTCTTCTATATTATGTTGGTACGCGCCATTTTCTTCTTTGTCGTGTACAAACAACTATCAGTATCATAGGCTGCGGACTGCGGTCCTCGGAATAATAGGGAGGTCCACCTCGTTCTTACTAGTGATTAAGGATAGCGGTCTTGTGGATATTTCAGACCACGCATTGGAAGGCAAGGGTTTGCCTTTTCAATAAATGTACTACAGTTTTTCAAAACGATCAGGATGAGCAATCTTGTAACCAATGTTTTCGTGATGCCAAAGCCCCGAGTCTAGATGAGACCCCTAGTCTACGTCATCCGACCCGTCAACACGTCTAGAGAAGCCGAGAACGTCCCCAAGATATCTCAACACCACGCTCCAAACTCTGTCGCCGGCGCTGGATCCCACAAAGCCCCCAGTATTTTCACATTTGGCACTCAATAACCCCCATAGACCCCTCGCGTGGGCCGTCCCCCTAACATACGCCATTGCAAACACAGCCCGGGAATGCCCTCTACCCTCCACATACGGCAGCCCCCACAGCCCCCCGCCCAGTCTCGATCTCGACCTCGACATTCCCATCGCCAGCAAATCGACAACAATCTTCGGCACAGGCGGATCCACCAACGGAATCGACCTCGTCCTCGCTCTCTCCCGTTGGGTTGAATACCCAACAACACCGCTCCAATATGCCTCCCTCCTCCGCCCACCACCCTTGCCCTTGCCCAGCTTCCCCCGCGCCGGCCTCCTCAACGTAACAAACCTCTGCTCCTCCCACCGAGCCCCCTCAACGACGCAGTAACTCCCGCTCTCCATCTCGGCCTCATCCCAGGCCTCCAGCGTCTCCTCACGCCATCTCGGCCTCGACCTCGGCGCCGCAGCCGCAGCCGCAGCCGCCGTCATCCCCCCATCGCCGTCCCATCGCCTCACGGTCCTAGGTCGTCTGGGATAAGGCAGCCTCGAACGCCGTCTACGCACGTCCAGCCATCCGTCCCCGACGTGCCCTCCTCCCTCTTCGAGCCCGTCTCCGTCCCTGCGCGAGCGTTCGTGCGTGCTGGTGTACGTCGTCGCGCACGTGGACGACGTGTACGTTGACATCCATGACGGCGAATTCGTGTACACGGATGCGAATGTCGGTGCCTCTGGTACGCTCAGCGTGCTTTTCTGCATTGTCGTGTCTGGGGGGGAGTCGTTGTCGTCGTCGTCTTCTGGGAGGTGTTGCAGGACGACCTCTGGGATTGCGTCGGGCGTTGCCGCAGCGATGTTTGATGATGATAATGATGATGATGGATGAGGAGGATGGAGTGAACGGGCAGAGGAGGATGAGGATGAGGATGAGGTGGTGTGATCTGGAAAGCAGGCGAGTTCGAGTGATGACTTTTTCATCCTCGGAGCATGAGTATGTGCACCCTGCTGAAGCTGAAGTTGCAGCTGAAGCTGGAATTGGAGCCGCCGCCGCCGCTCCCTACACCGTTTACACGACGAAAGATTCTGACGCCTACATCTCTCGCAAGGTATCTCGACGACAGGCGTACAGGTGTTGCGGTCTTGGTCCACTTCCTCCTCGCTCGTCTCCGGGTCCTCCGGGTCTTCCGCGTCGGGGCAGATATCCCAACAAACCGAATCCATCCTCTCTGTCTGTTTTTATTTTTGGTCCTTTGAAATCTTGATAACCTTGATTCTTACAAGAATAGAAGTAAAACGACAGGAAAATAATTTTAAATCTCTCGGAAACACCCTCATGAGCAGAAGTCGAAAAAGACCATCTGATGTCTGGAATTTATTCTCCCCCCTCCGTCACCGCACGATGCTCGCACCCAAAGCAGTGAGACACGCATACATACGTTGGGGTAACGAGGCCGCATCGGAACGCGGCCGGCCGCGTCTGACACGCATACAGTAGTCCGGTTCCGGGTCCTTCCTCTCCCAACTCCCGTGGGAAATGGCGCACGCTAAAAAAGTCCTCCCGTTCGTTGCGAGACACGTGATTGGAATACGACTCGTTTTTGGTAATACATCTCATCCAGAGTCAGCCCCGGAGATGGCCTCAATTGGTAGTTGAACACTCTATCAGTTGTACATGGTTTGCAACCTGGCATTAGTATTTGATGGAACATCAAGAGTAAAGGCTGCTGAGATTGACAAGTGCTGAAAGAAAGCTGTTGGCGATGAGACGGTGATGGACTACGACTTACATCATCACTTATACGCCTCACGGTATCGGCTACGTCGGATTCGAGACCCAATGCAAATCATAGATAGCAAGATGACCTTTTGAATAAAGACAAATGACGGGCGATATGATTTTCATCCCCCTTCCCAACGCCAAGCAATGCCTACCTAACAATACAAAAACCCACCCTGTCATCTCACACAGAGGCCGGGCAGCTTCACTGCAGGAAGCAATCCCCAACACCCCCCTTTAATCCCAATACCGGATATCCCCCTCCGCTCCCGCCGAAACAAACTTGCTCGTCTCCTGCGGATGCCACGCGACACACGTAACAGCCTGCTCCCCGGCCTTGAGCTTATGATACATCTTGCACGTCTTCCAGTCCCAAAAGCACACGAACCCTTGCGTGTCGCCGCTCGCCAAAAACTGTCCGTCGGGGCTCACGCTCACGTCAATGGCCGTGCCCGCGTTGTTGTGGCCGCGGTACGACTTCTTGCGGTTCTGCCGGAACTTGTCGTTGGCGCCGTAGACGACAATCTGGTTGTCCGAGGACTGGAAGGCGACGTATTTCCCGCTCGGGTGCGGCGCCGCGCGCGTCATGGGGTACATGTAGGGCTCGGCAATGTATTTGATGGGCACGGGGATGTTGTAGTCCCAGGCGCGGAGGGACTTGTCGTCCGACGTTGTCATGAAGCGGCGGCCCTCGTCGACAAAGGTGATTGTGTTGATAGCTGCGAGATGGTGGTCTTGCGAACGAGTGTTAGTACATTGTGTACTCTTTCAGTCTTCGGATTGAAGATCAAAACATAGGAGAAGAAAGGGGCTTACCGTATTCTTGCACAATCTCGTTGCCAGCGCGCGTATCCCACTGCACAATCTTCTTGTCCGACATACCCGCCACAAACTCATGGGCATGCTCCGCCGACGGGTTGAACCTGACAACATGCGGCGTCTTGCCCGTCGAGAACCGGCTTAGACAGGTGCCCGTCTCCGTATCCCATAGCTTAATCTGCCGATCAAAACTCGCCGACAGGAACCGCGTGCCGTCGTTGTTGAACGTCGCGTCCGAAACCGCCTTGGCGTGGCCAGAGAACGTCCGCAGCAGCGCCCGCTCGTGATAGACGTCCCAGATCTTGACCGTGCTGTCCGCCGAGGCCGACAACAACAAGTGCCCCGAGCCCGGGAAAAAGCGCAGCGCCGTGACGGCCTTGGTGTGGTCCCGCCACGTGTGGATCTGCTTCTTGGGGATGTAATTCGTAACGCTCCCGGCCTCCTTGCGCAGGTCGACGTCGAGGTCCTGCGGGACGTGCATGTACGTCCGGCCCTGGTAGTCCGTCTCCGACGCGCCGTGGAACGTCGTCGTCTCCTCGCCCATCGCCTCGACCTCTTTCCTCCTCGCCAGCGCCGTCTCGGGCGCGCGCAGCACCGTCCCGCTCTCCACAACGTCGTCGTCCTCGCCCTCGTCCGTCACCTCCTCATACTCCTCGTCGCTCGCTAGCGCCTCGCCCTCGCCGACGATCTCGTACTCCTCGCGCCGGTATCTTGCCCAGGGCCCCAGGTACGCCCCGTCCCCCTCGACAATGGTCGCGTCGCCCTTGTTCTCGCGGCCGGACCGTATCCGCGCGTTCTCTTCTTTGACGGCCGCGCCCGTCTGGTACTCCCTCTCTGGTCCGCCCTTGCGCTCGATAGCGCGGTGTTTGCTGCGAAAGGTGTGTTCTGAAATGTACGTCTCCTCCGCCCTGCCCGTGAGAACGTTTTTGCGCTTCAGCGTCATGGCGGACTCGTCTTTGAAGGGGTTCGCGGGGCCGACCCGCGGTCGGGCGAGGTCTTCGCCGGTGTAGGGGACGACTGCGTGATCGGGCTCGGCTTCTTGCCGCACAATCAGCGCATCCTGGGGCGCCATGTTTGGCGGGTACTCTCCGAAGCCCGACATCTTGAATGCTGTCCCGTCTCGTCGCAAGAAATACGGCCGTGGGATGAGTGCTGTGTTGCGGTGGTCAAATGTTGGGTCGCGACTTGCGCTGGTTCCTGGTCGCAACTGCAAAAAGTTGACGTCACGTGATTGGAGAGCTACCCTTGGGATCTGCGGTTTCCGACCTCGAAGCTCTGGTCCAAGATACACACAAGCGAACGGAAAGCTTGGGCAGCTCTAGTACCAGACGCTACAACCACGGATACCTGAGAGTACCTTAAGGATTTACGCTGAAAACTTTAATCGCAGGTAGTCAGTCAGCAAGAGGTAGGGAAAATTGCTCGAGTGACATTCAGAAGATCTGTCATTACTCAATTATCGCAACCCGCCGCTCCCAGGACCAGCCGGCCTGGCAGCAACATAAAGTAAACAGCTAGGTATTTGGTCTTTCGCATCGTAATCTGCCTCCCGCCCAATTCGTTCCTTCATTCCGCCTCCACCATGTGTGATATTCCGTTTTTCTTTTCCCATTCATCATCATCAGAATCCAAACAGAGACACCAATCTCTGCCCGTAACTCCGGGACACCAGATCTTTCAGCTCCCATATCTCCTCGAAACCCCGCATTCTGGTATCATGACTCCCCTCCATGTCTAGCGGTTGCCCGCCCGATGCCTCCCCCCACTAGATAATAGCTCCGGTTGGTGCATCGCTCATTGGATGGCAGCGCATCGGCGTGTACTTTGGTTCGTTCTTGTCCACGTGGCATGGTATCTATATACTGGAATTCGTCCTGTTGTTGTGTGCAGGGCGGAGGTTCACCGTCTAAGAGGACTCGTCGCGGATGAGGGCGACAATCATGCTGTAGAGATAGAAGAAGAACATGATTAGGTGGAAGCCGAGCTTCACGAATGATTCCTGCACTAGTTGTCAGACGCGGCTAGATAGAGCTCAGGGGCATTCTTGTGCTTACCTTCTTGTGCACGTTCAGCTTGCGGAAGATCTCGGTGGCATCCAGCAGGTGGGTGTTGTCGACAATCCTGGGTTCAAGTCAGCTTCCTCGAATTCTGCACTACATGACGAGTCCTGTGGGGGAACGCACTTCTTGACATTGTAGGCGACGAGCGGCAGGTTCAGGATCAAAGGTACCCAGTATCCGTTGATCAGGAACAAAAAGGTCAGGAATCCATGGACGGCAGCTTCGGGGATGATGTAGGTGTTGAGGCGGTTGCAGAGGTCAATGGGGTTGATGTAGTCGCTGCAGAAGTCATCATGTTAGCATTCGACAGCAGAGATCATGGGATGACAGGTTATCTAGTCCGCCCGCTTCGCAGCACGGCCACGACTCAAGCTCGTCCGAGCACGAGAGACGCTGGCGTGCGCCGTGCAATATGCAGTAGCCTCAAGGAGGGAGACGGCTCGGGAACTCGATGAAAGGATAAGATGGGGGATCACGTACCATTCCAGATCGCTGTACATGATGGTGAAGAAAACTTGGAGGAAGAGGTTGACGGCGTTTATCAGCACCGCGAAGAGGAATAACCACGCTTCGCCGGACATCTTGACTGAGGTTGGCAGCGAGCTGCGCGAGTTGGATAGGTTTGAAGGGAAGGGAGGGTAGTTGCAGAGAGTTGCAACAGCAGCAGCGGCCGAGTGCAGTCGCGATTCAAGTTTGGCGGTTTGACTTGTTGCTCGCGAGGCTGCTTGGAGCTTGTAGGCGTGCGGGCAGGGGAATGTTTCTACGTCACTGGGGTGATGTAGGAGGAGGGATGGATTCAGATGGAGCTCTCTCTGGCTGCGGCGACGGTATCTGTAGGTCTGTAGGTAGATGGCAGGGCTGGGTCTGCAGATAGGAACTGCGGCTGCGTGTAGGTGGCGAGTAGATGTGTTCTGTCTGTCGGTCAGGCAGGCAGCTGTGAGATTTGTGCTTTTTGCAGTAGGAGAGGTGGAGGACGACAACACGTGGTGGGCGAGTTGAGGGAGTGAGATGAGGGTAGCGAAGAGAGTTGAGTTGCGTTGGTCGATGGCTCCTTGTTCCCGTCGGGGTAGCGTAGCGAGCACTAGCCGGGTCGTGGAAAATCGGGAGGTGGGTTACGGGGCTTGGAAACCTCTGATGATGAAAGAGGCTCGATGCCTTGCTGTGCGATTCTTTTCGGTTCAGGTCTCTCCAACAGCACCCGTGGACCCCTCTCCCCCGCCAGCCCAGCCTACCTACCTTACCTCAGTGCCTCACTGCAGTGCTAGGTCCTGGGCTCCCTGAGGGACGGGCTCCTCAGGTAGGCCCCGGAAACCCCTAAAAGGCTTAGCGCTAACCCACTTTCCCACCTCAACCCTTCGAAACCTTCCAACTGAAGTGCACCTCACACTGCACAGGTGCGTCAGCAAGTGAGGTCAGGTACGTACCGTTTGACATGACTGACAACCCTGACAACCCTGACAACCTCCAGGGTCAGGACTCTAGGAGGGCAGCAAGAGTTTTATCGCGCTCCGACCGGCGAATCCCATTGTTGGCCATGATGAAATTCTAGGCCCCGTCTTGCCATCTTACCCACCGTACTGATATTGCCTGCACAGGCCCCGGCTCAGTAAGGCTTGTCCGGCCGGTCAAGTGCGAAAGCGGCAGCAGGGCAAAGCCATCGCGTCCTCTCCACTAGGTGGCTGGGAAGTGCCAGGTTCAACTTCAACTCCCCTCCATCTCGCCTTTTCTCAGTCAGTGACACTCAATACCCTAATCTAAGCATTGTTCTCACGTGAAGGCCTGCCTCTGCGACCGACGAAGCCAATCTTCGACTCCGCGCTGGTTTGGATAGTTACTCAATGAGGAACCGATGCCGGGCCCTTCAATGATCGTGGGGTTTGAGAGGGCGAGCACTAGTCGAGACAACGGCGACTCAGGACCCCCCCCCCCGGCACATCCCTCTGCCCATGACAGCTGTCGTCTCCAGTCGCATGGGACAGGGTCCAGCCCTCTCGGACGGGCTATGCGCCTCTACTGTGGCAGATGGCTGTTGCAGAGCTGTCATTCACGTGGCGTTCTCTTCGCGTGTCGTGTTTCAATCGTTTTTGATATTCGACGCCCCTTGTCCCCGTCGCGCCAATTGCTTGCTTGCCTTCATGGCACTATCCCCCAAACATCGCGTATGCCAGAGCGATGCCTGATCACATCCCACAACTTCAACTCCCCGTCCGCTCGCCATGAGTTCCCGCCGTCATCTAATCCCACTCGACACTACAACAACTCATCTCAACGCCTCTTGTGCTGTACTCGCTTATGCCCGTGACCATGCTAATGTTGTCAATTATGCGGTGGTGCCCTTCTCCTCGCCGTTCGTGCCAGGCATCGGCACCTTGCCACCAGGCGAGGTGGCCGTTCTAGCTGTGAGAATTTCTACTCCATCTTCAGTGACCAGGAGAGTGTGCTCTGTCCATTCGTGTTAGCTGCAGTCTTCTCAATGCCTCCCACAGAAACCATGGGGTAAGCGCAAAACATCAAACTTACCAAACTGCGCAGTCTTCTTGCCGTCGATCGTCGTGCTCGTCCAGTTATCGGGCCAAGTGACGTCGCGGTACTTGCCCAGGGCGATCATTGGCTCAATGGTGAAGGTCATGCCGGGCTTACACTCTCCCACCGTCTTGTTCTTGGCGTAGTGGGGGACGTTGGGGGGGCAGTGGAACAGCGAGTTGATGCCGTGGCCGCAGTACGTGCGGATGACGCTGCAGTTTCTCTCCTTGGCGATCTTTTCGATGATGTTGCCAAACTCGCGGATGAGCGTACCGGGCTTGACGGCGGCGATGGCGGCGTCGAGGCAGTCGCGGGAGGCTTCTACCACTCTGACCGCGTCGGGGTCGGCCTTGGCCCGGTCGCCGACGTAGTACGTCTCGTTGAGGTCGCCGTGGTAGCCCTCGAAGAAGAGGGTGACGTCGATGTTGAGGATGTCGCCGTCCAACAGTACCCGCTGGTCAGGAATGCCGTGGCAGATGACCTCGTTGAGCGATGTGCATACGGACTTGGGGAAGTGGTTGTAGTTCAAGGGCGAGGGGTAGGCCTGCGGGTTCACACTTTTGTCAGCTCAACGCTCCTCCTGTCCGGCGCCCATCGTTCGCGCCCATCAAGCGCGCCTAGCGTGTAACCTACGTTGCGCTCTATGCAGGCCTTGTGGACAATCTCGTCAATGTAGTCCGTCGTGATACCGGGCTTGACGGCGGCGGCGGCAATGTCCAAAACCTCACGCGCCAGGCGGCAGACCTTGCGCATGCCGGCGATTCCCTTGGCGTCGAGGACATCGATCTTGTTCCTGTTGAGGATGCTTCTCGGGTACTTGGGGATACCATCCTTCCACCAGTCGGGGTGCGGGATGTGCTTGGGTACGGTGCGGCGTTCGGACAGAGGGTAGACGGGTCGGAGGGGTCCGGCGAAGGGGTACGTCGGGAACGGGTTGTATACACCTGTCTCTGGATCTGGTTTAGAGACGACTTTTGGCGGGAGGACATGGTGAAGTATACTCTGTTCAGACTTGTGCATGGACTTGTGGCTTCCCTGCGAGTAAAGGTCAGCGGGACGGTGTCTAACATGGCGCATTGGCATGGCGCCGCGGGAGAGCGACGAACCCAGTTCTTCTTGAAGCAATCCTGCGAGCAGAAGAAGCTGCCCTTGATTCCGAGCTTCAAGCATGTCGGGCACTGGAGGGAGCCGGCCTCGTTGGGACAGTCGACTCCCAGGCACATCTTCTTCGCGGGAGGCTCAGTCATGGTGGGCGGTCGTGGAGGGGTAACAAGTATGCGACCAGGTGGTTACGGAGGGTAGTATTTCCTGGGCGTTGAATCACTAAAGAAAAAGAAGACTAGAGACTGCCCGACGGTGATCGACGAGTAGAAGAGTGAGAGAAGGAGGACCCTGGATTGGAGCAGGGTTCGGACAGACGAGGCGGCGGCGCAGTCTCAAACACACGCCCTAAATTTGACGGTTCGGCTACGAGCAAACAAAAAGTGACCTGACGAAAGAAATATTTCCATGTCCCACGCTATGTGATAGGCGGTTGGGCGCGGCTCCCCGCAGCCACGCTGCTCTGCACAGGGCAGCTGTATTAAGTGGCATATTTTCTTTTAGCGGACGGTTCAATCTCGGGAATTGATTGAAGATTGATCATCTATCGATAACGATAAGACATGGATTGAGTTTGTAAGCCACGGCATTTATATCCAGAGAACAAACGCCTGCGAGAAACCTGGAATCCAGAAAAAGTCTCTGGTCGGAGCTTCCCTTGTCGGAGCTTCCGGGGAATACCCGCCAGCCGAACACCACCAAGCAGCCACCAAATCTGACTTGCGCCGCTCTGCGCTCTGCGCACTGCGCAAGGCATCAAACGAGAAAGGGAAAAAGTCGTTGACGCTGTTCCCCCTTGACTCCTCCCGTCCGGCCGGGTCGACCCGCCAAATGGTCGAACCATCATGCGAATTCTCTGAGTCCTCTCACGCCACTGCGTAAATCTTTCTTCAAGTTTCCTCCCTCACGTCTTGAAGCAGGAGAGAAAGACAAACCAAAAACCAATAAAGCACCAGTGAACGAACCTTGTGTCCAGGCAAAACATGGCAAAGAACCAAAAGGTCGTTGTGGTAGGCGCCGGCCCCGTCGGCTCGTTGGCTGCGCTCTACGCAGCGCAGCGCGGGTACGAGGTTGAGATCTACGAGTTGAGAGCTGGTAAGTCGCTTGTTTGCTTTTTCTTTTTCCGTTTCAAAGTCTCTTGTTCTCGGCCGGCTCAGGCGCCGCCGTTGAAGATCATGGATCCCCCCCTCACCTGCCCCACCAATTGCCACATTGAATAGCCTTGTTTGCCATGATGTCCGTTGGTGGATGCAGACAGTGTTTGTTTGCTGCTCTGCCTTATCTGAGGGGCTGATCCCGGCAACTCTATGGATTGAAGCTGTTATCAATCATCATTATCATTGTCATTATCATCATCATCATCATCATCAACAACGCAACTAGTTGATATCAGCCTGGATATGGACTAACAGAACAAAATGGAGACCTGAGAGACCCCACAACAACGCTCTTAAACTTCACGCGCTCCATCAACCTTGCGCTTTCCGAGCGCGGCATCAACGCCATGCGCAATGCTGGCCAACCAAAGTTACTGGAACATGTCTTTGGCGCCACCATTCCCATGCGGGGACGCATGATCCACGGCAGGACCCCGAAAGGCGATCTGTACGAGGCTTCGCAGGACTACGATGTCCACGGCAGGGTAAGTCAATTGAGCCCAGCCTCACCCCGAATAGCCGGCCATGTGATTGTCGTGCTGACTGTAATCCAAGGCCATTTATGCCGTAGACCGCGCCGGCTTGAATAAGCGCATGCTCGACATCCTTGAGGAGATGCCCAATGTCAAGTTCTTCTTTAGCCACAAGCTCACCGGCGCAGACTTCAAGAAGTGCAAGGCCTGGTTCGAGGACATGACGTCCGGTTCGGCTACCGGCCGCGCCAAAGAGATTGAAATCGATTTTGACTTTATGATTGGCGCTGATGGCGCCCACTCCGCCGTCAGATACCACCTGATGAAGTTTGCTCAGATGAACTACAAGCAGGAGTACATCGACACCCTCTGGTGCGAGTTCCAGATCAAGCCTGCAAACGCTGCCTCGCCTGAGGGCAAACCGCAGTTCAGAATCTCACCAAATCACCTGCACATATGGCCTGGCAAGGAGTTCATGTTCATTGCCATACCTAGCGATGTAGGTGTCTCAAGAAACTGCTTCCGTACGTACAGCCAGCTGACAAGATTCCAGGATGGCTCCTTTACCTGTACGCTATTCTTGCCCAACAACCAAACAGAGGCTCTTGAAAACGATCCGTCAAGTCTACCGGCCTTCTTTGACAAGCATTTCCCCGGAGTTACAGACCTGATCCCATCCAAAGACCTGATTGAATCCTTCAAGAGAAACCCTCACTTGCCCTTGATCAGCATCAAGTGCAGCCCCCACCACTATGACGCCTCAGCGGTGCTTGTCGGCGACGCCGCGCACGCGATGGTCCCCTTCTACGGCCAAGGCATGAACGCGGGCCTGGAAGACGTCCGCATCCTTTTCTCCATCCTGGACAAGCACCGCCGGTTGGGCGAGGCCCACAACGACCCGACGGGCGAGGCAGACGCTGACGCTCACGCCGCGGTCGTCTACCAGCGAGGCGCGGCGCTGGCCGAGTACACGGCCATTAGGGTCCCCGACGCGCACTCCATCAACGACTTGGCGCTGCAGAACTACGTCGAGATGCGCGCGTCGGTGCTGTCGCCGCGCTACCGCCTGCGCAAGTGGCTCGAGGAGAAGATGTCGGTGTACGCGCCGGGGCTGGGGTGGCAGACAAAGTACTCGCGCGTCAGCTTCGGGAACGAGCGGTACTCGGAGGTCGTGGCCAAGAGCGACTACCAGGGCCGAGTGTTGATGAAGACTTTTGAGGCTCTGGTGTGCAGCCCGTTGATTGCAGGGGCCGTGTTCTTGTGGTGGAAGAGGCCGCGGGTTGTTGTCGGCGCGGTGCAGGGGCTTTTGCGGTATTTGCTGCGGGCGACTGAGGGCGCGTGAGATGTGTGATCTGACGAGAAGATATCTCTCCATGAGTCCATACCTTTAGTGCTGAATTCTGTATTACCAACATAAAGACTCCAAATACAATATACCCGCTGTACGGCTGAAACGCTTTCTTTTAGCGAAACCAATATATTACAATCCATTCGCAGTGTATACAATTCTCTTCATGTCCGTTGTCGACTATAATCTCATCACGGGGCTCAACATGTCAACGGTATCTGGCTCCATGATGTTTCACCCCCTGAGGGTTGAAAAATCCACTCGTTGGCTAATGCAAGCCATTCTCAAGACTACAATCTCTTCGCTTTTTGAAGCCTCTTTCTTGCTCTTTCTTTGAACAGACTTTCTCCAAAGGCCAAAGTAAAAATAGAGTTATGCAGTCCAAACCACAGAAGCTTGACGCGGTGACTGTTTGAAAGAGGGTTTACTACGCTGACCATCTTCGATGAATATAAAGACTTCAGCCTGAGACTAAATAAGACTCAAATTAATGGCATCACTCGAACGCGGCGGCTTTATTTGTTGCGTTCAAATATTTCAAATCATTATTGAGTAAGGTGTGCAACACTCAAGCCTTCTCGACTTCAGTACCTATTTGCCAAAATTATATGGCCACACTCGCCGAGTCAACAAAAAAATCCTCAGTACCCAACCCGATCAAGACCCTTACACAACCACCACCGGTACGCCTCAGACGGGATATTGGACCGCGCTTCCAAATCCATCCGCGCAATCTTATCCATGTCCTCCCCGTCCAGCAAGATATCCGACTTCGAGTTCTCCTTGATCTACCACTTGATGACGCTTTTGGGGATTACGAACCGCCCGCTATTGACGCCCAACGCGAGCGCCACCTGTACGGGCGTCTTGCCGTGCTTCTTTGCGATCTCGGTGAGCGTCGGGCGGTCGACGACGCGGGCCATATGTGCCGCCTCTTTGCTCTACGAGACTTTGCGGTAAAAGGCATTTTGGTCACTGAGCTGGGAGAAGTGCGCCACGTGGATGCTGCGGGCGCGCCTGTAGTCTGCGAAGGTGCCTTGTTGGAGCCTGGAGGTAGGGGTGGAGTTCCAACTGGTGTACTACGAGAAACTGCGGGTTGGTGGTGATTAGCTTCAAGCTCTTTCAATGTCTGTCCGTCCTCCTCTTTCTTTTTATTATCTTTCTTGAGATTTTGAGAAAGCCTTACAACCGAAACCTTCCTCAAGAGCATCTGCACATCGTCCTTGCTAAAGTTGCTCACACCAATGGCCTTTGTCTTGTCGGTCTTGAGCAGCGCCTCCGTCGCCTTCCAGGGGTCGACAAACGTCGTCTTGCCCATGATCATCTTGCCATCCGCGCCCTTGGGGAAGCGGTTCTCTCCCCTCTAGAATGTGTAAGAGTAGTACATCAGGAACAGGTCCACGTAGAGCGTGTCGAGGTCTTTGAGGGAGGCATCAAGGGCGGCCTCGACGTCGTTCGGGTGGTGAGAGTAGCACAACGTTCACTCCATTTCAACCGCGGCCCACTCTTCTCCCAGAGTCGAGAACTTGAATTCGTCTCTTTGGGATTTTGGATGGAGGAACCAGCGCTCGCGCTTCCTATTAGTCCAAACTCTGCTCCAATAAAAAAAAAGTCCGACGGAAATATCGATACCATTACCCATCCTGGCGGATTTCCCGTTACGTGAAAACGGAAACCACGCCTAAACCAAACCAATGCCAAAGCAAAAACCAAACCGATAGGCGCACGCAAGCGATGATATCATCGAATCCGCTAGATATGGAGTCTTGGTCCGAGCCAAGACTCAGAGAAACGGATCCGACTGTGATCAACCTGCTTTCTCGGGCAAGTCTGTTGGCAGGTCTGTTGGCAGGTCTCGGCGTGCGGAATCTTGGTCATCTGTGAGAAATTCTCGTTTCCCATGGTCGAGACGCTCCTCCAGCACATTCTTTTGCCCCGGGTGGGATGGTCTTTAGCAGACCGCCTTGAGGAAGATTCTGTATTTACGAGTTGACTCTTTTGAACTAGAGGCCGATGCGCCGGTGATCTGATAACGGCGAATGGGATACCCTTGACTCCCTTGCGCATGTGAGGGCCAAAATTGTCGTCAAAACCATTCCATTTAGGCAAGTCGAGACCTTTGGGTAGCGCTCGGTTGCCGTCGGGACCCAGAGCTCCCACAATTAGCCAGGGTGACTGAGGCTGGACCACACGGAGAAGCGGTGCCTCAGCCAAGGAATCTAGACAGTTGGGATCCGTCGAGTTGATTAGATTAGATCGAGTTCGACCAGTCGATGGGCGTGTTCCGTCTCCTTTCGACTCGTGTAGCAAGGGAGATCTTAGCTTCCAACTTGGCAGTTGACGCGGGTCAAGACTAAACATGCTTGTTTTCCCAAGACATGAGATGAACCAGTACCTTTTGTTCCTGAAGCCCATGCGCTACAATTCCGAGGTCACCGGGGATAGATTGCCCCGACAAGCTCGGCGGTCTAAGCAGGATAGAAATCATCGTGATAGGGGGGAGGTATGGTTTGCTGCCGAGTCAAAAGATAACATATAAATACTAAGGGCTCTCCCTGGTCTGCTCAGGAGAAGATCTACAATACCTGGCAAGGATCGTCACTTATTTTTAAAAATTCATTTTTTTGCCGCGTTCTTTACACCGAAAACGCACAAGAGGAGGTCGTTCCTCATTGCAACACAGCTCCTGGCCGTCGCCATGGCCGGCGAGCCATTGATCAACGAGTTCAACACCGGCTTCGTGACTTACCTCGACAGCACGAACTATACCAAGGGATTCCTCACCCTCCTTGAAACCATTCGCGTCATCCCCAACTTCGACTGGGCCACCCGCTACGACACAATCAACGCCAATTCCGACTCTTCCGGCCTGACCTGGAACGTTTGCGACCAGATGAAGAACTAGACCTCCCTACTCATCACCCTGAAGGGTATCACCATCGCCGAGGACGCCACACTCGCCGTCGAGAAGGGCGCCAAGGCCATCTATATCTCTGACCATGGTGGCCGTCAACTCGCCCATACGCCCGGTCCTCTTGAGATCGACTACCAGATCTACCGCAACGCCGCTGAGGACTTCCAAAAAGTTGATGTCCTCATAGATAACGGTGTTCGCTGTGGTAAAGACGTCCTGAAGCCTCTTGCCCTTGCATCGGTATGCGGCGTCCCATAATATACGCCAGCTATTACGGTCTTGAGGGTAATACGAAGGCTCTCGATATCATCAAGACTGAGATCGTTCGTGATGGAAGTCGTATGAGCGCGACTGATGTCCACGACTATAGCACCAACTTCGTAAGTTGAGTGCAAACCAGAACAAGAAGAAAGTTCTTCCGATTTGCCGCTGAGCCTTCGCCAGCTCGTGCAGCACGTTTTCCCCTTTGACAAGCAGTAATTGGTGTGCGTTGAGCGTGCCATACAGTCCAAAATATCAAGCTGTGAGATCAGTTGCATTCAGCGTTGCTTCGGATAGAAATGGGTTCTCCTTCGTATTGGGACCAGGCACTTCTTGTGGCGCCTCGTTTGATGTTCAAATTCATGTGCTTGCTTGATCAGACACATTTATATAACACAAAAAGCGTCATGATTATGTCTTGTCAACTTTGCTCCTTCACTATTTCCACTCAAGCCGCGACCAAGTAGACATGAAGCTTGTTTAAGGAAGAATATCTGGCGCATTCTCATAATTAAGGGGCCCATTAACTTCAAACATTGTCGGCCGAACTGCATTTAGACCCGTAACGACGGCCCCGCATCGAACTTCGGCCCCACCTATACTCGCTGTCCGGCTATCCCGAGTCATTCTCTCCCACCAACGCGAGAACTTTCGGCCATATTGCACCTTTTATCGCACTATTGATGCTTCCAAAAATCGCCTTTACGTTTGGAAGCTACCCTTCTCGGGCCCAAAGTATCCTCTCTCAGGGATGGGGAGAATTCCGATCTGAGATCCGTCCACTCCAGCACCACTGACCGTGTTTCCCCACCACTTCAGGGAGATTGGGTTGTATCCAACGGCAAAGAACATGACGAGCGCCGAAACAGCGACTCCAGCAGTCAGGGCAGCTGACAGGACGTAGTTGTACTTTTCCCACCAGGCTAAGCGATGTCTGGGAAGCCAGTACATGAAGATGAATCCGAGGATGAAACCAGGCGTTTTGTATGACAGATTAGATGGTGCCCAATGCTGGATGCCTTGGATGACAAGGACCGGGTTCAACCATAGCAGCGAAGCCACAAAGGGGAAGAGCGTCCTATCCAGACGAGCAAATGTCTTGGGGTTTAGATTGCGCCGCAACTTTTCTCGGACCCCAGGAAGGTACTTTGGGCCGTAGCCTTGGCCAACCAAGAAGACGATGGCAATGAGAGTTCCAAAGAGGAAGCACCCTAACAAATTGTCAGTCCCCCATGCGTGACTGTGCCTATGTGTACCGAGGACTTACATTTGAGGATAGGATAGAAGGACACAAACATGCGCTCCGAGCCGAGAAGACCCCACATCAAGCTGTTCGTGTAGAGAGGAGCACCGTCGTTGGCACAAGTGAATCTACTGGGCTGCGTCGGGGTGCATAGCCCCTTGACGTTATCCAAGATGAAGTTCTGCGTAGCCACGGCCACGAAGCAGGTAATAATAATCGTCCCGATCTGGCTTCGGAACACCGCGCGCGGGGCAATCTTGGCGTAGTGCGCCATCTTCTGATCCTGGACGTAATTGTCGCCGTAGCCCGCGAGCGCCCAGGACCCCAGGGTTTGGGAGAAGAGGAAGGCGTTTGTGTTGCCGGGGAGGAGGTAGCCGGTGATGACCTGGATCAGAGCGCCGAGCCCGAGGTTCGTGCCCGTGGTGGCGGAGAGGAAGGAGAGAGGCACCGCGAAGACGAGGTTGATGGCGATCATGAGGAAGACGATCCAGACCGGGGTGCCTAGGGGGTAGATGTTGAGGAATATGACCGAGACGACGATGGCTGCGACTAGGATTATGAGGAACCACCAGTCTGGTACCTCAGGGTACTTCGCGAGGAGTCTGCTGTGGATGTCCATGGCGCCTTCAAAATTACCCCTTCCGTGACGCAGTCCCTTGTAAAAGTCGATGTATGCTTGAGAGATTGTTTTCCATTGGTTTCTGTGTTCTAGTTCAGTCATCGCGTCAAGTGGGGAAAACTCGTCATACTTACCCCATGATGTACAAAAAGTAGATTGGGTAAAAACAGTAGTTGGCGCCGACCGTCAGGAGATAGCCAGCCGAGTAGAACGGGGGAGAGTACTCCTGGTATGCGGTTTCGTTGAGTTTATTATTGAATACCACATTCTGAACCACGTACGGGGTGCCGTCGTTTGCAAACGCAGAGGAGGAGTTGATCGGGAGATAAGCTGTGTTGTACATGTTGGTGTAGTAGATGCCGATGATGATGACCCCGCCCAGTATGGCACCGATATACATTGTACACGTTGCGAAGAACGGCTGAGCCAAAGCGGCGTAAGACGATGTCGCAACGTTCCAGTCAAAAGTGGTAATGGGGTTGAACAAGCCCAAACCGAGCGAGGAGCCTGTGATTATGGCAAGGGTCACGTTCTGGGGTGATATCCAGGTCATCCAGTTGAACGTTGCCAAAGCTGTGAAGAGGTAGCCCGGGAACCAGTAGTAGAAGAACATGCAGATGGTGCAGACGTAGAAAAATTTGTATCTCGAGATGGTCCACCCGTTGATGTTCTCCCGGGGTTCCGGCCTGGTCAGGGCTCTGTTCATGGCAATCGTCGGCAGGATCGTCGGCCAGAGGGCCTTGACGGGGTACACGCTGAACCGTCTGAGATATCCAGCGAACCCCATTCCCATGAGTTGCACGAAGAGGGTGAGCATCAGCTGATATCCAAAGTTGACGAAATGGAGACCGTAGTAGACTGGTGACTTCTGCACAAGGATCATGCCGTAACTATTGGTGGTGTAGATGGCAATGTTGTACGTGATTGTCGCAAACATTTGCTCCTTGAAGTTCCAAGGCCCAGGGTTCAAGGAGTGTCGGGTGCCGCGCACGGTGATGCCCCAGTCGGGGAGAATGAACTCGAGGACCTTGGCGCACGGGAACAGCAAGATCTGGATGACCTGACCGCTCAAACCTGCACAACCATAGTCTTACTAAACGTGTACTCAAGACGGTTGAGTTACATAACCAGATATTGCACTTACTGATGGCGGGGAACCTCGAGTTGAAGAAGGTCGAAATAAAGGTTCCGATGACGGCCCAGCCTATACCTAAGAAATATGCGCGGAAGGTCTCAATAGGTACGCTCTGATCGTCCAAAATCTCGGCTACGGCGCGAACACCGGGGTATGGCGAGGAGAAGCGGATCATGACGGCGTCGATTCTCAAGTCGCGGTCGTAGTTTTCACCGTACTTCTTTGGTCCTTCGAGCAGCCTTTTCATCCTCTCCCTCATGTCGGAGGGGAAGTTCCAGTCGTCCTTGAAGAACTCCACCGATTCTTCGATAATCTCAATGGCCTCTTCCTCCGTCATCTCATTGATCCTTTCTAGAATGTACTCTCCTTCTCCATTGGGTGCCAGCTCCTCCAGCTTCTCGTGGGATATCTGATCCGAGATCTTGTGCTCCGGGTTGTTCACCCGTGCGGGGATCTTTTCGATGTCCTCATCCCGGGCCGGAGTCGGCTCCTCTCCGACGATCTCCACCTTTCCGGACATTGTTACCCGAGGAATCGACGCCGTGTACTACCGGGTCCGTAGAAAACTTTACTTGTCAAAGGACTCAAAGACGCTTGAGGACCACGCGTCTATTCATCTTAAATGTACGGGAAAGTCGCCGAGGATATATACCGCTGTCTCGTCGTCTGACTTAAGGTTGTGTGGCAGACGGAAGGCGGGGGAGTCGGGCTTCGGCCCAGCTATCGGGCGAGATAGCTCGTCCAACATGGGCAGAATCTGTCTCCAAATAGAAGCGTGCGCACCTATCCAACAACGTTGCATTTTGCGAGATCAACGTTGCGCTATCACGCCGTCTAACAGAAGTGCTGGGATCGGCCCATGTCCGTATCACCCCCGCATGTCCTTCCGACTCCTCCCCGGCTGTCCAAATACCTGACCTGCCAGACGTGGCCTGCGGGGTGCATGCGTCGCGAGGATCAGCGCCCCCTGTACTTGCGCTATCGACCGGTGTTGGACCAACGGCAGTTGATCATTCGCCACGACAAAATGCGACGCCAGACGATAAAAAGAGCCATGGAAAGATAGAGGGGACGAGGGTTTGGGTCCGGCGGATAGTTGCAGGAATGAGAGTGCTTTCCAGACTTTGAGAACCCGCGGACAAGTTCCGATATCTCGCGTTCTGATTAAAGTTGCGAATCCCGTTGCCGATAGCTTTGGATTCGCAAGAAATATCGATCTTTGACGTATTAGTGCTGGCGTATCGCCAATCGGCATCGTCTAGAGTCAAATGTGCAGATATCCGCCTCGACTGACAACTCTTACTGGCCAAAACCGGAGTTCATTCAATGCTGTATCTGTCTAGGGTACTACAGGAACGACTAGTCGTCTGATTCGATTCCAAGTATGAAGCACAACTCCGACCTAATGCATAATAAGCTCCAGATCCACCCTTGAATTGCAAAGGTCCTATTGTGAGGCTCTTGATTGGTACTGGTTTTCAAGATCAGCGTTCAAAGATGTAGCCAGTCCTCGTGTGACGGAATTCCGCTTACCAGACATGCCACACGATGTACGCCACGAACAATTGTCACCATTCTGGTTTTCCAGCATGGTTTCTGAATCCAGTTGACTGACCGCAATGCAGCCACAGCAGATTGCACTAAAGCACTGAATCCTGTCGGACGTCTTAGATTCCAAAATAGTGCTCCCTTGACCGATTTGTTCCCACTGTGCTCTCCAAAGGCGATGCTCGTTGGGTATGAAGAGCTCGCCTCCACGTCCAAAGCAAAAGGTGGCGGCGCCGCCCTTGACGAGGATACTACTGAGTAGAAAATTGTTGGAAGACTAAATCTTTGCTCCATCTCCGCATCCCGCATCCGGTATAGACGTTGATTTTCTCATCGCACTTGATTCCGTCTGGTATACCGACGCATACGAAAGCAACTAATCTCCGATTCAGCAACACGGGCTGTCTGTGGCGTTGTCGTACGTCAAAAGCACATCCGATATGGTCCTTCTGCGCGTCAAAGACAGCTGAAGGTTTCAAAAAGTTCGAGATTACTCAAAGGAGCTTACATAGTGGAATCGCGGTTGCCGTTGATTGAACCGTCAAGGGGGACAAGATCAGTGCCTGTTACACAGACGCCTGTTTCGCCAGGCGAGAAGCAAATCCCCTTCGATCTGGCTAGTCAGGGTCTCAGGAAGACTTTACACTTGGTCATAGCCGTAGGGACGATCGGTGAACCATATTCTTCCATCTTTGCTGATAATAGCATCGTTGACGGAGTTGAAGGCCCGAGAATGAAAGGCTGCCACGACTGGTTCAGTCGCATATGGTGGTGTTCTTGGCATTTTGAACAGACCGCTAGGATGTATTATCGAGCCTTGAGCACAGAAGAGAACACAAACCCCATAGTTGACACCGCCGATTCCCATGGCGATGTCTGGACAGGAGATCTCTTCATGCTTCATATGATCTCCCACGATTGCCAATGATTTTTTTGGAAATCTGGACCTTCCTAGAGCCCTCTTTGTTAGCAAATTGTTTGCTGGTGATGAATCGTTCATCTGTTCAGGGGACGAAGACGACGGCTTCGTGGGCGAAGTGGCAGGAGTCGATGTGTAGTGAGAGATCCCGCGATGGGCTTGTACCAATGAATTCATGGAAAGCTTCGCCATGAGTGCGCCATGGATCGAGGCTATCGAGCTTTCCTGTTTTGCTAGACATTGTGAGCCGTGAGTTGCAAAAGTAATTGAAAATCGTTTGAGGGGTTGTTTATTGAAATAATCCACCTTGGTGACTGGAAAGTCGAGCAGTCTCAGAACCCACCTACACCCCGCGAAGCTACGAACGTTGAGTCCACCTCCAGATCAGATCGTGCCGGGGGCCAGGATCTAAACTTTCCCTCAGGACAACGTTGCCCCACTGAATGCTAAGACCGGCCCAAGCTGCAGCTCCGAACACATCATGCAGTATCGCTATCTTCTTCGGACTGCCTATAAGGATGATTGTGGCAATAGCATACAAACTCGAGCAGATTCACGGCCTCGTCACCGCCGCGGAAGAAGCTCTCTTACCTCTCATCATTTAACTTTCCCTTTGGTCTTTCACTTTCGTCAATGACCTGCTCGTCTGGACCGCCAACGAAACCTTGTTTCTAGCTTGTGTCCCGATTTCGATCCACCTCGGCCATACGCAGGATGAGAAGATCATCCATCACGCAGTAAACAACCTGTACTTTGATAGCATCATGGTTGACATGTCCCGTTAAGAAAAGACGCGAATTTCGGTGAAGAAGGCGAAATGGGTCAAGTATTGCCATAAGCGCAGAATCGCGACCGGAGCTAAGCCCGAGAGGATGAGGGAACCGAAAATGGCGTCATGGACACGGCCGGACTGGACCAGCAAGACCATGATTGAGGAGGTTGACGAGTTCATCGCTACGGGTGTGAACTCCCCCGCTCCGGCGTTTGGCAACTTACACGACGAATATGGAAAGCTGGGCACGCAATTGAACTTTGAACGGTACATACTACGGCGTGCAGATGTTCCTGATAAGTTCCCGACAAGGGTACTGATAAGTTTGCAGCTTGGAAAAGATACGCGCCCAGATTGCAGGCAAAGTCTGGAAGGCTCTGCATGGCACCAACGGATTCCCGCCTGATCTGATGAAGCAGTGCATCGCTGCGGGCGCGACCAAGATAAAACATCAACAGGCTGGTGCTGGAAGACTATTACGCCCATCTCAGGTCCCAGCTCACGCGATTCCCGCCCACTACGCTTATCGAGGAGGGCACGAGCAAGGTTATCCGGCAGACGAAGGAATGAATGGAGATTTGTGGACCAGCAGGCCAGGCGTGATTGAGTGGTTACTAGGCGTCGGAAGCTTCCCATCGGAGCTTCAGCTACTCGCCGAGCGGCTTGACAGGCCAGCTCGATCGAATGTGCCAGGGCTCTAGTAGATTTAGAACGACTTTTCGCTCTCTGCTATTTTCAAGTGATATCCCGGCTTCTCGGATAAGAGGAAGTTATTTGATTTCCTGCAATAGATTGTAGACATGTCGATGAATGTACACTGAGAGCACAAATCACTCGATGGGTAGTCTGAAAGTGTCAAGCCGATGCCGCGATCCTTTTTGACACATTCTATTAGACGCTTCCGCTGCTGAGTGTACTGCTCAAGTCCACCTAGAACGGGAACGTTCATGAATGAGAGCAATGATTAGTATGTTTGGCATGTCGCCGCTGCATATGACCACCAGAGTTGCCCGTTACATTGGAAAGGATGTAAGTGTACCAAAAGCCAGAGAATTGGTCCAGATCGGCTCAATGACTTTATTGGTAGAACTCGTATAAGGGAGTGGTTGGAACTCGGCCGTTACGTGCCGCCTCCAGTTTTCCAATATCTTCTTCAATGTATCGGCCGCTGCGATCCTAGCGTTAGGATCATTCTTCTCCGCTTCAGTCTCTTCATGCGAGTAGAATGAGACCACCTGCGGAAAAACGTAGGATGACTCACGAGCCCTGGATCCAAAACACTCTTTGCAGATGTCTTTCCCAATCCTGTCTCGAATTGTTACTCCCTCAAGTAAGTTTCAAATGGTTGGTTCCATGGGTTACCTACTTAATGATGCGTTACACAGAGTTCTGGAATATGATGTGCTCCTGCAACTGCGATGGCAGAGCGGTTGCCGAACGCCGAACCCGTTTCTTAAGGCACTGGCATTCATCGAGCGTCGGGGATCTCTCATGCAAGTATGAATGAGAAGCGCGTGGCGTATGAGTGAGGCCTTCTCCGTTTGGTCTTGGAGAGGCCCCGTCCCACGGCAGGTGATTGCACGACCGAGCTTCTGAAGAGATTAACGCCTTCTTCAAAGTCGACATTTGTGAAATCAATGTCTTATATAGCCGCATGTTGGAGAAGAAGGTCGACCCAAATGGCCATGGCGTTCTCCTGTGCTGTGCCTTGAAGTGTGATGCCTGTGCACAACGCGTCGACCTGCTCCAGGGAGTCTTGTTCGAAAGTCGGTCTATCGTCAGCGCCGTTGTCATATGATGTATCGATGGCTTCGTCGTTAGGCGGTGCTATCGCGGTAGCGCTTGCTGTACAAGGTGGATGTGGTTCTCCAAGTGTGACTGTTGGTAGAGGAGCTGATTCGTCATCGCAAATAACAGGCGGACAGTCGGAGCTCGGTGGACTGGATGACCGAGGCGATTGAGACTCTCGCAGAGTCGTGGACTTCGGGGTACCACTATTTGTAGTGGCGACTGAGATGATAGGACCAGACCGGAGCGTTTTGTGTTTGGTGGTCACCTCGAAGTATAGAGACAGTGGTTGGAGAACTGCAAACGGGTAGACACCGGTGCAGGGTAACCTGGAGAAACCCCACTAAACCTTTGGAGACGGCTCCGGCTCGGAGTTCCCGATGTGGGTCTACCGGCCTCCGACCCCCGCGACCTTGCTTGACCGTCTGATTTGCCTCAGCCTAGCATGAGTAGAATGCGCAATTGACGTTGAGGTGTAGTGTCTTATCAAATAATTCATTTTGGAGTTTGTTTATTGAATTTGTTTTTGGCTGCCTCCAATAGAAATACAAGTTTTGAAAAGCTCCAAAATGCATACGTGACAAACTCAGCTGGTTTGAAAATAGACAGCGTTCGCGATGAAGACGTCCTCTTTGATCTTTTCCGCTTCTTTCATGAAGCTAAAGAACGTATAAAAGACATTGTTCAACCACGGAATCTGAAGAGCCTTCGACGTACCAAAATCGGCGATGATGAAGATGGCTATTTCAGGCTCAGGTCAGCCGCGGGATTTCTGTCTGCGAGCATGTTGCAAATTGGATAGCTTACTCGATCCGTACATTATTATACCAGCGATACCTTTCAGGTGCCTGGCCTGATAGTCTGACTAAGGGGGTTCACCGGGGCTCTTTATTGTAAAAGAGGTCGAGAGAGCAGGCTAGAGAGGGCCGATTCGATGGTCTATTAATATATGCACCTACCTTTCAAGGCTGGCCATCTATGCGCTTCTCATTTCTCGCCGACATCCCTCACAATACCGGTCCAGAATTGGATGATTTGCAGCCAAATAACCAACTGCACTCTTCGACCCGTGTGAAGCTTTCTTGATTTGAGACCAAAGAGCATGTGGTGATACTTGGTTACGTCAGCCGACTGTCCAAGCCGTACAACATCTTTGATATTGACGAGTTCTGCCTCAGCGATAACGTCTTGAGTGCCTCGTAGACATTGCAGGATATAGAGAGATTCGTCATCTCGGCCGACCTTACAAAGCCAGCGAGGTGATTCGGGGAACAAAAAGTAGCCGCCGAGCAGGACATGCGACGGGATGACCTGAACCGCAATAATGAAGCGCCATCGGAAAGCCGACTTGCCATTGTCGATTGAAGCTTACGGCATATCTGCATCGAACAAGCGGGATAGTTCACATTTCCCAGATTTTGGCCGTTTACTAAGATCCGACTCAAGCCAATAGGTGACCACGGCTCCGACGATGTTTAAAATGAACTCCATGGCAATGAAAGCACCGCTGGAATTATAGTCTGCAGGCTCCGAGGCCCAGACGCTGCAGTCATCTAAAAGTCAATGCCGAAGCCGACGAAACCGCTGCCCGAATCGCCCGGGGGACCGGTATTCGGGTCCAGGCATACCGATCTGATGTCACCTCCCGTGATACTATCGCGAATACCACCAACCAGATCACCACTGATTTCGGCCAAGGCCGTTTCGATGTAACCATGGCTAACGCGTGACTGCGCAAACAAAAGGTCGCTCGAGCCCACGGAAAGAACGTGGCACGACATGAACAGCGTCAATGTGGGCCGCGCGGGCCGTGGGAAGCATATTTAAGAAGCAAAGGGGAGGGAACCTGTTCATCACTACCTCCGTGAGCGCTATTCTGGCAGGTTGCGTACATTGCTTCCGAGGCGGAGGTCGCACAGCTTGCCAAAAGCCTGTCCGTCGAATGGGCTGATTTTGCGCGTGTCAATCGTATATCGCCTGGACACATCCTCACCGAGAGTCAGTTGTGGGTTTTCCCCAAAGTCCTATTTTTGGCACACCCAATGTTGCTTACATTGTTCCTTGCAGTGTTGACAAAGCAGCCTGGAGAGCTGATGGAGCATTGGCTAGCAATGATCCCTGGTGGCCGGGTTTTGTCATCCTACCGAGCTAAGAGGAGTGAGTGCACACTGTCCGCATTGCATGACACATGGACAGCCCTAGCTGATATTCCTCAGCTCTACGTCAACCTTGCTAGTGATGCAAGCTGTTACATGACAGAGTCGAACGTTGTGATCGATGGCGGATACGTATTGCCGTAGCCTTCAACCAGACTGGTGGAAGTCCGACAGACTGGATGTGATCTGCATCATGACGGAACCTGCAGATAGCTGCGGGATACCCACATCAGATCCATGGCCTCGATCTCGACGCTACATCAGTGAAGCAGGCAACAACCTCTCGTACTTCTTCGTTCGGGTACAGCTTCCCGCGGAGGAGTTCATGGGATTCCTTTCTGTTTCCTGGAGCCGGTTGGTTTTGTTCTTCTCACGCCCCACGAACTCCATCGGAGCATGCTTGAGCCAGGATGAGCGCAAATTGAGATGAACACCCCCACTAAACGTCGCTTACTGTGATGAGCCGGACGTTCACTAGCAATTCTCCGCAATTGAATCCTTCACGAGCCCTAAGTCTGTCCTTGAATGGTATCACGCGTGACCAGCTCAACTCCGTCTCTGAGCTGCTATTTCAAGAATTGGCAGATGCGTACCGATTGCATCAATATGGCTAGCCTATAATGAAACGAGGCAACCAGTACAGTACCTCTTCTTTCGCCATATACGAACAGCGGAGACCAGTGAGACAATTCCTTTCTTTGACGGAGGAAACAAGAACCTTTCAAGCTTCGCTATTCTCAGCAACTTTCAAATGCCATTTTTGATTATGGTGGCGTGTAAAGCCATGTTGCTTAGTCTTCGAAAGTGGGAATGACCCAGGTCAAGTTTTTTTTTTATTTCGTTCATCCGGATGGCCCGCTGATGGGCCACTGAATTCCAAATCGAGGTGCGCGCGCGCGCGCCATCGTCGCTTATCTCGTTTCTGATTCACCACACCACGATGATTCGTCACAACCCACCATTCTCATTCACGTGTCTTAGTAAACCTTACGAAGCATCGCCACAATGAACCGCGACCGCGATGTTTCGAGAAGCAACGGAGAGTGAAATATGAAGGATCTCAACCCTTGGCGAGGTTCAACATCAACCGAGCATATTCAGTGACATAGAATGATAAAAGAACCATGTTCACACGATGTTTGCGTCTCACAGAACACCAACGGCTTCACAAGGATTCTCACAAGTGAAAAAGTATAAATACAATTAGAAGATGTCTTCATCCGACAACAAACAAGCGCTCCCGCAAAACCAGCATAGTTCTGCATCAAGCGAGAACGGCACTATGGAAGTGACAACAAGCCCTGATACTCATGGGTTCTCTCTAATTGAGCAGAAAAGGATTATGAGACGGGTTGATGTTCGTCTCGTCGCAACTGTTGGATTGTTATATTGCTTCTCTGTCATTGACCGGTCGAACCTTCCGTCCGCCGCTGTTGCTGGCATGACGGAAGATTTAGACTTGACTGGCAACCGATATGTGAGTTCAGATAATGGAGGGAAACTCTGTACGTCGAAATGATTTGCGTATTGAGACGACTAACAATCGCATGATATAGTCGGTCGTTAGCCTGGTATTCTTCACAACCTATATCACTTTCCAGCCGGTCTCAGTCATTCTTGCCCGGACCTTGGGACCACGGGCCTACTTCACGGCCATCACGATGATCTGCGGAGTCATCGTCATTGGGATGGGCTTTTTGACACATTGGAGTCAACTGGTGGCCTTGAGGGTGATCCTTGGTGCGCTAGACTCTGGATTCTTCCCCAGCTGCGTTTACCTTTTAAGCACTTGGTACACTCGTTGTAAGTATTCTTTGTTTGCCACCAGTGCAAAGAATGCGTGCTGACGACTCCCAGACGAAGTGGGGAAACGGTACTCGGTGTTCTACATGGTTGTGTGCTTCGCTTCGGCATTTGCGGGAATCTTGGCTTTCGGCGTAAGTGCATCCCAAGGTCATAGCCTTTCAGCCTTCCCCTCGAACCTTGTGAAGTCAGTGTCTGACCCAAAACCACCAATAGCTCACCCAACTCGATGGAACCGCAAATATCAAAGGCTGGTCATGGATTTTCATCATGGAAGGTGTCATCACCTGCGCTATCGGTCTCATAGGATACTTCCTTCTGGTGGGGTTTCCGGATGCCCAAAAGGGAGCCTGGAAGTTTCTGTCCAAAGAGGAGACTGCTTGGGTAATTTCCAGAGTTCAGGCCGATAGAGGAGATGCAGAGCTGCCTCCTTTCAGCATCAAGAAGTTCCTGAGAGGCGGTGCTGACATCAAGGTCTGGGCGTTGTCCATCATCTACTTCAACAACGCCCTCGTCATATTCTGTGAGTCTTTTAATCGTCAATACTTCTAGTGACGCTCAACTAATTACTTCATGGGAAGCTTTGTCTTTCTTCTTGCCAATCATTCTCAAAGATAATATGGGATTCAGCACGGGAAAGGCTCAGATCTTGACGGCGCCGCCGTACGTATTCGCCGCCATCATTACTTATACCACTGGCTGGCTAGGGGATCGTTACATGCTTCGAGGCCCAATCATTGTTGGCGACATGGTCTTGTCAATTGTCGGGACCTGCCTTATGGGCTTCCACAGCGATGTTGCCGTCCGGTATTTGGGCGTTTTTCTCATCACCGCAGGAAGTGTCAGCGCCGTGCCGGCGACCATGGCATATCAGGCGAACAACATCCGAGGACAGTGGAAACGCGCATTTTGCAGTGCCATGGTAGTTGGTGTTAGTGGGATTGGTGGTATCGCCGGCTCCCTTGTTTTCAGGTATGTGTGTTGCGGACGGCGGCCGTCTCTCATGTTCGTCGCGGCCTTCCCCCTCAAAAGCGAATTCCTCTTCTTAAAAGCCAAGAGATTTATTGAAATATCAACAGAAGTCAGGACAAGCCTCGCTACCTACCTGGGTTGAGTACATGTTTGGGATGCGCGGTTCTGAATGTCCTCGTTGTCATTTCTCTGAGTTTCTACTTCCGCTATTGGAACGCGAAGGCTGAGCGTGGTGAGGTTGAGCTTGAAGCTTCAGACGTAAGTTGTGTCGAATTCCTCTCTTTGAAACTGACCCCAACCATTTCGAGTATATTTGCGAAGGCACTGCTAATTCATCGATCGTCGCCTACCTTAGGAGACTAAAGCATCGGATTTCCGCTACACCTATTGATGGTCCATCACGGGATCGAACTTACACAAAGCACTTATACACACTGCATCGAGGCGTTGGCGGTACTTTTGCATTGGGATATAGTGACCAAGCAAAAAGGCGGCGTTTGAGCCAATAATCTGAATAGACCATAGACACTGGACAGCGGCATAACCATACACACTCGTTTTCTAACAGTACGGCAACTTGAGTGACGAGAATAGCCAGCCAAGTACTCAGGGTGAGCTCTATCGTTTCATCAAGAATGCCTTCTCGTGAGGCTCTGCGATTCCGAACTCGGTGACAGATGTTGTGACGCTATCCACGAGTTCGAAACCAAGTTTTTCGTACATGGGCTGCGCCGTCTTCGTGGCCATGACCCAAACCTTCATTCCTACGGCATCAGCCTGCTCTAGGCCATTCTTGACTAAAGCCGAAGCTATGCCCTTACGCCTGTGATCCGGGTGCACCGTGAGGTAATCGAGAACTGATGAAAGTCAGTTGAAGTGAGGATACTCGTTCAACACTCATGGTATGCAAACCTAGGAATGGGCCTTCCTGCGATCGCATTGCAGCAACTTCAGCCTCCTCAAGCGGCAGTCCAAGAGCAGCCTGCAGTCTTCCATCCATACCCTTAATTTCACCACCCTCAGTATTGGCCTGGAAAGCTGCTCTGAAGTTGTCGGCTTCCTCTTGTGTGGGCTCGCGAACAGATGCTTCGGACCAGGAAATACGAGCATCGTCATCGGGCAAGATCCATCGCGCGTAGCCCACGACGTCACCGCTGGCGTCGTCAACGGCCTTCTGATGTCGCTTCTTCTCCCTGCCACCGACAAGGCTATGGGGCATGCGTGCTGTGGCACCCTCGATGATCTCATTCAGAGGCGCTGACTTCCAAAGCGCGCGCCAATGCAGGTCGGTATGAAAAAAAGGCCGTCATATTGTTCATTGAGACTGCGGCAGCGTCATCGTATGTAACGCCTGAAATAGTGAAAGCCATGGTTTGAAATCAGAAGGGCTGTGCTGTTTAGAAGTGAATCTTCTCAACAACGCGATATGAGCCGGATCAAGGGTTTCAGAATATTCTTTTGACGGTCTGGCTGGCTTTCACTGAATAAGTTCTTGCCGTGTCATATCATATCATATGCGCGGTGCAGCCTCATTTTGTAGAACTTGGAAGCTCATAGTGTAAATCTGTCCTTATCACCAGTTGATGATGAAGACACGTATACATAGTCCCTCAACTTCCTTCTAGGCAGCAGGATCCCGGGGAGAAGGATTTTACGGAGCTATTCATTACGCGCATCGTCCATGGGATCATGAGTCATCCTAAAGTCGTGGAATTTCTCAGCAGTGACTTGGGATGCCTATTTTTCATTACGAGGTGCTGAATTGCTGAAGTAAACAAGATTCAAAATCTTCACATAGTCCAAACTGCCTGCAAATACGCTAACCCCTTTCCGTCCACAACAATTCACGGAACATGGGGCACGGTACATCAGCTTCACTCTTGTTTACAAAAGAAGCCATTTCAAATCCAGGTGGCTCGCGGAGGTACGCATCGTGCAGAAAGGTGCTGCGATTGATCTAAGGCCACTATTATTGGCCCGTTACCCTAAGGAAGCGAATAATACATGCTGAAACCGCATCCGCTTCTTGTGGATAAGAAATCCGCAAACGCATTTACTGTATGTATTGACCGTTTCCCAAGAGTTTGACCGCCTTCCACAGGGCTATTGCAAGTGTCAGTAACGTATATCACAGATTACTTAGCCATGCGTTTGGATATGTGACGAAGGATCAAGTAGGATTGTATTGGTTCTGCGTGGGGTGGAAGGGGGAGGTTGGCCCGGTATGCCAGAGATCGCTTTCCGGCTTGTATGGGCCAGAGAGGTGGATCGGTCTCAGCGGTCGAATCTGACTTATATTGCGACAGCAAGACTAGAGCGTGGGATAGGAGCATCCACTGGCATAACTTGGTGATGAATAGGCACCGGTCGACATTCGATTAGTGGTGGAAGACGATGCATATTTCCAGGACAGGGACTATATGATCTACCTGAGTAAAACTTTAGTGCCACTGTGAAAGGGCAGCTGTTGGGCATCACAATCACATTCCATTTGGTCTCATGAAATACCTGACCACCTGTGTAGTTACAGTGATCATTGACCCATTTGGTACCGTCATCAATGGAGCTGAAACTCGAGAGGGTCTTGGTAGATGAGTCCTTTGACGACATCTAAGTCAGCGTATGTCAATATGAGGGGAGCAGAACTTATATCGTTGCATTACTAGATACCAGAGCTTTAGAGCAGCTGACACGTCCTCAGTTCCCAGGCCCAAGACCATTGCTGGGTCGTACTCCCATGCCCCGAAGGTAGTTAATTCCTGATAGAATCGCTCCAGTCTCGCAAATGCCAAAGTTGTAGCAGTTGTAACCGGGAAATATGGAACGTTTCTGCACACCAGCGCCATCATTTTCAGCAAGCTCAGCGGCAGGAAGTTGATTGCTGGCAACAACATTGCTCGCGAATATCTCATCGACATTGGGATTGATGTCCATGAGCTGTAACCAGACTTCCTCCATAGTTCCTTTCAGCTCCGCAGAGGAACATGGTGCAGTTGTGTATGATTCAAACTCCCATTCGATAGGCTCGACGCCATATCCTTCGATGGGGCTTTCGATAACCCGTGCCTGTCCAAAGAAACATGCGTAAGTGTATGAAGCAAACGAAAAATGGAGAGAAAGAGAATCAACTCCCTGCAGCAAGGGCAGCAAAGGAAAATAAAAATACAGTAGTAGCAGATTTCGTATGCATATTCAATTGTTGGAGGGTTTTCAGGGAGGTTTGGACATGCATCTCTAAATCAGAGAGTGTGGTGTGCTGATGAAACCCAAAGGAATGAGAACGTGTGGCTCTGACAGCATCGTTCATACATGTATTTTTTCTTGGAAGAAAGCTCGCTACAGCTAACAAATAAGCCAGAAGAGACAAGGGGCTCCGGGAGTCGCATACTAAAATTTTCTTTCCGGCTCTTGGCCGACATAGTCTGGGACATTCCGCATTTTGCGAACAAGCTGCACTCACGATATCGTACAGTGTCAAAAACACGATGCAGATAACGTCCTTGGAACAATATCCGAGTTCCATGCCACTTCATCAGTCACGAAAACTGCTATGATTTCCGAAAAGATCGCAGAGTTTCCTAAAGAAGACATTCGGCTGGCTGTGCCTTTCTCGGGTCCAGGCGTGGGCTTCTTCGTATGGGTCCTCCATATTTACACAATAGGTATTAAGATTTGATTTAATATACAACAGCTCCTGAAAGCTTTTGTTAAAAACTATACCATGATCTTGCGCTATATTAGCAGCACTAGTGCTAGTTAACTGATCGTTAAGCTTAAGGAACTTGACTAGTGCTTCCGCATTAACTTTATCAGCGTTTGCTTATTCGTTTCGCAACCAAATCGATAAACATATAGCATTTTGCACTAAATAGGCAGTTGATAAAGCTTTGACAAATCTCAAAAACTCTAATGTAAGTATACATAACAAAGCACCTTGCTTCTAACTAATTTGGATCGGCCATCTTTGCGTACGGTTTTTGCTCTTCAGTTACAAATCATGTCTCCGCTTGGCAAACCCATCCATGGCCAGCCGTCGCACGTATGACAGGCGCTGTCAGCATCTGGGTTGAACTTCTGGCACTGGCTGTGAAAGAAATCACCATCGATGCCTTCTCCCGATGCGGATTGCAGCTACCTACAGCGTCAGTATCCTTAAAAGTTCTGAGTGACTTCTGATCAGACTTACGTATGAGCCACGCCACTTGCATTTGTCGGTCACAGCCCAGGTAACTTCTGAGTGAGGCTGAAAGATAAGGGGTCCTGCTGACTATTAGCATACTGCCAGAGAGTCTCGAGAAAAGCCCAAAGTAGTAGATGAGAGCAGACTCACCCCAAACCAAATCGTTGTTGCAAAAGTCCTCAGCTACTTTCCTAGTTGTTTCGAAGTCGAGTTCCTGGTCAGTGCCAAATTGACAAGCGCAATAAGAATGCATTCTAGCGACTGAGCTGTATTATTGCAAGAAAATTAGATATAGACTACTAAGGTCAGAAGGCGATATACTCACGCCGAGGCAAGCAAAATGAGTCCAAGTGACTTGACAAGCATCTTGAAAAAGAGTGTGTTAGTAGTCTTGGTTAAAAAGAGTGAAGCAAGACGAAAGCTCGATGATAAGTAAAGACTGTAAGAAAATCTTGGGGGGTAGTGTATTGTGATGCAAACGTGGTAAGAATCATACAGAGGGCATGATTTATATACATCTCATCGAGTTTGTTCTTACCTAATTATAATAACAACCAGCCGTGACTATACCGGTTTCGTGGGAACTTCACAAGAATCCGTACTCGGTAATAGCCGATCGTATCCCAAAGGTAAATTAGATTAACGGACCATTAGCATACAAAGATGTGACCGTGAACTCTTACCCCTCAATGTATGCTGCAAAATGGAGGAACCCACTCGAAGCACAGTAACCCTACAGGTTCTTGACCTGTATTTGATAATTCGCACTAGTTGTAACCTGACTACACCTATGGACCCTACAATGTACAGAGATCAATGCGTTCGGGAGTCTGGAACATAGCCTCGGTCTCACGTGGCCCAATCAGTCACGGTGTACATCTTTTTAGGTTCAATGGCGCCCTCTCAGTCTCGGCCGGGTCGGTGGATCTGGCCTTGACTGGCAGTGGTTTGCCGCTATCGAAGCTGGGCAATCATGGTTTTGCATTGCTCTTATCCGAGGATCCTTTCCTTATAGGACTCAATGGCCAAAATGCTTTCTCTACTCAGTCGCAAGGCCTTGCTCCTGAACTACAAGTTGAGCAATGAGGTCTGGTTGATCTTGATCCGATACAAAAACTGATATGCTACAACCGGATCAGTATGTGGATTTACTTGGTATTGGGTAAGGCGATAGGTCTTTAGAATTTGAAGGCTATCTAGTGTCCGGCCTTAATTGGCGACCTAGCAATGCTAAGTAGTGTATAGCAAGCCAAACGGCTCAATGCTTTGCTTATCTCATACGGACTAACAAACTTTACGAATCTCATGTTCTAAATTAATGGATTACCACCAACTATAGGGGTGCGTCGGGTATAATAATCACTAAACTTCAGCGCCGCCGAAGTTTCGCATGGAAAAAAGCTTTGACACCCGCAACACGAAGTTCAATGTCGCTAATTCTCGCGATCCTGCCTCGAAATAGATGTAAAGCTCTACAGCCTACGTATTTTACTTAGTAAGGGTCATTCCAGACTTCTTGTCGTCCGCGATTAATTAGCCTAGTTCATATAAGAAGCTTTAATCTGTATCCCAAATTACCGACCTGGGCAGGTTCCGAAGATGAGCAGCAATTATTATAGACGCGAGAGGGCGACTTGACATGTGCTCACAGTTTGGTCCCTTTTGACCTTGAGATATAAGTTGTACGCCTCTTCTAAGCCTTGCCGACCATTATCAACGCTCACATCACACTCCTTTGGTCCTGAACAAAAATCACTACTTTCGTTACCCAATTGCCCAACAGCCATTTCCCTCAAAATGCGCGTCTCTTGTTTCTTCATGTGGGCTTTAGCCTCTACTGTCTCCGCCATCGTCATTGGAGGGCCTAGCCCCGTCATTGTACGAGAGGTGTCTTCTCCTGACGTCTCGGACTTGTACAACGAGCTCAAGGACTTGGCCGTTCACGACCTCGACACTTTCAAGCGGGATGCCTCGACTGACTTGGCGTAGGTGAATCTCTTCTATTCGGACTCACAGATTTTAATCTTAGTGTCTAGCATCATTCAATACCACCCCTCTGCTCTGGCAACCCGCCAAGGTGGCTTTTTCAACTTTGGCGCCTTCAACTGCAGAAGATTCAATCCTATCTCCATCACGGCATACGTTGTTACGGCCAAGGTCGCCTTTGACCAGGCCGCAAACATGTGCAAGGTCTGGCTGAATAACAAGGATTTCAAGTACGACATCTTAGTTCGCCTCTCGAACAGCGATGATCCCAACACTAGCCAAGAGATAGTCGTTCGTGCCAAGACTTGCAACACTGTATACTCTGTCTCGTTCCTGAAGGATGGAGCAAAATTCAAGTTCGAGGTCGGAGGAGAGGGTACGCCGGCGCCTACCGCTCCCACAGCCCGCCGATCCCTTCCTGCCAACACCTCTGAGAACCCCTTCCACAAGAGAAGGCTCATGATTGGAGCTTGAGCATCTGCTGAGGCCGGCTCCAGGCAATGAGACGCATCACGTTGACGGAGCTGTTTACACCAATAGAATATTCGGAAGGCGGTTTGAGCTGTCAGATGACAGACTCAGTGTCACGCAAACTTTGCTTGATTTGGTACGGAGGAACACTGCAGAGGTCCGTTGGGAAATAGAAAGTTTGTTTCTATATGAGTCGGGCTGGTTCATGAGTTTGCAGGAAGAAGTATCGAAGGCAGGCCGCAGGAAGAGATGCGGATGCCTACTTGTGGTCATCCAAAGATGTATGCCTTTTTCAATGTTCAACATGATTTCTACTTCTATGAAGACAATATTGCCGTCATAATGTGACTCTTAGTGTCTTTGGAAATCTCCAACCGAGGCTTGGGATCTTCTTCACCTGATTACCTCGTTAAGACTCGCCGGCTTACCCCGGAACGCCAAGCCGCCTCAGCCAACAATGTCCTACATGGATGGAAATGAGTTGAGATGCTTATCCTGCGCGTGTTGGCACCTTTTCTTTTCGGGCAATCAGAGGAAGGGCGTTCAGGACCATGCAAGTAGCAACTTCCGTGCCATGAATAATGTAGACTTACGGTGGGAACTTTTGACATCTTCGTGGACTCGCAAGAACGAGTGTTTTTGTCAGGTGCTCGGCCTGACAGTGTGACTAAGAGGGCCCATCAAGGCCCTTATTGAGGTATGTAAGGGGAAAAGGGGCACAGACTACAGACTAGAAAGGCAGATTCGATCGTGAAGTTGCTTACTTAGAGAGCCATGTCGCCCCCGGGGCTGCGCCGATTTAGTTCATGATTTTATCGAGCTTATGCTTCCTTTAGTCCGCGAATAGGACTGGAGAGATTGTATTTGGAACATCGGCATTCGGCTCTTGTACAAGATGGTCTCATTGAATAACAGTGACAAGTGAGTCTTAGACAGCTTGTCAGCACCTGGTGTTGAGCGGGGGGTTTATTCTGGTACCTAGAAGGTTTCTCGTGCACAACTATGTATTCTGTCATTCCTTCCGATTTATAGATGGAAAGGAATTGTAAAAAATACTCCATCGTATAATTAACAATTAGAGACTCACTTTCAATCATAGTACCGCAATTTTCCGCATGATCTTGTATGTGTTGACTGGAAAAGACGCTGTCGGAGAATCCATATTTTCAACCAACTTACTTGGTCTTTGAGTTGCTGTAAAACTTCGCGCAAATTATAGTGATGAGTCTTGTGTTTTTATTTATTGACACCAAAAGCTAAATCTAAGCTGACTCCTGATGCACAACGTGAAGACAGCAACCAGTTCTGTAGCGAAGATTGAGCATACCTCAGCTCCCATTGCCGTCCATACTAGTGTGATGATTCTCACGGACTTGCCGGCTGGTTGAGGATTTTGATAGATGATTCTAATGCAATCGGATTGGATTCATCATACCAGAATGGTGTCGAGGGATACATTTCGTTCCACACTCTCTTGCAACAATGGATATAAACCCTCTCACGATCATTTTACTTTCTCTCCACGGCTCCGCGCTCGATTCTCTCGGCCTCTGCGAAGAACCTCATCCCGTTCTGCTGTTTCAGGTTGATGCCGTCGATTTTGCGCTTGGGAGATGGACGGAAGAGTGCCCAGCATGGGGCATTGTTGTAGTCCTCAATGGCAATCGATCTTTCGATTTCAAACGATTTTCGACTTTCACTTCGTCTCCGGAAGAATTTGACCCTGATTTCATTCAATCTTGATTCGCGCTTAATGTGCAATGTGTGAAGCCCTCTGTGTTGTTCGACGAAAAGGGTTGTTGATGTTCTTTCAAAGACGATGTCGCCTTCTGTCCCTGATGGGGAACTGGATGGAAGTTGTTCTTCAAGAGAGGCTGGCTGAAGTGGGTTTCCATTGGCTCCCATATTGTTGTTGATTTGTGTCAAAGACATGGACCGGTGCGGCACGGTCCACGGCCGAGAACTAGTCCTTTTTGTCGAGAAGGAGGACATGATTTACGTTGTAAGCGTTTCGTGAGATTGAAGCAGGTGTATCCTGCTGATGTCCTAAAGGAAGTGGTGCAAAGACAACTGGAGTCGTTACTTTACATAGCATAATAGCTCATCTCCGATGCACTCGGCCTTGAGTGTGGGATGGCCCATCTATCTCCGCTAGGTATATACCTCGATTGTGGTCAACTCAAATCAATCATTTGGCGTAAGGGCGTTCCTAAGGTTTACAAATCAAGCGGTAATAGTATTTAGATAGTAGCGATCCCATCAGGTTTGACCACATACTGGCCAGCAGTGATGAAAAGTTTTGGTGATCAAAACCGACCGGAAGGTAGACTAGATGACAGAATATGCGTAGTTCATGATCAAACCCGGAGAGGTACGCGATATATCTCGAGCTTAATTTATAAAACAGATGCCTGTCTGAGGTTCTTCTTATTTGAATCATGGCTCCGTTATTACAGAGTCGAAAAGTTAATAGGTACATGAAATGAATGTCAGTCCTTCCAGGTAATCGCTGCAAGATAGTAGCATGCAATGCCAAAAGAATTAACAGTCAGTGACAAGATGACCTAGGGCCTTTCAATAAATTTAGGCTATTTCAAGGGTAATAAGAACGCAATCATGAGATCATAGTAATGTGTCGCGAATAGTCCACATCCGTACTTCCACGTTACCGCAAGATATGAGATACAATGACTTGGTTTTCCAGGAGACCACCCATTCTATTAACATAGAATCAATCTTGAGTGGATGCAACAACTAGCATAATATCACCGTCTGTTGTATTTGGGTAATCAGACACAAGCTGCACCCGTGGGGCATCCAACCATCGTTCTGCCACAGTTTTGCCAGTACCGCGCCAACCACTATTTGCCGACGTAGACAATGCAAAGATGGACTCGAGGAAGACGATTTCAAAGCCGGCATCCAGTCCACCGACAGTAGCATGTGAAACAACCGGAATCAAGGTCCTAGGGCAAGCCAAATTCGTGTTCGAATCAGGCTTCAGCGGGAAGCTTTCTGATGTTGTTTGAGGACTGCTCAACGACTTTGAAACCACGCCGCTGGCGCCCGCGGAAGACAAGATCAAGGTAGAGAGCTCTTTCTGCAAAACCCCTTCGGCAGAACCCAAGCTGGCGTCTTGTGGAATGTCTGAAATGATGGGGAGAGGCAAACCATCTGCCTGTCTGCGACCGGAAATAGCGAAGCCGCCCTCGATGGTGTGTAGCGTCTTGAGCTTCTCGTGGACTTTGATTCTGTGGAGTCTAACATGCCAGTCCGGCCATCGATCACTCGGCGGAATCAGCGTAGTGTCTACGCTGACGGCTCTATCGCCCCATGGATACCACTTGGCGCTTGCGGCTTGCACTTCCTGTGTACCCGAGGATGTCTCGATAAACGCAGTCGAAAAGCGCACCGGTTCAGATTTCCACTTGACCGCCCACGTCTCTCCACCGTCCCGACTTAAAGCGAGGGCGTTGTCGGGGGCGATTTGCTGAATCAGCGGCCCCGTTGGTACGGAAAACGTGAAGGCGGAGGAGTACGCGAATTTGCAGTACTTGGCTTGGTTGGCTTTCATGGGCCATGCTACAAATTGGCCCGGCGAAAGGAGGAAATGGTGGTTGCTTTGGGGATGGTTGCATACAATCTGCTGAGGCGCTGGCACGAGGGCTACCGAGTCTGTTGAAGAGAGTTGGGGGTATGACTCCTCCTCTGCAGTCCAGAAGTCGTCGTTTTCCGCAAGGCCAACCGCAATGAGGGTCTTTAAGCACCAATAGGGCGATTGTGGTGAATTGTAGTCTTCACACATGTACATGTTTCTGAGCCAATGGTGAGCAATCATTCGTGGAATCATGCAAAACATGAACACAGGAGTTGACAGAAATGCGTAATCACTTACGGATATAACCACCCAATGTTCATAGTACCATCGGGATAAAAGACACCATCAGAGTTGTTCGCCCACCATCTGAGATGCCTCAATAGGAAGCCTTTGATCGCCCCGGGGGTATGGAGAGGCTTCGGCATATCAGGGACTTTTGCCAGAGCTAGAGCAGCAAAATATCCCCCGCAGGCAAAGCGGTAGGTCAATGACCGTCCAAAAGGTATAGCAGAGCCTGGGGAAAGTCAGTATCCTGGCTAAATACAATGCAAAAGGAGCCTATAGAATTCACCTTCAGAGTCAAAGTACCTCCAAAAGGTGACACCAAAGCCTCGCGCTCTTTGGCGATAAATCTCGGCTCGTTCAGGATCGATATCGGCGGCGAACCGGGAGTAGAGCAGCTGGCTGAACTGAATGGCGAAGCTACCAGAATAGTAGTCGGCCTGTCTTCCGATACCTATTGCGTCACGTCTCCCAGTCTTGTCGAATTGCTCAAACTCATCCTGGGCCTGCTCTGGAGTTTGCCAGGGACCGTCTGCCGACCAACCATCAAAGCGGTAGAAAGTGTCCAGGAGCGCCAGGTCTGAGTTGATCTCTTCGCGAATACTCTCATATGGTACGCCGCAGACCTTGAACAGAGCAAGATTCCCAAACACTCTGAACCAACGCCAGTTGTTTTTCGGCATTTCCATTCCGTTGAGAGACCGCAACCAATTGGTAACATTCTCCTTTGACTTCTCGCTCAAAGGCTTATAGATACGGTCGGGCGCAGAAAGGAGAGCAAAGGCTACAATCTCGGCCTCGACCATGCGTTGATCCGGACCTTTGATTGCTCCCCAGTATTCTGGGTGTTCAGGATCGGTTCCTGCGACGAAGCCGTCGATCCATGGCTGGACTACTTCGGTGATTGCGGCTGACAGTGCTGAATCTGAAGTGGCATCAGCCCCAAGCAGCAATGCGCCGACAGCCCATAAGGGCCGGGCAAATCCTTCGAGTTGGGCAGCTGTTTCGTCGAAATGGGTAGCCGAAGACACCGGGATTCGGATCCGGCCCTTTGACGGGGAGAAGTGGGGTAAAAGGGGTCGGAGCAGGGCGAGCGTGGCTTGGACCAAGTCGGCCCTGGTCCCGAAGGTGTTGTTGGAGAATCCTGACAGGGGTGGCATTGTGAGAGATGTTCTTGGACACAAGAGATGCCTTGTGCTGAATGGAAGTGTTACAGGTTCAGTCGCAACACTCACAAGCTGGTCTTATTTTGTCTTGGGGTGATGTCGAATACCATTGGTTCCACTGTGGCGTCTCGAAGCGCGTCGGATATCGGGCTGTTTGTCGGCCTGCCTGCCGGTATAAGTTTGGTGCTCACACAGGCTAAGGAAGGCTGAGCTTAGAGGATATCTTCACGACGATGAACTCTTTCAGAAATCGTTAGTAACCAATGAGCTAGACGACATGTTTTCAATCGACGGTTTTTTTGGTATTTTCTTTGACGAATATTTGTAAGCTCGAAATCCTTCATCGGTTCCCTCATTGCGGAAGAAGAAGCACGTCAAACGCACGGATAAAGATGAGGATCTTTCAAGATTGACTGCAGATCCAGGTGCAGGGCTTTGCCCATCGTGGTGTTTTGAAACTTTGAAAAAGAGGAAGCTGCTAGTAGGGGGTCGTAACAAGCGCTTTTCACACCTCACATTCACAACAATCCAGCCAGTTGCTGAGGCGTCACATCAGCGAAGAAATTAACAGCAAGGTCATAAGCGGCCACCCTGACTTCCGTCCACGGGGAAAAGGGTGTGGTACTCCTTTCCAGTGGATGGTTTGGTGTGGAACATTTAGTGCTTCTAAGCGGCATTGGCCATCCCGCTGATGCTGCGAGTCATCAGTATCCAGCTGAAGATTCCTTGCATTTCTTCGGAGTTTGCGTATGCAGCCATCCGCAGATACTCTGAAACCCTGGCATTATAAGGACCTGCCATAATATTGACATTTGACATTAACGGCTTAAATGGTGCCGCATGCATGCGCAAACCATTGATTTAAGTGTCTTCAACGAGAGAACGAGGGTCCCCTGCTCTTATAGTTGCCAGCCATGTGCTAGTAAGGGTAGGCTCCGTAGCCTCATCAACGATTTATAATTGGCTCTCGGTTGGGAATAAGGTGTCTTAGAGGAGCTGAGTGTTGAGCAGACACGGGTTTTACGGGTACCTAAGACTGAAACCGAACGACCGCAAGTATCAGTGCGATCTTCTGGCTTTCGAGATGATGTCTCCACGTACCTAGATGGGTAGTATAGATCCTTTGGATGAGTTGAATGATATGAAAGCATTAGCTTCCTGAAGAAATGTGTTAATCTTGGGCACTTGGGAACCACTTCACAAAAAACTAGACGCTTTGACCCAGACCACGTCAGTCGAAAATGTCTGGAAGCAACTGTTTGACGCGCCCAATAATAGTAAAACGAGAGACTCTGAGTTTCTGCGACGCTTCTTAGTGAGATGTTCTCCCGATCGCTACGCCCTTGTAAAGGCGTTGAGTCTAGCCCATCTGCAACAAAATTGAAGCCAAGCAAATATCATCCTTGCAGGTTATTCTTCACGTAACCACTAAAGAAGACAAGCGGCAGTCGACTGGAAGCCCTCGTGTGGCGCCGGGCATCGGCTCAAAGGAATCCGCAAGCGTTAGCGACGCGCTTTGGGCTTCCTCCAGTTTCTCCGCACCAACCTCGTTCGACCAAACTGCCCACTCGATGCTCTTCACCCCGGTCCCGTCATCCCCAGAGTGCGGGGGAAACTTCCCGCCCCCTCCTTCTCGTCCGCTTTAGGGAAAGGAAGGGTTGGCCAGGCGCGGATTGGGGTTGAGCTGAGCTCAGAAGACTCGGAGAGAACGGCATTTGCTCCAAACCCCTCGGCCAATTCGAACCGAGAGTACCCCGGACAGTTCCCCTCTCCACAGCCACCCCCAACTTTCCCACCTCATAAACTCGGGAACCCTCTGTTGACCCCCCTCTTGCATCGTCCCGTCGCACGATTCCATGGCCGACGATTGCCACGTAACCGACGTCGAGAAGAGCCACACGCGCAGGAACCGAGGAACCTTCCCGCCCCCGCCCGCAAAATTGCCATTGTCTGCGGTGATCATCGGACCTACTCTCGGTCAAACCCCGATCGGACCGGGCCCTCTTCCGGCCGCCGCCGCCGCCGCTGCTGCTGCCACTGCTGCTTCGAGTCCGGTGCCGCGCACCGATCCCTCGAGCCGGAATGGATCTGGCCACACCAGCGCCGGCGTCGGGATCACAGCCACCGGATGCTTCCGACGGCGATATTCCCTCGTGCCAGGGCTGTCGGCGCCGAAAGCTGCGGTGCTCCCGAGACCAGCCGATATGTTCCCACTGCAAGCGGTTGGGTAAGTTTCCTGGGCGCAGTGATCCCATGTCGAAATGTAGATCGGCATGCTGACTCGACAGACTCACCTTGCGTGTACGATTTGAAGAAAAACAAGCCGGGTATCAAACCTGGGGCGGTTGAGAGTTTAAACCGCAGAGTGGGTACGTCTCCCCCGAATTGAGCGCCTGATCACGATTCACCGGAGCAAATTGTTGACCATGATGAAGAGGTCTTGGAAAATGCTCTGTTGCAGAAGTCTAGCGAAGGGGCGTACCCAAACTCCAATGGTAACACAGACTCGCACAGCGCGCCAGGCGAGTCCCAAAATGTAGTCGGCATTCTCTCTCTGCTGGCGCGCGAGCTACACAAACTCAGCTCAAAGACCAAAGCTGGCTCGCCAGCCGGAACACCTGACGGTGTGGCCGAGCATGCCGTGTTCTCTCCAACCACGTCCAGTTCTTCCAGACGAAACACCATTGATGGCATGGAAATCGTCTCACACCCTCACAACCAACCAAGAAAGCGTCGGAGGGTGGACAGCTGTGGTAACCCCAACATTGATCTCGCCTTCCCCCTAGAGGACTTGGAAAACATCACAACCAGCTTGCCGCCGCCCGAACTCTTGGAGGATGTAATCAACGTACACTTTAATATCATCCAGCCATGGATCCCAATTCTTCACGAGACCCAGTTTCGGAGAAGGGTGCATGACCCGGAACAGCTACCACGTTTGGTGGTTGTTCTTCATGCTATGGTAGTCGCAGCTCTCCGATTCGTTGACAACTCGGAAATCCGACTTTCAGCAGTCGAGGTAGAGCGCCGTGTATCGCGGTCAAGAAACATTGTCATTCTTAACGCAATGGATCATCTTTCCGTTGAGAATCTTCAAGCGCTGGTCATACTAGCCTTTAATGATGTGAGCAGTCTTACGAATCGCGTTGTGAAGTGCCATTGATTCGCGTTGCTAACACCCTCAAGATTGGAAATGGAGACGCGTCGAAGGCTTGGTCAATCGTCGGATCTCTCACGAGAACAGTTGAGTACCTTCAGATGAGCATCGAAGCTGATCATCAAGACAAAGAACCTCTTCTGAAGCCATTGCCGTCAATACCTCCACCGCAAAACTGGACTGAAGAAGAAGAGCGACGTCGAGTCTTTTGGAACATTTTCAACCTTGACAGGTAAGCTTTCGCTGAATTCTACGTTTTGGTCGCTCTCATACTAAATCTCATTGACAGATTTTGCTCCGTAACTACAGGGTGAGAACTTGCACAATTGTAAACAGAGGCGGGATAACTCAACTGATTTCTACAAGGTGGAATACCAGCTTGACATCTGACGATGTCTACCGTAGACTTCCGGCCGATGGCGGCCTATGGCACAAGGAAGAGTCCGTAATCACCCCATTCTTCGGCATTTGGGATCGATCAGCTGCCAAAATGGGCAATTCCATCGCCTTCCTACCTGCACATTATCCCAGTCCGGAGCAGACGGCCGATGCGCCACCACAAACACCCATAACTGCCCATCCTCGCAAAGGCCCCAACACAGTCGACATGACGACAGTCGGGGCGTTTGCGTACTGCATAGAAGCGACTGAGTCTCTCAGTAGAGTCACGACTTACTTTCTGCAACAGAAAATCAACTTCCAGGACAGACAAGAAGTCAGTAGCTGGCTTACGCGATTCAAAGAGCTGGACCTACGTCTAGTGCAGTATGTTGACACCCGAATCATCATTAGGTTGTCGGTGAGCTAATTTGACTTTAAGTTGGAAAATGTTTCTTCCTCAAAAGTGGAAAGACTCCAACATCTCTCGCCAGCCCGCTCTCATCAACATGGATCCCAATCTCACCCTTGCACATATCACTCACAATACCTCCATGATTCTTCTCCATCAACGCATAGCGTACCCAGAGCCTCGTTGGTCCAACATTGTAAAGTTACCTAGTTTCTGTAGCGCCGAAACGTGTCAAGAAGCTGCGGTCGAAACGACAACCATCACGGAGAAGTACTTGAAATACACCCCGGAAAACAGCCTGGCTACCAGCCAATTCGCCTTTTGCGTCTTCATCAGCGCCAGAGTCCTTCTCGGTGAGTAAACATGAGGCCGGTCAAAAAAGCACAACGTACTGATGGGTTTCTAGTCCACTGGCGATATTACGACGCAGAGCTTGCATCGGAGTTCTGGACCCTAGTCGAGAGCATGGAGGAAATGGCCAAGCGCTGGGTCGGGCCCATTCTTAAAGAAAAGCACGCCCAGTGTCTCGCCGGCAAATACGCCGCGCAGCTCCGCGACCTTCATCGCAAGTGCCAAGCAGATCCCCAGTTCACTGTCGATGTTTTGGGATACTCCAGCGGCATCAGCGGACAGGGATGCAGTCCCGCTGCTCAGACGCCGGCATTCAGCCATCAGCAGGGCAATGCTTTGTTCGCCCAGAGCCCCAACAGGATGGCACCGCGCGTTCCAAGTCCGTTGGGACCGAACCGCACGACGGGGTTATCATCGCAGCCTCGACCAACGCCCATCTTCCAGAACCAGCAGTCGCACGGTCAGGTCAGGCAGGGCTCGATGATGGGCCCCATGGGATCGCCGATGCCGATGAGCGGGTTCACTCCGAGAGACTCGGATGCGCCTGATGAGCTCTCTGCCATTTCGCACATGTTGATGGATCAGAGGTTCATGGAGATGGACAGGATCATCAGCTTTGACGATATGATGTTCACAGCGCAAACGGCAAACAGCGGCAATGCGTCCATGCCAGTAAATGGCTGGGGTCCTGTTGATAACACCCAGTTGGAATAAAAAGACCGGATGAAGTCTGTGTTCATGACCCGATTTCATATTCTATTCACGATACCCTCATCTAACCTGTACATAAACACAGTACTATGAATTACACCAATCCCATCTTAAGTAATCTGTTGCCAAACTCAATCAAATAGTAGTCGCCATAAACCAATCCATGGTCCCAGTATCTCTTGTGATCCCGCGTGTTGTGGTTCGCTGTAGCGTTCTTCAGGATAGCGTCAAAGGTCTGACCCTCCTCGACGTCTGCGACCGAGATCTCGCCATCACGGAAGACGAATTTCGCCTTCTCCGTCGCCAGTGAGAAGTCCAGAGTATCCTTGACAATCGTAATGGCCATGTCCCGAAACCTCGCGCTCTCCCTCGCCAGACCCTGTCCAGCCAAGGCTTGCGACAGAACCAGCATGCCGTTGGCGGCGATGACACCGGCGGATGAGTCCCTCAGAGGAAAGTCCTCGTTCTCGATTGGCGCGTCAAAGTCCCAGAGCGGGACGTACCGGCCCTTGTTCCTGTTCTCTCCCCCCACGGGGAACTCGACAGACTTTGGCGATGTCTCCAGTCGCATGATGAAATACTCGGCCAGGCCCCGGGACGCGTCCAAGAACTCTTCGTCGCCGGTCCACATGAATGTCTGCGCGTAGCCGAGAATGGCCCACGCCTGGCCTCTCGCCCATGTTGACTCGGCGGCGTATCCCTGACCTGTGCGTCGCTCCTTGATCTCGCCGTTCTTGGGATCAAAGTTGACGACGTGAATGGTGCTGTACAGCTTTTCCTTGACGAGACCCCTCGCGTCCTTTTCGGTGCGGAGGTTAGACTTGAGCAACGTCTTGGCGTGTCTTGTGGCGGCATCCCATAGTTCTTGCTCTCCGGTGTGAGATGCCGCGTAGTAAAGCAGGTCCAGATTGCACATGGAGTCGATGATGACGAGGAAGTCGTCCGTCAGACTCGTAATGGTGACACCATGCTGGGTCAGCGCGTCCCACGACCGGATGGCCCCGACGGTGGAGTTGTACCGCGTATGCAGAGCCTTTGCTGCGGTAACGATGGAATCGAGGGCCTGCTTGTCTTGCGCGACCTCCCACCTGACTCTCATTGACGGCTGAATCATGAAGGACATGTCGTGGGTATCCGTACGCTTGGCCGTGGTGTGGAGAGGGTCTGACCATGCGGCACCGAGAGACCAGAGCTTTGACAGCAGAGCCGCATTTTCTTGTCTGCCGGGCATGGTGTGAGGGAACTTGACCAGCCTCTCAATTAGGGAGTAGATGTTGCCCGGGAAGAAACCACAGGTCCAGAAGTCGGCCTCTCGCAAGATGTATTTGCCGGCTTCTGGGCCCGTCTGCAGGACGTACTCTGGGTACGCCGTTGGGGGATCCTGTCCATCGTCAGCAGCTGGTATCCCATGGGGCAAGGATTGCCATTTACATTGTTTACAAGAGCATCTGCGGCTGTTCTGAAGATTTTGGCAGTGACGTTCTCTTCGAACAAGCCGCTGACTTGCTCTCTAACAGGCTTCGATTGTGCCATCTTGCGTCTCGAGGTGGTGACAGATCGACCTCCTGTCTCTGAAATGCTAGTGTCGCTATCAGCATTGAGCTCAGTCGTGCTGTCCGACTCAGCATAGGCCACGTCCTTCGCAGGCGATATGTCATCCGCCGCGATAGTGGTATGTCCAGTGAGATGCGCCATATTGACAGGAATAATTTGAAAGACCACAAATCTTCTAGAGACAAAGTGGTAGAAATATTCACTTACGAATATCCTTCTACTACCTGACCCTGGGAACACTCGGGGCTAGAGCCTTATAAAGGCGTGTGTGTCTTGCTGTTGCAGTGGCTCGATTGTAAGCGGAAACTCTGTGCTCGTACAGAAGTGTATGATACGCGGTGCTTTCGGCCTTTCACTCGGGACAAGACGTTGTATTCTTCGCACCGAAATTACGGGCGAGATCCAAGTTCGAGGACGTTCGGTAGAAGCGTCGGGGAACGAAAGTCTGGTTGGACCGGTAATCGGGTGGTGCAGCAGTCTCACGTCGGAGGCTTTGTCGTCCGGACGATCCCCCGATGCCCGAAGTCGAGATCTTGACGGTTTTGATTCTTCCGACTTGGCTCGCTGGGAGTCTCACCCTTTTGCGGAAACATTCCCATCACGCTCCTGGTTCTATATAGCCCGTCGGCCTTCTCATTGTCTCAACTTTGGCGACACAGGTCAAAGATTGTAATCTTCTATGAAACTGTACGACACAACCGCCTACCGACCGGCGTGGGACCTCATTCGGTTGCACGACCATCCATCTGTATGACTCCAGAGCACCAAAATCTTCATCTGCGCTTGGAGCGTGAGGTATAAGCCGAGAGGTCTGCAGGTCAATCCGGTAATTGCCCTTTTGTACATCAATTCGGTCAGAGTGGCTGCTCGGATTTCGCAGAGTATCGACGCTGTCGTTGCGACCGTCCACAGCTCCCAAGCAGCATGCGTGGGCATGTTTATCGACACGGGTGGATAAGCATGAGAACCAAGCCGTCAATACAACTCTCCATTGGGTAGCCGGCGCGGTCAGTTGAGAGCCCAGGACCGTGGCAACGCGTGGCAAAGCATTGACTCAAGGAGGTGCAGAACTTCAAAAGCTAGAGAGATAGCAACACCGAGGCGCGACGGCAGCTCCGGGTGCCTGTCAGGGCTGTCAGCTAACAAGGAATCCACGCATGACATCGATTCAGGCCAGTCGTGCGGCTAGATAACGGCACATGGGACATATTATGGTCCTGAGTATTCTCGTTATCCACCTAGTCAATTCCCAGCAGCCGGCGACGGCAATGTTACCCGACAACGTGGTTCATCTGCTATGGTCCATTCGTGCTTAACCCCTGTGACGTGAGCAGCAGTTCGGCTTGGCGCTTTGGTTGGAGTCTGGAGATCTCCATGCCACCCCGTAGGGCTGAGCAGTTCTTCAGCTTGACGCAACGCTCGGAAAGGATACCAACGTCGTGATGTCTTCTTACGCACCGCGCCGTTCTGAGGCTTGTCCGGAAAACCCCCACAGGCTGACGAAAAGTTTATCAGTTAGCTCATTTCAATAATCCCGCTCATCGTCACCAATGTCACCCCAACCAGCTAGGGAGATTAGTTGACCCCACAAAGTGCCACAAAGTGGATGTTGCACGACGTCGCGGACACCGTCGCCAGCACCCGCGTAAACCTCTCACCTTGGCAAAGCCCAGTATCTGCCAGAATGAGGCTCTCAGCACCGTAAGCGAACAGGAGAAACCATGGGAAGCTAAAATGAGGACAAGGAAAAAGTTGGAAGAGCGAAATCTCTCCCCAATCGCCGCCAACTTGCTTATAACGCGGCAGCGGCCCGGCCGCCGTTGTGAAATCAGTGGCTTCCTCCGTTCCCCTAGCTCTCGGCCCGTTCTTCACTGCCGGCAATACTACCCTCATTTTGGTCTTTTCTGGATAGCTGCAGCTCCAATCAACTACTAGCTTCATCACCAGCATCGTCAATCATGAAGACCTCCATGAACCCCATCGTTGCCTCGCTCGGGCTGGCCATCGCCCGCGGCGTCGCGAACGCCGTCCCCTCGGTCTACGCCTCCAACCACACGGCCGGCCCCGAGTTGAAGCACTGGCCGGCCGAGGCGGCCAAGGCCCTCAACACCATGATCGCGGCCAACGCCAACCAGAGCAACTACGCTGTCTTTGACATGGACAACACGAGCTACCGCTTTGATCTCGAGGAGTCGCTGTTGCCGTACCTCGAGAGCATTGGTGTTCTCACTCGTGACACCATGGACCCGAGCCTGAAGCTCATCCCGTTCAAGGACACGGCAAACTACACTGAGTCGTTGTACAGCTACTACCTGCGCCTGTGCGACATTGACGACTTGGTTTGCTACCCGTGGGCTGCCCAGATCTGGAGCGGCATCACCTTGAGTGAGCTGAAGGTCCACGTGGACGATCTGATGGCCCTCAACCGTACCATTCCGACCACCTACTACGAGGGCGACGTTATTACCCCCACCGAGATCAGCCCTCCCAAGATCTTCACTGGCCAGATTGAGCTCTACAACAAGCTGATGGCGAACGGCATCGACGTCTACGTCGTCACCGCCTCGGCCGAGGAACTGGTCCGCATGGTCGCTGCTGACCCCAAGTACGGCTACAACGTCAACCCCGAGAACGTCATCGGCGTCACCATGCTCATGAAGAACCTGACCAGCGGCGACCTCACCACCAGCCGCAAGCAGATCAAGGAGGGCACCTACAACCAGAAGGCCAACCTGGGGCTCGTGATCACTCCCTACCTCTGGACTCCTGCTACTTGGATGGAGGGCAAGTGGGCGGCCATCCTCACTTACATTGACGAGTGGAAGGGACCTGTTCTGGCGGGTGGCGACACCCCCTCCAGCGACGGCCCCATGATCTTCCACGGCGTCAACGTGGCCAAGGGCGGCATTCACCTCTGGATCAACCGCAAGGATAGCGTCATGGAGACTATGAATGAGATGATTAAGAACAACACCGCTGCCCAGAAGGCGAATGGTCTTCCCGTCACTGCGGACAAGAACTGGGTCATTGTTACCCCTGCTGAGATTCAGTAAATCGGGAGGCAAAGGATAAGACGGCCCCGAAGAGAACTAGATGACCAATGTAATGTTTTATTACGCTCTGCTTTGGTGACCTTTGTTGCCCTCGCTACTTGAATTCAAGGTGAAGGGAGTCTATATAGGCTCCCGGTCCAGGGTGATGCTATGTTCAGGGCTATGAGCACGTTCTCCACAACCTAACCTCCCCAGTACTTAATCACCTGCACTTGGAACCTGCCTATCCTGCTTACTGAGCGTTCTTGCTTTACAAAGACGAATAACCTGTCCATACTAGCTGGATCCGAGAATAGACAAAAGATAAAGAGCCGAAGCTACTCGTGAATAGCAAAATGGTGGACGATCTGGGAATCGAACCCAGGACCTACCGCATGCTAAGCGGTCATTATACCACTAAACCAATCGCCCATCCTATGATCTAGCCCGGACTTGAACCGGAGACCTTCAGTGAACCAGGTGAATCGCACGGAGCGTTCACGATGTTAGACTGACGTGATAACCAACTACACCACCAGACCATGTGTTTGTTGCAGGGATTAAGGGAATGGAAGGTCAAGTTACTTGCGGACCACTGCTATCGTGGGAAAGGCCCAGTCTCTGTGGGGTGGGTAGATTCTTATCCACTCGGATTCGACCAGAGGCGATGGGGCATCATTTGTTCCTCGCATGATGGCGACAGCATGTCTCTAAACGAAAGGATAAAGTTGTTTTTAGAGTGGTACATGTTAATAGAGTTTGGAAACTGTCCGGCGCTAAAGAGCTGCAAGCAAAATTTCAATAAGATTGTTCTAGTTGACCCCTAGCCCAGTCCAGCCTGGTCAACTATAGTCGCCAATGGCGGCACGTACAATGTGTCAGGCTTCTCGAGTTGAGAATCAGTGCAGCCCATGCCTCGCTTTTCTTTCTCCAGGCTAAGGCTGTGCATGGAAGCCATACTCAGGGAAAAGACTGCAGACATGAGATTGGGGGCAGACTTGTTCTGTGCCGCAGGCTAGACCAGGCAGGCATACCTTGTTTGTGACGTGTTTGCAGGTGAAGATAGCAACGAACCAATCTGTCCGGGGTCAAGAGGGAGTCTTGCATAAAAGCATTTTGGCCTGCATACTTTTCATGCTTCCAAGCATTGTCGGAACCAGTCGCAAGGCCCCAACGTGACGTTGTCTGTTGGAAGGCGGATGCACTTTGTTATCATTCGTCAGCGAAGCATCCATTGTGCAGTTTCAAAGGCGGCACAGTAATGCTAAAAAGCTCGGAAGTGTCCATTTTTGAAATTGCCTTAGTACCTATTTAACCCGATATCTCCGGTGTTCACAAAAGATGGCGGGGTTCCCTTGGAAGTTCCAACTGTTGTCTCCTCATCCATCTTGTAGAGACGCAACTTGTGTCTCCCTTGGAGCTCACCATGGAGATCACACTTCTGAATTGCGAAGCTGAATTTGATCGGAAAGCCATGATTATGGCGTTACTTGGAGCTGCGGTGGTTCTCGCGCTTTGCAACGTAAACTTTACCATCTCTGACCAAAGTCAAGCATGCCTAGCTGATTGCAGAAGCTTCTCCTCCAGGGTCTCAATTCCCCTCTCAAACACATCCCAGGGCCTTGGCACACGCGATTCACGAGACTGGGATTGAAGCTAAGTCGCTTAGGTGGACGTCGCATGACGTACGTACATGAACTCCATGAAAAGTACGGAAGTATCGTGAGAGTCGCACCGAATGAAGTATCATGCATCGACATTCAATCAGTTGCTCAAGTCTACAAAGTAAGCGGCGGGTTCGAAAAGGCACAGTGGGTTGGCGACTACACTAAGAAGCTTCCCGCGCTATCCCTGTCTATGATTCTGGACCGCGACGAGGCAAAGGAACGAAGAAGACTTCTGCAAGGCTCTTTCACCCTCTCATCCCTAAGATGGCATTGGGAGTCGGCTGTCAGGAGCAAGATTGACATCGCAGTCCAGAAGATCAAGACCGAGGCTTTGGCAGGCGCATCAAATTCTCACAAATGGTGGACGTTTATGGCGGCTGATATCATCAGCCAGCTTTCATTCGGACAATCATTAGGGTTGCTAGAGACTGGAAAGGTATGAAAGCATGGCCGGTTGTCCTTTCGCCTCAAGGCTGAAATGCTGACTACATGTTCCAGAGTACGATGTACATGCGAGCTATCGAGAATGCTCTGATAGCGGATGTCATTCAGTGCGAGGTACCTTTACTCGCCTATCTGTCTCAGCTCATACCCCGATCACTACTCCAGACCTTCTCCCGGCAGCTTGAACAAGTCAGAGTTGGCGGTGCGGACAGAGTAGAGGGTCTGAAACAGCGAGAAGCCTCGACAACTCCGAGTATATTCAAGGAGATGCTTGCAGAGTGCGAGAAAGAAGGCCGTTCCTGGCTGACCAAAGATGCCGTCGGGATGGAAGGCGCAGGTATGATGGTTGCCGGAACAGACACAACCGCTGCTGTTTTGACGTACTTGATCTGGTCGGTGTTGAGTCAACGAGACTTGCAAGAACGGCTGGAGGAAGAGATTGCGCAACTTGGAGACGATTTCATCGACAGACAGCTTGAGACATGTCCCCTTCTGAGTGCTGTCATAGAGGAGACTTTGCGCCTGTATCCCGCCGTTCCATCGTCTCTGCCTCGGATCATCCCAGAAGGGGGCATTACTCTATCATCGTACTTTGTACCTGAAAAGACTCTCGTTTACAGCCCGGCGTACAGTCTTCAGCGCAACCGAAATGTATTCCCGGGTCCTCATCGGTTAGTTGCCTTTCCATCCATCTGACAGAGCTATGTCTCACTAGGCACTTTTTAGGTTCGATGCTAATCGATACCTTGATCCGAACCAAGTCTCGCTCCATCAGAGACAGTCCTATATTCCACTAGGGGCGGGAGCCAGGGTCTGCATTGGCCAGCATCTGGCAATGATGGAACTTCGGCTTGCCACTGCCGTGTTCTTCAAACACTGTCGCGGGGCAAAACTAGACCGAAACATGCCTTTGGACAGCATGGAAATGATGGACTATGTCCTTCTTTCGCCGAGGAGGAAGCGATGCGACATTACCTTGACCTAGGAATGTACATCTAACGGACTTTGGCTATCAAAGATCTGTACGATAGACTCGCTCAGTGGGACTTAAATGCACGAGAAGGGTTTCCGAACCGCACTCGTTTCGATAAACAACACGATTAGATGCATCAGTGATACATGTATGGGAGATCCATGTTACGCCGAGCCCCCTGAATGTTTTTGGACCAATACATCCTTCATTCTCTCCAGGACCAAGCGCCGCTGGAACGAAACTGTCCAATGTTGCGAATCAGACCAGGTCCGACGCCAGGTTTGTTGATATTCTTGAAGGCAATGGAACTAGCTCTCTCAAAGATTCCTGAGATGCGCTAAGTCACCTTACCCAGAGCTGGCTTTCTATGATAGACTAAGTGGATTATGGTAAGGTGCCACAAACATGGCCAAACAATTATCAATACCCAAAAGCCAATGACGTAGTCGAGCCATAGCCGGCGTCATCGCCTCATGCAGTGATTACTAGGTGACAAAAGGTGACAAAAGCTCGGCATCATCACGCGCGTCTCCGACACCACACCCCGCTCGTGAAGTGCTTCGTACCTTTTAGATCGTAGTTCTGAGCACCATATATACTCCATTCATTGCCGCCTCGGCTATATAGCATTTAGCCGACGATTCTTTTCAATAAGAAGAACCAGCACACTACGTCGAGATCAATTCCATACCCAGTTTTCGATCCAACGATAATGGCACCCTCAACAGCAGATAATCTAGGATTCACCTGTGCTCTCATCACCGGTGGTGGCGGTGGCATTGGCAAGGTGATGGCTCAACACTTCATTTCCAAGGGTAAGAAAGTCATCATCGCCGGACGGACAGAATCAAAACTCCAAGAAACAGCGAAAGAAATTGGAGCTTCCGACTACTACGTGCTCGATACGGGGAAGGTTGAAAAAATCCCCGACTTTGTCAAACGCGTCACCAAAGAGCACCCTGAACTGGACTGTCTCGTCAACAATGCCGGGGTTCAGCGCCCCCTTGAAATCCTCAAGGCCGACGATTTCCTCTCCAAGGCGGACCAAGAGATTGACATCAACATTCGAGGCCCGATGCATCTGGCCCTGGGCCTGCTGCCACACCTGCAGACCAAGCAATCCGCGCTCATTATCAACGTGTCGAGCGTCCTCGGCTTTATACCATTCTCCATCATCAATCCCGTCTACAATGGCACGAAAGCTTGGCTGCACTTTTGGAGCATGAACCTTCGCACGCAGCTGAAGAATGGCGGGTCAAAAGTCAGAGTCGTGGAGATTGCGCCGCCGACGGTCGCTACCGATCTGCACCGAGAGCGGTTGGATCCCGACGACAACAAGAAGGAGAATAATCCCAATGCGCTCAGTGTGGATGAGTTCATGGTGGAGGTCGCCGAGAAGTTGGAAGATGGGGTTGAAACTATTGGACCGGGGATGGCCGGGGAGGTCATTGATAGGTGGTATGGTGCATTTGGTGAGCAATATGCAAAGGCGGCCGGGGGCAAGTGGTTGGGCCATCCCTCATGACTAGAAGAGGTTACCCAACTATATCGGACCTTCTTGACATCTAGAGTGTTACTCAAACAGCTTAAGGGGGAGTCAATGCCGTCAATCAAGGGCACACAGCGATGTCGCGAGTGAAGTCAACATTAATCAATGAAAAACAGCTTTGACAGGATTACACATTTTCTCAACTGCCGATGGTTCCAAGAAAATTATTTACAAAAACGCCCGGGAAGCCGATCGAAAAGTGTCCAATGCCACGTAACAGCATTACATCAAATATGTTTTTACTCATAGTCGTTCTAATATGATTTATTCATTTCACCCGAGGATAGACCACGAATCTAACATCGGACTCGAAAAATTGAGCCACAACATTGGAAATAAACTTCCCTTACAGTCAATCTTCTATAACTGGCGTCCCGTCTTTCGATTTTCCACGAACCTCCAAAGCCTTACCCGACGTATCAAACGACCCCAGGGAAAGAATCAAGGAGGGATGATGCGATGTTATGATATGCTCTGAGCCAATCAATGGCAAGTTCAATGGGGCCACCTTGGATTTGTGAATCGGATCAATCACCCCGCAGTGCAACGAGGGATTCGGGCATCAACGACACAACTTGTCCATCGTCTTCAGAAACTCATACACATAAGGTACCTCGGTATGGCAAATCGGTGCGCCCGCTGCGCAAGTCTCACGATCGAGGCCCTGATTGAGCTTGCTCAGATTCAGTTTGAAGCTCACGATTTCCCAACACAAGCATTCTACCAACACCATGAATCGTTTGACGTACTGGAAAAGGCCGCACTCGATGGCTGCGATTTATGTCAGCTCTTTCTTGGCTGCTTCATACGTACGCCCAGTAATACACCCGAGCCCATGGAATGGCCGAACGGTTGGGACAACAGCCTTTACCCGCTCGAGGGGGTCCAGCAGCAAACAATGTACACAATCGCTAAGCGCCTACAGTCTTCGGGGATCAAGCTTTCCATAAACGCCACGCACTTTTATGGCAGGCAACCTATCGAAAAGGTTCAAGTATTTGATGAAATCATGGTGCAAGTTGGTCCTCCTTTTGCGGATGATGATGATGGGTACGGCATTTGGGGCTGTCCAGTCCTCAAATTGACTTTGAGCGCATCTGAGGGTACGCAGTAGAGAAAAATTAGCACACTCCATTTGTGAGGCGACGTTATTTGCTGATAACGGTATGGCAGATATTGCACCGCGTGTCGCCGGTTTCCGAATAGGTCGTTATGAAACTGATGAAAACCTTGGATCTCATCGTAACCATATGCTCGCAAGGCAGTGGTTATCGGACTGTCGTAACTCGCACAACTGCCTCTCGAGCCAGAAACACGAGCTGCCTACTAGAGTAATTGACGTAGGAGAGACTTTGGACTCTGAATTTGTCCGCCTGACTCTGACCGAAGGCGCAAAAGACCGCTACGTCGCTCTGAGTCACTGCTGGGGCGGTGCTATCTCTCCTTCCTTGACGGCTGGGACATTGGAACCTTTTCAGGATTCCATCACCATCACGACATTGCCCCCCAACTTTCAAGATGCCATCACAATAACACGCAATCTGGGTTTTCGTTTCTTGTGGATAGACTGTCTTTGCATTCAGCAGGACTCAAAGTCGGACTGGGAGAACGAATCCAAAAGAATGGGGTTGGTTTACCGCAACTCAACTATCACAATTTCTGCCATGGTATCAGCGGGGAGCAAAGATGGTATCCTTACATCATGCCAGACTCATTCTCAGAGTAGAGAAAGCGTCACTATCAAAGTTTCAAATAGTCAAGACGGCCATTCGGTTACCATTCGGCGGAAAGATCCAAACGAGGAGGACCTCCGTGGTCTCGAAAGAAATAGTGCTTTGCAGACGCGGAGCTGGACCCTTCAGGAGTACATGCTGTCGCCGAGACACATCTTCTACGGCCAAAATATGATTTACTGGAAGTGTCCACAGCACTTCATTTCACCCGATGGCCTCCCCCTGGGTAACAAATCGCCCCAATTTGCCTATAAAGATTTGACGCAGGTTCTTCACTCCAAAGTTCTCGCCTCTTCGCCAAAGGAACCCATAGACGCAAATGTTGTTCTGTGTGAATACTACGAACTTGTCAACGCCTATAGTCAAAGAAAGCTCACGTACGGTTCCGACAAGTTGCCAGCTTTCTCGGGTATTGCACAACGTCTGCATCCAGTCATCGGGGGGGACTATCTCGCCGGTCTATGGACTTCAGATTTTAGACGCGGGCTCCTGTGGATCCCCGAAGGAAACTTCTGCCGCCACGAGATTGAAAACTACCGCGCCCCTTCGTGGTCATGGGCTGTGACTGACGACCTGGTACTTTTCGAGGAATCGACGATACTAGGCCCGGGCCCTTCGAGTGCCCAATTACTGGAGTTCACTATTCAGCCAAGAGTTCCCGATAACCCATACGGTGAGATTTTATGCGCAAATCTCGTCCTCAAAGCTTTAACCATGCCGCTGGTTCGCAGTCGCCAGATTGTCAGCACATATCACGACACTGCGGCCATAGGAATCGCCAAGTTCGATGAGCCGGCAGGGGCTGAAGACGCGACCAAGATGGGATATCCAAGCCTCTTCCGAGTCAAAACAGATGCTAAAGACTACGTAGTGTCGATCATCACTCGACCGGGGGACGAGACGGATTGGGAGCTGGACACGACTCTTTACCGCGATGATAGGTACTCGTTAATGCTGGTTCACACAGATGATGTCTCCGAAGAGGATCCAGACTGTTCAAACTCTGCCGCACTCTGTCTGGTCATTTGGCAAACCACCGATCGGTCCGAGGAAACGTATGAAAGAGTCGGATTCGCTCGGATACAGACGCCCAGGTTGTCTTGGCTCAAGACCTGGGAGTGGCAGATCTTGACGCTGGTTTGATGTAGCGACGAAGGCCAACCGCCAAGTTTGATTGTAGACGTCCATCCGCATTGATTATATCCAAACACATTTTAATCCGGCAGATTTCCAGTAGAGCGCTTGTCAGCGAGGCGACATCCAGCCAGAAGACTGCGCATGAGTCGTGCCAACAATATACCTTGTCGAAAAGCCCGCCCATATTGCCTATTTCACTCAATCTTTTCATCATACCCTAGCCACAACCCCAATACGACTGCTACTCAACTGCGGGGAAAACATTGGCATTTACCGGCCTTCAAACCAATTTGAGCCCGACGATTATCTGATGCGGCCCGTGTGGAGCCAGGCACATCTGCGCAACCGCTGCACGACGTCGCATTTGTATCTATAAGCGCTCGACTCCGAGTGGTCATGCGGCCGTCAATGGGACGTTGACCCTGATAAGCTTACTCAACCGACCGTTTTCCCCGCGCTGTTTCCCCGATTCTCCCATCGTGTGGTTCGTCACTACCCCTCTGTGGAACTGGTGGAGATCTTGGAGTCACCGGAACGATATTTCAATGGTGCGCGTAGAGTTGTGATGACCTCACCTGGGCCGAGGGTGGCATTGAGCTCATTCCGGGGATGACGGGGCCGTACGGGGGAGAAGGTTGCGGTCTCACATTCGGAAAATGGCCTGTGATTGAGCTATAACATGAGTTTGCCCAAGGCAAAACATGAATGCAGGTGTGGGAAGAGTTGTGGTAGTTGCGAACCTCTGAGCTTCTCAATTCGACCTCATCGGACCACCAACCATGGCCTCCGTCACTTTCGCCATCCTGACGGCTCTCGCTGCACGCGCCTCGGCCAAGACCCACAAGACGCCGACACCTCAGATGGGATGGAATAGTTACAACTACTACAACTGCTACCCCAACGAGACGCTGATCAAGGAGAACGCCCACGCCTTGATCAACACGGGATTGGCCGACGCCGGATACATCACCGTAACCACCGACTGCGGTTGGCCGGCCAAGGAGCGCTCCGCCGATGGTCAGCTGGTCTGGAACCCGGAGCTGTTCCCGTCCGGAGGCGGCAAGGAGCTCGGCGATTACATCCATAACCTCGGCCTAAAGTTTGGCGTCTACTCCGGCGGCGGGTACTTCCAATGCGGTTCCACAGACCAGCCAGCTTCTCTCGGTGAGCAACGATCACCAGGAGGCACCATTGGTTGGCGTGTTTCTAACATGGTTGTCAGATTATGAATCAACCGACGCCAAGTCATTCGCGGACTGGGGCGCAGATTCCCTGAAGTACTTTCACCCCTGGGTACATTTAGTTATCGAGAGATTCAGCCGCTGACCTGTGGGATAGATACGACAACTGCTATGCGGTGGAGCCAACCGTGATGGTCGACTACGAGTCTGAAGAAGCCGTATCGCCCGACCGTTTCGTGGCAATGGCAGATGCGCTGAACACCACGGACCGTGACATCCTCTATCAAGTCTGCCAGTGGGGTACCGGAACTGACCTGGGTATCTGGTACGTCGTCCATAGTGGCTAGACTTCCCCGTACATTGGTAAGAGACTGACTTGCGAATTAGGGCACCCAAGATTGGCAACAGCTGGAGAATCAGCAACGACATCTACAACGGCTGGCGCAGCATCTGGCGAATCACGAACCAAGTTGTTCCATTCTACAAGTACACCGGCCCGGGTGCTTTTCCCGACATGGACATGTTGCTGTGAGTACATGTAGCATACTCTTTCCCACAGGAGAGCGCACAAATGTGAATTCGGCACTGACAACATCATCCCAGCATTGGTCTCAACGCTCTGTCACTCGAGGAGGAGAAGTTTCACATGGGCATGTGGGCCATCAACAAGTCTCCCCTTACCCTCGGCGCCCCCGCCATCCCCGGCCTCGTCGCGGAATCAGCCCACGCGATCCTCACAAACCAGGAAGTCATCGCCCTCAACCAGGACTCCCTCGCCAAGCAGACAGAGCTCGTCCGTCGCTACACCGAGGAGGAGTGGGACGTCTGGGCCGGCGAGCTCTCGGGGTCCCGCCTCGTGGTCGGGCTGGCGAACTGGAAGAACGACTCGCAGGCCGTGAGCGTCGACCTCCCTGCCGTCCTGGGCGTCGTCTCGGCCAACGCCCGCGACGTCTGGGCCGCGAGTGACATTGGCTCCATCTCGGGCACGTACGAGACGACGCTGAACGGCCATGAACTCAAGTTGCTCGTGCTCTCGGACCTCTCCACGACGGCACCCGCCGTCGACGCGTCAGCCGGATATTACACGGCTACGGACGCCGCGCTGTCTGGCTCAGCCTCCAAGGTTACCTGCGCGGAGGGTCAATGTCTCCCGAGCAGCACAAAGGTGGGGAACATCGGGTCAGGGGCCTCGGTCAAGTTTGAGAGCGTCGTGGCCAAGTCGGACGGCAAGAAGCTGCTGGGCGTTGATTTTATCAACTACGAGATCGCCCTCGATTCCGCGTGGCAGTTTGGTTCCAACACGCGCAACTTGACCATTTCTGTCAATGGTGGCACTGAGAAGCGGTGGGCTTTCCCCATTTCTGGTGGTAACTGGTACGATACTGGGCGCTTGCTTGTCGAGGTTGATGGCTTCAAGGGTAATGGCTCGAATACTGTGGAGTTTAAGTCGTTTGGAAGTGCTTGGGCCCCCGACTTGGTTGGTTTTGAGCTGTTCGAGGCTAGCTAGACTCTTAGGCAATCAGTGTTGAATAATAATTCATATGCGAGATTAGGAGAGAAATGCAATCTTAGATCTTTACAATAAGATCCTCCTTGTGCTTCCTGAGGGTTGATATTACATGTCTCCAGTCTCGTTCATATCATCAGAGGCTATTATACAACAAAAAGAGGCGCTGTGTTTACAGCACAGGGGTATTCGTAACGAAAAAGAGCCTTGGTCATCGCATACCACCGCATGCCAGAACAAAATCCGCAATCATCCATCCTAACCATTACCATCGATTTCTTAGCCGCACCAGCTACCCCCTCATCTCCTTCTTCTCCGATGGCCGAGGATGACCGGGGTTGCTGGTCAGCGAGTCTTCGTCACCAACCTTGTAGAATGAGCTTCCGCTCGCCGCATCATCGTGGCGCCCGCCGAAAGATGACGCAGGATTCGATTTGGACGAATGCGACTCGACGCGGACTTCAACGTCGACTCTTCGGTGGATGCCGGTTCTAGCTTCCCGAATGGCTTCAAGGTCTCTATCTTCAGGGACGGCTCCAACGCTGGCGCGGTGGAAGCTCTTGAGGCCGCCAGTTTCGCGATGCCCATTGTGACCGTTGTCGAGGCCAGTAGGGTTTGTGCGATGACTTCGGGAGTTCCCCTGGGAGTAGGAAAGAGAGTTGAATCTCAATCCGCTGTCCTGATCCTTGGCGAGGCGTGTGATCAATGAGGCCATGGACATCTCGATGTTGAGCTTGACCATGTAGGCGACAGGGTGGAACTGAATGTAGACGACTTGGTTGGGAAGGGACATCAGACCAATCAGCATAGCCTGAATGTGTTTGTTAGTCTCGTGACGATTTGAGATGCATACATTTGCATCTTGACTTACGTCCATTGCAATTGATAGAACCATGAGCTTCGCATTAAACCCAACCAGAGGCTTGTACTTCACCAGGCCATGTTGATTTAGTAGGCGAGCCTTGACGACGTGAAGAAAGTACCAATTAAGACCAGCGTCGACGATGAGAATGAGGATTTTGGAGAGACGGTCCCAATAGTGATTAATGTTGACGTATCTATCATAATACGTTAGTGAGCGAATAAAGGATGTAAGGTCCCCGCGCGGCTTGACTCACGTTTGGCTGACAGGAGGATTGAGGTGGGAGGGAATCCAGATACAGAAGACAGCAATGTTGATCATGGTAATAACCATAGCTGTTCCCCATTTCAGGACGCGAATGGTCTTTTGGCTTTCCGCAATGACGGCGATACGGTTGATAATGATTTGCATCAGCAACTGGATCTCCCACACCCATAAGAACAGGATAAAGAATAAGACTGGGACCCTTTGACACCAATGATGTTAGCTCAAACGTGATAGAAATATTGCATTACGCCACTCACGTTGGCCCCAATATACCATCCAAGAATAACCACCCAATAACGGCAATGACGAGGTTGGCGATGATTTCACCCCACATCATGTAGATGTATGTGCTTCGCAGAGGGTTGCGATTCCGCCTCGTCTGTTTCATGGCCTCCCATACTGTCAAGAACCCAAAGCCGATAGTGAAGCCCGCGGCCAGCGAGGCAATCTGGTAGTCGGCCGTGGATGCCGCCATCGTGAACCGTAATCAAGGAGTGTCGAGGCGTGGGATGTGATCTGTTCGTACTGTGTACCGTATCCGAGGTGCTCAAAGTTGGGTCCGCTCCTCTCAAAAAAAGGCTCCTTGTTATACCAGATTTGATATGTGGGGAGGACGAGGATGAGAGGGGAGCAAGATATCGTCTAGTTCAAACTCAAAGGAAGCCCTACGATAATGTCAAAGAAGGAAAATAGGCATACTTTTAAGAATAAACGATGGGCGTCCGGAGCAGATTGACCCTCGTCGAGTTCGGCTACCCACTTCTTTTCTGGCCCGTAACTTAAGAGGTTTCCCTCGTCTCCAGTTCTGTGGCAACAACATCCAGCCAGCCAGCCAGGCTTTTGGTTTTGCGAACCCAAACGCGTAGAGGGTGGCTAGGCCGCGACAGGTAATCGAGCCCTTCAGCCGGCGCGGCGACTAGACCGGGAGAAGAACCCACATGGTGGTGACAATTGTTAGTGCCACCCTTTAGTCTACGCCACATGCACCACAAACGTGTGGCAGGGGTCGCACTCCTAAAGTTACTATCCGTAATCCCGTTACTACGGGCAGGGGAGGTCAGGGGAGAGACGACGGGTCCTGCAAGAGGAGGTAATCGGCACCACCTTCTCGCATCTCTCTTGCCTAGTTGAGACACTGGATGAACGGTGATGTCTTCATCCGTCAAGGGCTTGGGTTGCATACGACCTCAAGAAGCACATCAATCAATACTACCAGGTGCAAAGTCTGTCCGAGTGGGCCGAGGGAAAAGATCAACAGGCACAACCGGCCCCCAAAGACTTATCTTTCGATGTGCCGTCATTTCTCCATCGTTCAGATGTCGGGGACAACGGTTTGTTGAAGAAACCCAGGCGTCGATCTCGAGGGCATCGGTCACACAAGAGGGGATCCTCCTTACCATCCGCGGGAGCGGAAAGCAGGTTCCCTCGGCTGCTCCTTCACGGGATGCCGTCTCGTCATATTCTCCAGTGTGGCTTTTAGAACAGAAATTCGCCATAAAAGAGCGGGGTCCGTTATAGGGGTGATGGAGTCTCGTCGTCAATAGCTTCGTGGGCTGGAAACGACGTGGCGAACCACAAGCGGGGAGTGCGGCCTTTTGCTGGGGACTCAAGACAAGAAAGAAATGGTCCAGGGATCAGCAGATCGGCATGGTTAACCTGGTCTTTGAGCCCTTGACGAATGCAGGTCGAGGCCGTGCGTTTCTTCAAGACAAACAGCGGATAAATCCGTCGTACCAACACCTCATCGGAATTTCTCATCGAGATGGAACGAGGCAAGCGCTGCATTGCTGTTGGACTCTCATTCAAGAACCGGCATTGGACGTGTCCACGATTGACCAGTAATGGAAAACGCGGCAGAGGACTGTTGCACCAAAAAAGAGTTTCCGGCATCATGCCGATCAAGGGTGAACTTTCAGCAATTATGAAGCCCTCAGCAAAGGAGACTAACACCTCTTCATCCTACTCCTCCTACTCTGAAGCTTTCGGTAGAGGCAGTCAAACGCCGGCTCACCAAGAAGAGACAGTTGCCAAACGACGTGGGACCTGTATGCAGAGTGTGCTCCGAACCGCATTTCATGCTGCATGGGACTAACTATCACCACCCCCGCGAGCCTTCTGAAACATGATCTCGCTGCACCACAACTCTGGCACTCTGCATTCTCTGCAAAAGGGGCCGCATTATCCTCACCGGAGATATTTTCCACGTGGAGGAAGGCCTTCGATCTAGTATCGAAAGAGACGCAAAGGCCGAGATAGCCAGGCCAAATGACACGGTTCCATCGGGGGCCGTGTTGACACCACCCATTGGAGGGAATAATCCTCGATATTACCGTTCCAGGCGAGATTCGAGCCGCCAAGACATGTCAGGGGGTTCTCGATGGCCGACGAAGCGATCTCCTGGTCCATTCCCGAGAGCCCACACTTACTGCAGTCAGCGTACCAGTGACGAACAGGTTAACATCGACATGCCTCGAAAAATGCGGGGAGGTTCTGCGCTAATGACACAGAATCCGCGTAACAGATCATCCAGACCTTTCTCATCTTGACACACTCACCGTCCTCCATCTTCGAGCTGTCTAGGTGACTGCAGTGTGTCGCCCGCACTCGACCCGTCAAGCACTATAGCAATGGTGTTTCTCCGTAATGTACGCGTAGCGACATGATGTGGCTCAAGAACTGGGTACAACAAGATGATTCGAACCTCCGAAAAGATTCCCTCGGCCTCTGACAGCCACCACCGCACCGGCTGTGGCGTCTTTTCACCAAAAACTCGACACTATTCCACCTTTGTTCCCCTCACCCGCGGCTTAGCCTTGATCACCGCCCGGTAACGCTGATGAACCACGCCGCTGTCCTGCTCAAACCCGGTGATCCACGTTTTGCAGCATTCAGTGTTCGGAAAAACGTTCACATTTGGTAAGGTTGAGCATGAAGGAAGAAGGCCACCCCCGGGCCCCTCCCCCGGACGAACCATCACGTGTCTCGCAACTGTAAGTGCAGGCCCTTTCCGGCTAGGTCGGCCTAGGTAGGGGGGGGGGGCTCGAGGCTCGAGCGAGTCTGGAGATCTGGGACCCTGGAAGCTCTGACCATTCGTCATCTTCTGTCGCCGTGTTTCATGGAAGCGAGGTACGAAGCGAGGCACATTATCACGCATGGGATCCTGGGTCGCGCGACCAATAGTTTCTCTCAGCTTTGCTCCAGCTCCGAAGAACAGTTTTCTAGCGTTGCCGCTAGATATAATGACTTGGATAGGCCACATGGAGAATCACGAGAAACCGGACCAAAGGGGCACAATGTTGACAATTGGTTTCTATCCCCGAATGAAGCTAGAAGACGAAGAGAACGTTGAACTTTCGATTCATCAAAAAAACGGTTCCAAAATCTGTGCGTTCCCCCCCACCGCGACCGACTTCCTCCTCACCTTTCCCGAAGCACTAACAAAAGACTAATCCCAAGCGTAAACAAAAACAGGAAATTCGACCGTTGATAGAACGCCATCGCTCATCTAAAACCCGCTGAACCACATCATGCAACCCGGACATGCACAGATGCCGCTACAGTCCTCCAAAGCCTTTGACAGGAAAATTGAAGTTGACGTGGTGAATCTCGGTTTTCATACCGCCCGTATACGCAGACTTATCCGCCGCGCGACTGGCCTCGAGCCCCGTCCACCCGATCGCCGCGACAAACATCCTGCCGATGCCGTCGTCGTCGCCAGAGGAGGAGGGGGAGGAGCTTGGCGGACACAGCGAATACCCGCTCGCCACGCCGTTACAGCCCGGCATCCCGGATGCCCTCTCGACCATCTCGCGCATTTTGTTCTCGGGTTCCCGGCAGTTTTCAAAGCTCACAGTCTCGACGATGGGGGAGTTGATGACGGCGTGGGGCGCGAGGGGCTTGAATTGGAGTAGGTATGCCGAGGGTTCACCATTTACCACCGGTGCGCACCGGGCCATGGCTTCGGTGAAGTCTTCTGATTTCCGCCACTTTTCGCACGCATCTGGACTGACCCAGCCTATTCAAGACCTCGAGTCAGTCATGCAAGTTAAGCTCGATGATTAGGACCGGGTTATAGTAGTGGACTCCCGGTGCGGACCTGGATATCACATACCGGTGATGAGCTCAATCTTCTGCTGGTCTTCGCTCCATGGACCCCAACGCGTACGGAGGTATCCCGGCTGCTTGCTGAGAGCTTGGAGCATAAACTTAAGCTGCTCCTTCCAATTTTCAACGCCGCCTCTGACGGGAATGGTTACCCGCTCCGTGACGGCATTTGCGAGCTGTGCTGGATCCATCGGTGCGCCGTGCTTGGTTGCTGCTTCGACTCAGGGGTTCTTCTTTGCTCGAGCCTTTCTCTTGCACCAATGTCTCGATGATGCTTAATTTGGGACAATAGCGGGCAACTGGGTGGCGAGTTTATGGTTGCTACCAAATCCACTTGGAGGTCCGGACCTCACACTGATGGAATATGTGGACGACCAGCTTTCCTCTTTGATGTGTTGAGCAGGCAACCCTAATCTTAAATAACCGTTCATAGACGGCAGAGCTGGAACAGGCCAAAGGTCATCTCCCAACGTCAAGAGCCAACTTTTGGATCAAAGTTAATGTAGGATGAATGACGTTTCCGCATGGACAAGCGTGGTATTCAAGTTTGCCCGACACTGTGGTAACGCAAGATTCGGAACCGGGCGACGAGCATGAGACACGCTGTCGGCCCCGTCTCTAGCACCACTGCCCATCCTCCAAGCCATCAGGAACCCCCGACCAAAGCTTCGGTAGCTTCGCATCCATCAAAAGGCCTCGCTCGTACCTCGCAATCGAAACTACACCTACCTGTCGCAGCATGTCATTTGGGGTGGTGGTGGGCGTGTGCCCCAAGCTTGTCGAGTAAATCAACAGAATCCCAGCATGGGAAGTCTTCTAGAAACGCCCGGAACCTCCGCTCCGTGACCGGATGGCCAACTGCGGAGGGCCGATGCGAGAGTTCTCCCCAAGTGGCAACTGTTCCTCCGGAGAGACGCGTACCCCGGCCCATCCACCCACCCCTAAGGCTGGCAGCTTGGGCATGCCAAGCACGCCATTGGAGCGTCTGGCAGTTTAGGAATAAGATGTAAAAGATGAGATGGCGGAAAATCCAAGGAAAACAAGAAATCTACCTTGGGAGAATGCAGCCATCTCGGACAAGCCGGCTGAAGGGAGGGTTGATAAGAGCCCAACCAGCAGCCAATGTCCGTGGGGAAAAGGGAATAAACGGCTCTCTGTTTTGTTTCATGGGGCCTGTCCCGAGGCAGCGGTAAGACACTGTCAATACTGCAGGTCGCGTCTACAACTAACGACGGGAACGGGTGTCTGTGTGAAGGTTATGTGTTGCCGTCAGATTACGTTTCAACCCAAGATTCCCTCCAACAAGTCCGCCGGTTCCGCACAAGACGGATCTACGAATCAACACAATCATCTTCCATGGGAGAAAGCAAAGGTGGGTGGCCTTTCGCATCACAGCTCCCTTTTAGTAACTGGCCAACCCAAAACGTCTTCACAACGTCAAGCATGTCAGGTCGACAGACTCATGTTCCAACCCACGGTCCTCTCGACAGGCGTCCCCCACGACTCCTCAGACCACAACGCGCCACCACGAAGGCTCTTCGACGGACGGCAACGATCTACACCGACCACTCCACAAGCCACATTGCGAACAAGATAACCCGTCGAAACAGTGTCTTAATCCCTACATCCAAGCTGTGGTATCAGGCAGGTGTCCGTAATGAACTGATGGCCCCCATTGACTAAACCCACATTAGTTTACATTCTCCATTAGTTTCCGTCCGTTGCTCTAGGCTTCGCGGCCTTGCCCTACTTGCTGGTATTTGATGCCTCCGGACGGGTTGGGGCTACCTCGCGGAGGCAACCCGAGGGACTGACTCGACTAGGGCCCAGCACGCGGGCGACGGACGACCATAGCTGAGTTGCCTCGACCTCGCCAGCTACGCGACAGGCTCGCTACACGGGCAATGGGTTCGCCGCACCCGGACGGCATCGAACGGTATTCCGTCAAGCATCGTGCGCATTGCCGGCAAGGTTCAACGGGGAGCCCGTAGAGGCAATATTTCTCATTATGGAAAGGTATTAAATGGCCTCCAATCTCCCCAGCTGAGGTAGTGTAGATTCATATCAAAAACAACATCAATCTACACTCATCTCCGGTCTAGCGATACGTTGGTGATTTCAAGTGCCGTCAATTATATCAGATATCGCGTTTAATCAACCCCCCCTTTCAGATTCAGATCCCGTCAAGATGGCGCCTATTCCGGAACCCATCGCGCTCCCACCCAACTTCACTCCCGAGCTGTTCCAAAAGTTCATCATACGCGCCCAGGAAATCTGCGGCGTCGATAATGTCCGCGTTATCCCCAAGGACAAGCCCCTTGAGGGCGACTCCTACCTCAACCAGCCCAAATCACACGACCACTTCCCCCTCTACGACAAGACCAAGTTGGTCGCCTCGGCCGTCGTGACGCCCCGCCATGTCCCGGACGTTCAGGCCCTCGTGGCCCTCTGCAACGAGCTCATCATGCCCGTTTGGCCCATCTCCCTCGGCCGAAACTTTGGCTACGGCGGTGCTTCCCCACGTGTTCCCGGTTCCGTGGTCATGGACCTGGGACACCACATGAACCGCATCCTCGAGGTCAACGTCGAGGGTGCATACGTTCTCCTCGAGCCCGGCGTCAGCTTCCGGGACCTGCACGAGCACCTGGAGAAGCACAAGCTGCGCGAGCACCTCTGGATGTCAGTGCCCGTCGGCGAGGGGTCCGTCCTCGGCAACGCGGTCGAGCGCGGCGTCGGCGCCACACCCTATGGCGACCACTGGGGCATGCACTGCGGCATGGAGGTCGTGCTGCCGAACGGCAAGCTGGTCCGTACCGGTATGGGTGGCGTGCCGAACCCCAATGCGGACACGAGTTTGCGCCCCGATCAGCAGCCTGGCTGCGAGACGTGGCAGCTCTTCAACACGGGCTACGGACCGTACAACGACGGTCTCTTCTCCCAGAGCAACCTGGGCATTGTGACAAAGATTGGCATGTGGCTGATGCCCAACCCCGGAGGCTACCAGCCGTACGAGATTACCTTTGAGAACGACTCGGATCTGCCAAAGGCGGTGGACATTATCCGCCCGCTGCGTCTGCAGATGGTGTTGCAGAACGTTCCTTTCCTTCGTCACACTCTCTTGAACGCCGCCCACTGCGGGCCCAAGTCCAAGTACACGGACAAGACGGGGCCTCTCTCAGAGGAGGAAGTTGCGGGCATCGCAAAGAAGCTCGATATGGGTCGGTGGCAGCTCATCGGCGCCGTCTACGGACCCAAGCCAGTCCGTGATGTCCTCCTCAGCGTCATCAAGCATGAGTTCCTGGCCATCCCTGGCTCTCGATTCTTCTTGCCAGAGGACCGTTCAGAGGAGAGCCCTCTCCGTGCTCGCGAACTTCTCATGCAGGGTATTCCTACGGTGGATGAGCTGAGGTGTCTCAAGTAAGTCGGAGAGTCCCGAGCCTCCTTCACTCCATGTCATGTCGCTAATACTATACAAAGATGGCTTCCCAACGGTGGTCAGCTCTTGTGGGCGCCCATCTCGAAGGTGTCTGGCGAGGATGCAAAGAAACAGCACGATGTAGCCAAGAAGCTCATCACCGAGTACGGATTCGACTACCTCGGCGCCTTCGCCGTCGGTATGCGAGAGCTGCGTACGTATCCCATCTCGCTTACACTATCTGACACGTCCCGATGTTACGAGCCTGTACAATGCAATAGAATATAGATGACTGACCTGGCTCACTTCAGACCACGTTATCGGTATCCCGTACCGCCTCGACGTGCCCGACGACGTGGAGCGCATCAGGAAGCTGGCCCACAAGCTCATCAGTGAGACGACGGCGCACGGCTGGGGCCAGTTCCGCGCGCACACGGCGCTCATGGACCCCGTCGCCGACGCCTTCAACTGGAACGACGGCGCGCAGATGCAGCTCAACGAGACGATCAAGAACGCGCTCGATCCCAACGGCATCATCGCACCCGGCAAGAACGGCGTGTGGCCGGCGAGTTACGACAAGAAGAAGTGGGTGCTGGACGGCAATTGATAGACCAGGGTGATAGGGTGAAGTGTGCCCTCATTATTTTCCGCTGGAAACCTGATTGGGCCAGCGCCGGAACTGGGGAAGTTGGCTGAATAGAGCGTGGCAACCAGATCTTGTGTTGAAAAGAGTCAACAATATACTACAGGAGTTAACCAGATTGAAACTAATCGAATAAGAGATACTTGATACTACATGAATGCTCCCATGTGGTACATCCATGTTGCCTATGTGCAACGGTCTACAATTTCCATGCTACGAGAGAAACAACTAACAATCTCCATGCTTCTTCAGTAGCATGTGAGGACGCAAGGTACAATTGGTAGATACAGGGGTCCGGAGATTAACATCCGGGACTGAGATGCGGGCTTACGAACAAGACTTTAATGTTTGGCTGGGGTTCACTTCCAAAATCGATGCACCAACCCAAGATAAGTGGCTCATATTACCCCATGGTTCATCCAAACAATTGACTTTGTAGCATTTCCCCAATAACAGTCTGCGAGATCAACTATGGATTACTTCGTACCACACAACACCTCATCAGCCTGACATAAGCATCATCGGGGCCGGCCGCATCCACTCGCGGCCCGGATTTCATTCTCCACCGGCCCACCCCGAGCTTGCCGGAGACAACTCCGTGATCCAGTAGCGTCATTGCCGGTGAGCATAGCTGAGGAAATTGCGGCCATCCAAGAAATGCAAGCCTTGAGGATTTGCCCAGATGTCGTATAAGAACCGGCTCACGTTCGTCCCAGCAAAGTGAGGCCAGTCTTCAACATCTCATCACATCAGAGACCAAATTTGCATGATAATGGCACTAAGGAGCATGTTTTGAATGCTCGTTCTAGCCTCCCGCGCATGAGCCGTGCCCTTTTTCTCAGAGCCCCTGAACACTGTCACCTCGAAGCCGAAATTGACACCATCTCCAAGTCCCAGTCACCAACGCGACCTCCCATGGCCCTTACACGGGTCCCTCATCAACCATAAGCGGCGCAATCTCAACCAGCATCCTGGCCTGCGAGGTCCCCATACTCTCCTCGCCAGATGAGACCTACGATTACCCAGCCGACTGCGAGCTCCCCAGCGACCAGCCCGTGCCGTACACGCTCTCTGGCGGCGGCGGCAGCAACGGCTCAGCCCCAGTCTAACACGTCCGGAGTAGTTTCGACTACCAATCCCTTGCCCTGGCGCTCTATCAGGAGTACATCGAGCTCGACCTCTTCCACCGGGCCTCGCCACATTCTCTGGCGAAGAATTCAAGGAGCTCGGCCTGGGCGGCCGGGGACCGCTATCTCCTCCAGTTCATGGCCGAGCAAGAGATCGGCCACGCCACGGTCATCACAAACATGCTCGGCGCTGAGGCGCCCTGGCAGGGCGAACTAACCCCTCCCCAGCCTCCGCGAGTACATGACTTCAACCAGAAGCTGCTGATTTATAGCCCTAGGAAGGCTTGAGTCGAAAATTTCCACAGCCGCCGCTTCAGTGATCTGAATTCTTAAAGTGCGACTTTGTCCAGACTCTCTGATGATGCTACAATGAAATCGAAACGAAATTGCAGAGAAGCGTGCCATCAAAGGATCTTAAGAGCTTATGTTCTCTATTGCCAAATATCATGTCTTGACAGATTGGCGCTGATAGTCAGGCGTGGCTTGGTTGGACTCGCCAGCGGTGTATACTTCACTAGTAGCAGCTCTCTACTACCTAAATCAAGGCACGAATATCCTCAAGAACATGGACACAGCTTGCTGGGTGGTGGATAGATGACCAGAAAAAAGCCACTAACCGTGGCGAAAGCATAATAATCTTGTTGATCACCATTCAATTGTTCGCCTGAAATCATAATAGCTTCGTAGTGCGTCGTGTATACATCGTCGGATCCAAACTCGCCAGTCAATGCTTCTGCATAGCGAAGTATGCTGCACATATAGACACCAACTCAAAAGTCCATTTGCCTTTTCTCTACCGGATGCAAGTTTACTTGTATAGAAACATGTCTCAGAGAGCTATTTAGAGCTCGTTGTGCTCCTGGCCGTCAGCATCAGAGTCAGCGACGATAGTCTTGACGACGTCAGCCGCTTCGGCGACCTTGTTGACGACCTTCTGGGCAATGCCCTCGGTAGCGGGCTCGACAACCACTTCGGCAGCCTCGGAGGCCTTGATGATGATCTTCTCGGGCTTGGGGACACCGTCAATGCCGACGAGCTCAGTCTCGAAGACTGGTTGCGACGCTGGTTAGCAGATATTCCAATAGAAAATGGGACGTATCCTACCAAGGGTCGAGCCGCCAGGGATGGGGCCCATGCCGCGGGGGCCGTATCCAAGCTCAGGGGGGATGGTCAGGGTTCTGCAAGGCGTCAGTAACGATTCGTATTTGGTCACGGGGCGTCTTGATGTTTACCTCTTCTCGCCAATGCACATGTCCAAAAGTCCTTGTTCCCATCTGCGCCCAGTGTTAGCCCCACAGGTGCCTTCCAATGCTTCTCGCCGAACCGATCGATTGTGGACGAACTGACCCCTTGATGACCTGGCCGCTGCCAATCTTGAAGCTGAAGGGGGTTCCCCGGTCGTAGCCTTGAGAATTGAGACGTCAGCATTGCTTCGGGGCGAACGATGGCGAAGCGTGGTGACCTACTGGCATCGAATTGCTTGCCGTCGGCCTTGAGAGTACCGCGGTAGTGCATGGTGAGCTTGTCGCCATTCTTGGTCTTGCGGTCGCACTCAACCTCCTGAGTAACGTCGATCTTGAGGTCAGCAGCAGCAACGAAGCTGACGGCGCTGGAGGCCAGGAGGCCAAGGGAGAGGAGGAGACCCTGCATTATGTCTGTTTTGAGAAAGGCGAGGCGGAAAGTCGGCGATGAGGGTGATGGTAAAGTCGTAAAGGTGAGCGGTCAATTGGTCGGATTGGAGGGGAACAAAGCTGGCTGGTAACAAGGAAGACAGCTGCAGGGAGGGGCCACTAGACTGCCACACACTGGACCGGCCAGAGGTGGGTTGAAGACACGCCGCCTCAACTTTTCTATCCTCCGATTGGCCAATCGGGGTGTCTGTACCCAGGTGGATCCTTTTCAAAATATTCCGGGGTGGAAGGTAAGGTACGTATCGGAAGCGTCTTATCGATAGCTGCAGCTGACTTATCGTTTTGCCCAGCTCCTGTGGATATCCAACCCCACGAAGCTCCTTTCCACTGGCTCTCCAAGGTCCAGAGCTTCCCAGCTGACATCCTCAATGACGTCAAGCCACCAAAGGGCGATGCGTTTATCCAAGCTTCCTCTCGTACCAAATCGTCGCATCCTTTCCATCCCGGGTGACGATGGGTGACGATGGAGGCTATGGTGGGTACCTCCCGCAGCACGTGAGAGGGCGTCGACAGCCTTGAAAAATCCACTTTGAAGACACGCAATCCGCGTCACTTGATTCTCCTGGGGGATCCATGGACCATGACCACGCGCGCCGCCTCGCCTGTCTGCAAAGACCTCGGTTCTTACACTTCGGTGTCAACATTTCTTTTTCCCGCAGGTCTCGACCTCATGGCTAGCAACAAGTGGGCGGCGGCAGTGCTGGACGATTCGTCGTCATTGCGGCCAAGGCAGAACCCAGGAGTGCCAGGCCCCCAAACGACCCAAACCTCGATTACGAGATGGTGAATGGTGAGGAATGGCGACCACACCAAGTCGCCTCCCATTAGCTGGACTGGCTGGCAACCAACGAGGTCCTTCTGTTGACAAGTTACCCACCTCGTGTTGCGTACCTGTCAGACTGGCAGCTTTCAACTGGTGATTCAGCATCCACTACTGCAAATGGGGGCACACATCGGATCACGCTCATTCCGTGCCAAAGGGTACCTTGCTTATCCGCCTGATGCATCGATATGAGAGACGACGGAAGACGCGCTAAGAGCGAGCTGCGCGGCAGACGACCGCTCTGCATACTGTCTCTTTTTGCACAGTTGAAGGCTGTCGACACTGGGTGGTTGCGGCAGCAGCACCAGCTGTATTTGCTCTGTTGCCCCTCTCTGCCAGTCTGACACGACACAGCAGAAGACATTGGACTCACCTGTCGCCCGGCCTCCAGTGGGCGATCGAGTCCTGCAGCTCGCCCTGTTGCCTTGCACGCCAGAGCATGAACACCTCCACCCAGCAGAATGATCACCGCGCTGCATTACTGCAGACTCCCCCGATCTTTTCTGGCACTTGTCCTGCAGGCAATTTAGCTGCTGTAGCCAGATCGCTACTACGTGCATATCTGGTGCCTTCTGGAGACGACGATTGACCCGATCGAAGGGATGCGATGGAGGCCCTTTGGGTCGCAGTCCCCAGAGCAGGGGATCCCCCATGTCCACGTCCAAAGACATCAGGCACGATCCGAACTCTCTGGCCCCCTGGAGGCCCGACTCGACCGGCTTCCAGACACACAGACATTTCTTGACTCCGGCGGATGGTCCCGGCTGAGTGGGAACCAGAGCGACAAGAAGAAAGAAGCAAGATTGCAATGGCCACCTGAGGGTCATCAGGCCATAAGTTGGGCAGCGACAGTCTAGGTGAGCCAGGGGCTATGCTGGTCTCGGTACATGCTTCGAGCAACAAGAACACAAAAAAAAATATTTTCAACCTCTGTGCCATTCCAGATCCAATCAGGGACGCACTGATCTAAGCATATGGCTGCACGGCGGCGAAGCGCTTATGGGGGCCAACCAAGGCTCGCACTCTTTACGACGGCCAAGTCTCTGCAAGGTCTTGGCTGCTCTGCGTTTTTTCCACTTCCGCCGCAATTTCAGAGGTATCGGCCCCCAAAGCTGAGCAGCCACAAGGCCGAAAAGATGGTCCTGACGCGTCGCCACTTGGCAATCCACGTCAGGCTGGCGCGGAACATGGCATCAGTTGTTGACTCTTTATGTACGGATACGTCTCGAGTCTTTCACTACCTACGTCCATGATGACAAACTTGATGCGTATGGCGGCTAAGGGTGGACGGGAACGAAGAGCGGCGGGCTAAGACGTCTAACAGGGCGAGACAGACATAGCGGCAGTCTGGTCAATCATGCCCTGACGAATACGCCCTACCTGCGTCGTCCGACCTCTCCTCGCCCAATCAACCGTGGCATTCGCCACCAAGGCAGCAAGGGAGGTCTCTTTGGATGGATGCACTGCCTGTTGCTGTCCTGACGCTGCGGTACTGCTGCTCCGGAGCCTGGCCCACAGGACTCTGGGAGGACTTTTAGACGCACACGCGCACCACCTCTTGTCCACACCCGAGAGACCCGCCAACCACGGCTGTTCTGGTTTCCACAGCATCTGCAACATCGCAACATCCCTCTTCCCTGCTCCCTTGGTAATCCATGGACTTTGTCACTTCGGACTAACCACTCTAGCGTTTCCCATGCCTAACGTCCCTGCATTTTGAGGGCCTCTGAAATGACAAAGCTGCCCAATGATGTCGCCGTCGCCCTGCAACACACACACACTCTCTCTCTTTTTCAACGCACACACCCGGCCTACTTACACCATTGTCAGCCCCAAGCATTCAGGGCTGTCCCCACACTGCCTCACACTTCGCGCAAGTGCGCTTCCAAGCAAGCTCCAAGGTCCAAGGTCGGGCTGGGTTGAGTCACTCACTCTTTGCTTCGCCGGCCCGCCCAGCGAGACTTTCCACAAGGCCTCCTTCTCCTTGGCCGGGTCCAGGTTCAGGTACCTCGCATGGCCAGGCAATCAACCCTTGACGGGCCTTTTCTCTTTCTCTCTCTGCCGTACCCCGGGACTAAGCATGTCCTGTCTACGGCAAGTGCTGATGGCACACGCGTTCGAGTCTGGTACCTACCTACAAGTGTACGTATAAAGATGATGGAGGCATCCCAGGTCTGGTGTGGTGTCTGCAAACACCTCCCAGCTATATATCTAGCCATACCCTCGGCCTCTCTTCCTAGCCTTGATCTTCTTCTCCTTCACCAAACACTTGAACCAAGCATCCGTCACCTAGGCCTCACCAGTTCAACTCTTCTGAACCAACACATCACACTTTGGAGACCAATTTCCATCTACTATACAATACCATACCACACACGACTCGATACATCAATCGAGTAACACAAACACAAGATGTCGTCCAGAAACAGCACCACCAAGCCGGTTATCCACCATGCCCCTGCCTCCATCAGCAGCGCCTACTCGGCATCAACGGGCTCCTACGCTTCAACAAGAGGCTCCTCCACGCCTCGCTCCATCTCACCTAGCGACGAGACCTGCCTCCGTGTCTACCTCGCGGACCAGCACCGGGCGGGAATGAAACACGGCAGCGGCGTTACCATCGTCAACCGCAAGCAGTCTGGCTACGACGCCCACGCACCATCACCAAAATACGGCGGCGGCTACTCACGTCGATGAAGCAAGCCCGTACCCAACGCGACTTGGCGCTCTTCAACGACGAACACAATGACAACCACTTCACTTTGTAACAGCATAGACCGGCGTTATTTTGGAATTCGGGCATAAGCAACTGCGAGTGCGCACTCTTGTACAGCAAATTGTATCACCGTGATTGGTCCGCGGTACAGCATTGGAATTCTGGGATGCATGAGTGATAATGGGGGCTACTATGGGAATTTGGTATTGCGGGAACCTCCCCGGGATGGGAGTTGATACCTGCTGTATGTTATACATTGGACGCGCGACGGATGGGGTGGAGGCCACATATGTCATGTTTACAATAGATTGGGACGGAGATTTTTTTTTTTCCCCCTTCGACGGGATAATACCGGATCTGCGACACTATTGCTTGTAGATCAGAGGCATCCTGTAATTCTTCAACAATTTGCTCCTTGTTTGCACATTGACAGAGTCTACCAATGGGATGTTTCCTCTTCCCGATACCAGAGCCTGCACTGCTGTCCCAAATAGGAATTTGAATTTGTCTCTGTAACCCCACCAGCGCGCCTCATTGTCTCTGAAACCAAAAAAGTGCAAAGCTACACGAGTTCTTCTCACGCGCACCCCCCCCCCCCCCTCCCCCCCTCCCAACAGCCTCTCCTCACCGACGTAGAAAAGGGCCACGCAGAGCACATTACAGTAAACAGAACGAAGAAGACAGAAATAGCGCACGCGCGGCACCACCGGCCCCACGGGCGGGGCGCGCCGCCCCCCCCCCCCCTTCCTCTGATAAAAAGGAAAAGTCTCAACTTACAGAAAAAGGGGCCACCGGAGCATAATAGGACAAGGCATGACGAAGGCAAAGCAAATCGCTGCCGGTGCACTCCCCCATGTCGAGAAATTTTTACCTTGCCGACTCCCCCGAAAAGTAAGCTTCCCCTGGAAGGAGTTCCGATGGAGACAGTGGTCCCAGGGCAGCGCTGCTGCAACTGCAAGGGGCGGGAGCGCGGCAGGACGGCAGTGCAGATTGCGACAGATAATTAGGACCACGGAAACATTGGACAAAAAAAAAAAAGTTGGAGAATAAGGGCCGGGGGGGGTGAGGGTGGTTTACAGGTGAGCTAGACTGGACTAGCTGGCTTTGGTGGCAGTGAGATTGAGACTTTGGGGACTTGGGTTGCTGCTACTAGTCTCTCTTCCACTCTCTCTCTCTTTCTCTCCCGCGAGTCCCGTCTCTTGTCTTTGATTTCCCCTTTCCTGTGTCACCGTCAAGTATGACTTGCATGTCCATTCGTTGACTCGCGCGCAGCCTGAGGTGTCCCGGCGATGAGGTCACCCACCCTCTATCCCGGCTCAAGGCTGGGAGAATATTTCACATGCTAATTGGGGGTGGGGGGGGGGGGGGCGTGGGAGGGGTGCAAGAGCGGGCGCGTGTCAGGGGGGGGCGCTGCGACGACGAATGGGCGCCCACATTGGCGGGGCGCCGGGGGGGGGGGGGGGGGGGGGGGGGGGGGGGGTGGTGGGGGGGGGGGGGATAGAGGTGGTTCCAATGCGGCTGCGTAGCATAGTGGGCATTGACTCCAAGAATAGAACCTACCAAAAGTTCGGGACCCTTGGTTTTGCAATCTCGTGTTCGAATGGGAGCAGCAAGTTCCAACCCAGATAAGGCTGAGGGAAACAGGTTGGCGAAACATGGCATTGAGATGTGTCTCTTGGTTTTCTTTCTTTTTTTGTTTATTTTCGGAAGCAAGAGTTCCAGTCTGACTGCTTCTCCACCAAGTTACTCTACTCTGGCAAAGAGAAAACACGACTCAATTTGTTATTTTTTTCTGCTGTTCAATTCGTAGACTCATTCAAGGAAGAGTGCAGTTCCTCCAACTCATACCCTTGGTACCGAATGATAATTATCCTACATCGTATTTCCATACTTGTTCCACATCCCCTTGTTCCAAGACTGCCAGCCTGTGTGACCATCCGACCTTATCAATCCTCAACGTAGCATCGTTCATCGAAAACTCCCCACCCTCCACTGCTCGGTGTGCGTTCGTCTAAAGCCCGTAGCAGAGCTAATGGATGATGAGACGAGAGATCAGTCACCGTCAGGAGATAAATCCAGACGAAATCAAGCACCACCCTCGCGCTTGGCGTACTCGTCCTCAATGGCCTCGGCGTACTTGTCGTCAGCGCTGCGGGGGTCCTCCTTGAGCACGCCCTCCTTGATGAGGTCCTCGGGGGCGGGACGGTGGGAGATCTTGTCGTTGAGAGAGTCGGCGCGCATGTGCTTCTCGAGCTCCTTTTGGTGGGCGATCAAGCCGGGCGCGGCGTTGGAGGCGGGCAGGATGTTCTCTGCGGAAGGGGAGTTAGCATGTAACGATCGCAGTGCAAGTGCGCGATGAGGCGGCATGAATTCCCCGGCAATGCGCAGCAGGTTTACTGGAGGTGGGGGTTCTCTTTCTCGCCCGCAACAGTCAAGTTGATCCCGGGTTTTGGTGATCGGCGGGTGAGGCGGACGGTGGGGCGCGGCGGACGGGAAGAAGTGGAGGGGGCCGCATTGCAATACCTAGGGGAGAGAAGACAGGAAACTGCGAACAGATAACAGTGGAGATTCGCATGGGAGGCGGCGATGAAGTGTGGCTGGTGTTGGTTGTGGATGCAGATGCAAATGCACATTGACGCAGGGATTGAAACCTGAGAGAATAGAGGGTGAGGGAAGGGATTCACATACTCTCGACCAGCTCGGCGCGGTCGGGACGGTGTTGGAGGTGGTTCTCGAGAGAATTCTTGCGCTCGCCGGCAGGGCGGGAGATGGGCGTCTCATCGACGGCGGGTTGCGAGGTGTTGGCGCTGTTGTCAGACATGATTGATTTGTTGGTATTAGTTGGTGTTGTTGATGGTCGGCCGGGGATCTATCTGGTGGATCGGTCTCGTATCTGTGGTCGTCGGACAGGGTGAACTACGCTTGGTGTCCGGTGAAGCTGGGGTTTACGAGGTCGTCTCGCCTTGTTTTACTGGCGCAGGGTAAGGAAGAAGACAAGATTTGCAATTGTTCCGCCTTGAAATCGGAATGATAAGTGGTAAGCAGAGGAGGAGCTTATCCTGGATAGTGGTCAGGTTGTAGTTTTCGCGATGGGGAACGTGGATAGAGTAGTTTGGACGCGGGAGGGCGGGGTGTGGATGGGCGCGGGTGATGGTGTGTTATGTAGTCTCTCTCTGATCGTCTGCAGTCTGCGTCTTCACGCCTTGGAAGAGGGGGTGAACTGGAACAGCAAGGCACGTTCACGTCTGGACTCAGGTGGTGGTTGGTATGGCAATGACAGAGGCACATGGGACGGGGTGGATGAGACCAAGACCAGGTTGAGAGCAGGAGACGAGTGTGGCCTGTTGCCGTCCGGTGAGGTGAGGTGACGGAGCTGGAGCTGGGGAGGCAAGAGGGGAGCTGTTTTACCCCGCAGCCCTTACCTGCCCTGTACTCAACTGACAACCACCTACCCTGCCCTCCTGGCTCTTTTCTGGAGCTACAGACCCGCATTTCCCGGGCCATTGCATCACTGGCCTTATGTAAGTTGATACGTACCGTCTTCGACCGCCCTTGTGCCTGAGGATGATACCCGAAGCGTCCAGGGGTGGCCATGCCACTGGCTACCCCGGAGCTCTCTTCTACACGTCCATCGGGTGTGTTATCTCCCTCTGCTGTCTTTTTGATATCTGATGTTGCATTTAGGTCGAGGCTTCAAGCTGTAAGCTCTCCGTCGCTCCGGAGACTTCGATACAGCCCATTGTTGTTTGCTTCTGTGGCTTTCAAAACAATGCCATTCAACACTAGATCCATTCTTCACAACCAGTCGAGATGAGACAGCTGCCACTGCTCTCGGCCCGCCGCCCCCAGCTGACTTGAATGGCCGATGACGTCTAGCGCACGGGAATCACTCCCTTTCCCAGACACAGCACATTTCGACTGGGCCCCCGGACGGAACAGTAGCCTCGGTGATGAGATCATGAGGCCCAGAATGCCCCGTCTCATCTTACCTCGCTCGCGGACTCTGCACCTCGTGATCAGAGCAGGCCACTGCCGACAGCCGTCCAGCTTGAAGGCTGCGCCACGATTGCAGCCAGCTTGCTTCACAGTCCAGGTCCCTCTGCTGGACTCAGCCACTCCAACCATCACAGGCCCCCCACTGTGGCTGCTTCGCAATGAGAATTCGATCCTTGGGATCACCATGGCCGGATTTCAACGTGACTACACCTTGAGGTTGCGGGGGTTTGATATAACGCTCGGGAAGACCACTCGGGGCGGCCTGACATTACACAGCCAGGTCTACACCTAACCACAAGGCTCCCATGTAGGTCTGTCGTCTTCGTCTGAGTAAGATGTGCAGATGCTTCGGTGCTTACTTGAGATATGGACAAAATACTGATACTGCCCCAAGCACAAACTACCATTTCGGCAGTGCTGCATTTGATGCCATGCCACGTTACAATTCAGGATAGGCTACCTCTGCTCATTCATTTCACCAATGTTGCGTGTGGCGCCGCGTCCGATATGGTGCTGTCGCCTCCTCAAACGGACACCGCCAACTCTACGTATTGACTTATGGAAAAGTAGGCAACGGGATTCTTTGGGGCCAACGAATTCTTTTCTCACTGAAAAAACAGTTTGCCATGGCAACTTTTGTTCATTCCCCTCCATGTCTCTCCATATCGATCATCGCAGCCACTCAGCTTCTCGATTATGAAGCTCCTCAACGCGACTACTCTACGGCTCCACGAGTTCTTCGGCTACAGCATTCCATTCTATGTAATCCTCTCGCACACCTGGGATGAAGACGAGGTGACCCTGCAAGACATTGCCAATTCTTCTTACGCCACCAAGAAGGGGTTCGCCAAGGTCCGCGCCTGCTGTGCTCAGGCTCTTCGGGACGGCTTCACATGGGTTTGGATCGATACGTGCTGCATCGATAAAACCTCGAGCGCCGATCTCTCTGAAGCCATCAACTCCATGTTCAGCTGGTATCAAAATGCGACCGTCTGCTACGTCTTCTTAAGCGACTTGCCAGCCCAAAAGCCCGGCCGGTTGGACTACTTGGCATTTAAGTCAACCAAGTGGTTTACAAGAGGTTGGACCCTCCAAGAGCTGTTGGCACCGAGGCGTATCGAATTTTACGACTGTGACTGGAATGAGGTTGGGACAAAATGCTCTCTCGAGTATCTCATACACACCAGCACCGGTATTCGACGCGACGTCCTGTCCCACAACACGCTCATCTCTTCTTTACCCGTAGCCGAGCGTATGTCGTGGGCTTCGAAAAGGAGAACCACGAGGCAGGAAGACATTGCGTATTGCCTCCTTGGCATTTTCGACATTCACATCCCGCTTTTGTACGGCGAAGGAGACCGCGCTTTTGCCCGTCTTCAACAGGAAATTATACGCACCTCGGAGGATTTGAGCATTCTCCTATGGACGCAGATTTCGCCTCTGGCAGACCGATCAGGAGGCGTTCTTGCACAGAGTCCTGATGTTTTTGAAAAGATTCGCCTCTACTATTCTGGTAATTCGCATGGCCATGGCCATGACCAAGACCTCGATCTAAATTGGAATCAAATCAAACGTCTCAAATACCTCCACAGTGCCTCCTCGTCCCGGTCCGAAACCGAGCTTCCTGCCCCCGGAAACCCAAGAGCGGGATCCAAGACGGTGCCACCCACCATCACAAGTCGAGGTCTGCACGTTCAGCTGCCAGAGGTCTACCTCTCACCCAACTCTACCCAGGCCCGCTACTTGTGGACTCGATACATCCTCACTATTTCAGATGCCGGATGCGCGAAGGACTGTTACTTGTGTATTGAAGTTAAGTGCGTCGACCCTGAAGACGGGCTATACGTTAGATCTAGCATAGGTCACATCCTCGCTCTGCCAATGACGACCGGAATTGACAGCGCGGATCCTGAGCCGCTGTACCTATCAATGGAAAGTCCTCTTGCTCTAGCGGGGGAAGCGCTCGACCAACACTACCCTGCCGGCCAAGCACCGATAAAGACTTTTACGATATTCCTGGAGGGAAAGCACCCTCTTGCTCTGCAAGTCCACAAGTCCGACCCAGTAGGCCAACACTTTTCCGCCGGCAGCCCTGCCTCCAATCGCTGGATTTATCAGGCTACGCAGCGCAATGCTACATATATCTTGCTCCGCATCACCGAGACTCTAGATTCCGTTATGAGGACGTTTGTACGCGACGTCGTGGTCGGAGTCCGTCTGGAGGCAGATGGCCGGACGATGACGTGCAGTCTGGGCACGGATCAGCCTCAGATGCTGGAGTTTGCCGACTATAGCGCGGGCATACAGGCTGAGTCCTGGCGCAGGATTAGAAACTCCTTCAACGGTACTTCGTGGTCTGATCGGTCTTTCCAGATCCTCTCGGGGCAGCGGTTCATACTCAGGGCCGCCGTCAAACCTGGCGAGGCCTACTGTGTCCTTGTTCTTCGAGTTGATCAGTGGGACGCGTTGCCATGATGCAGTACAATCTTTACGGGAGCGAATGCTGTATTCAGGAGCTGCGTAGTTATCAGCAGAGGCTATCGGAGCGATGAGAGCACGGTTGCCGAGACTGTTTCTCGCTCTTGAACGAAACCTCCAATATTGTATGCGTATCCTCCTATCCTTCGCTATGGCTCCTTTCGTGCAGCATTGCCAACTTTCCTCGTTCTATCCAGGATGAGCTAGTTCTCATGACCAGTGTCCCCTTCATTCGAGGCGAGCGAGATCGTTGTCGAGGCGACGTGCTTAGGAGCGGGCGTGGACGGGACTTGGCTCGACTGCGGGATGTCCTGGCCGCTCGGAGTCTCCAGGCCTCGCTCCATCTGTAGTATCTGACCAGAATGAGCCGCGGTATCGTTGGGACCTGCGATATTGGCAAGGTAAAGAATGGCGTCGGCGGGGGTGTTGAAGGGCTCAATGAAATCGGACGTGAACGGTTGGGGGGTCTGAGCAGAAGTGCGAGACGAGGCCTCTTCCTCGTCGTCGAGGAGAGGGCCGCGGAGTGTGATGTCCTGGGCGAAGCCTAGGAAGCCGTCCGACGTGAGGTCCTAGTTCACGCGCTGAGGCAGGTACGGCGGGGCAGATGAGAAGATGATCTCGGGGTTCTTGATTCTTGTTAGGAGCGTCTTTGCTTGCGGAAGAGGCGGGGGATGGGGGAGGGGAGGTACTTACCTTGGGATGATAGCTCGCCTGGGTACCCAGCATTGTGTTCACGTGAGGGGAGGAGGAGATTGAGCACGGCTGGCCAGAGCGATTCGTCGGCATTGGGAAAAGGTGTCCCTGCTACGAAGGTCAGTACTGGAAGGAAGGAAGTTTGTGGAGGAAAATGTTACCATTTGGAGGTCAAGGGCATTGCTGCTGGTCTGGTCAACCGGGCCAGTGACTTTCTGCGGCGTCATGGCCTGGGAATCCTGCAGCTTCGGGGGCTCATGCGGCACGAACTCGGGCTCCGAGACATCACGGGTGAGGTCCGCGATGGCCTCATTGGTGAAAAATCCCATCCAAGAATTATACTCGTCCTGAGGGGAAGGTCTATCTCGAGTGTCAGCTAGCTCTGCAGATGATATTCGTGAAAAAGGGGGGGGGGGGGGGGCGGGGGGGGGGGGTGTGTGATAAGGGTGGTGGAGTAAGAATTGAGGGGTGGTGGGGTGGATGTATGTAGAGATGTGAGTTGAATGAGAGGGTAGAGGGGGTGGGAACGGGGGGGGGTGTGTGGGTGGGAGGGCGCAATGGCACGAACTCCTCGATCTTTCTCTCTTCGTTCAAAAAGCTGTAGCCAATGTTGCTTTGTCCGGGTCGAAATCGGGAACCCGGATCCTGGCGGATAATGATATTCGCCATTGAAATGGCTTTCGAGGGCGCCGCGGATGGGGAAGGGCGGTTTGGGACCGTCGTGGAGGTGGGGATGGCGGCGGGACCTTTCAGGTTGTTGACTTTGGGGTGAACGGCATTCAAAGAACCCGTGTTGATGTTGTTAGTACCGCGTGCCTTCTCCTTCTGGATACGTTTTAATTGAGCAGCGGCGGCGGCGGCGGCGGCTTGAGCCAGTGAATGCTGAGAGAGAGGGTTGGGATAAAGTAGCATCGGTTGCTTCCTCAGGTTCTCCACGATGACGAGCGAGGCGGCGTCTGGCTGCTCTTGGCCGTTGTTTTCTGCTGGGTATTCCATCTTTTACTCGCGGGATATGCTCAGAAAGAGGTAACGGAGATGCCGAGGTGTTAAAGGCTTGCAGGTCCAAGGTTTGTGGCTATTTCAGCTGGCAAAGCCAAGATGATTCAGGGTTCAGAAACTAAGAGAATGGGAGTTGGGGATCCAAGGAAATAACGAAATGAAAAGCTGTGAAGCAACCGGGTGAAGAAATCGCCTGGAGACGGACGGGGAGGGTGACTGAAATGTGAAGCCCTCACCGGGTCCTCCCTCACCCGGAATGGCAAATCAGGAAGAGTCGATCATATCGATAGACCACCAATCGCTCATTAGTTCAATGAGAAGTATTTTTGCAAGCATGTTTTTTGATGTCCTTGTCTGGGACGGTCAGCTAAAGCCTCTAAATTGTTTCGCTTTTCTCTTGGAGCCTCAACTTCTATGGTGATAATCATTGCATACTCTTGACACAACAAGACTTCTGTGGCACGTACATAAGAGGAGTCTGAAGCAACGGAACGGTCACAATAATATTCGTGATTATTTCGTTATGAAACCCTCGGAAAACTGTTCAGTGCCCCTTTGCCACAAGGATCTGATGATGCTCAGTAGTCCTGTTTGTTGCAATTTTTCTCTCTCCTCCACTACTCTCTCGACCCGGTCAACTTTTGACCTAGAAAGCTCCAGTCTCTGAGCAACCACTAGGAAATCGGCTTGCCCACCGCCCTGAAGATGAACCTTGAAATTTGGATCTGCTCCTGACAACAACATTTCTACTATCATGTCTGTCACCTCATCCTCGTCAAGGGTGAACTTGTCGGCCTGGAGACTGTGGCCGTAGCCAACAGAAAGGAAAAGTTGCCAAGGCGTCTTTCCACCGTACAGATCCTTCCTTTGGTAAGGCGATTATGCAAGATTACATCTTCCCTTAGATAGGTCTTCGAGATGGTATAAGTTGAGCTCAATTGTAACGTTGGCTTTTCGTGCAAACTCTGATATTTCACATGCACCCCGGTGATCAAGACACAGCGTTTATTCCATCTTGGCTCATAACTGAGTGCCTTTCTACAAGCCGCTGCATTCAAACTTCAAAAGGTTCTTTTCGGCAATTACTTTCTGCATTTCCACCAGCTTCGGCATATCCCACATGCAGCTGATCCATCTCCCTCCCAGCCAGTCCCTCTTGACACTAGTGAGATAGGGGATAGAATGACCAGCGAGCTCCGGGGTATCTTGCATTCGAACTGTACAGAAGTCAGACAGAACCAGACACGTTTCGCCGGTGCAAAAACTCACACTGCAGCTTCTCTGGCAGATTGGAGGACAGCTCCGTCGGTATCCCACCTGGATGAATTGAGAACGCCAGGACGCCCTGTTGAAGAGACTTAGTTCTCGACCTCGCAATCCATGATTCATAGTGACCTCACCTGATCGCCGTACTCATCCTGAACGAATTCAGTGAAGCGTATCAACGCAAACTTGGAAACGTGATAGGCTCCCCCACCAGCACCCATGAAGTGTGCCGCCACCGACGACATATTGACAATCGTCTTGTCACCGCCCTTGAGCATCAATGGCAGGAATGCTTTCGTGACACGATACGTGCCCCAGTAGTTCACATCCCACGTCTTCATATACTCATCATCGTCCGCATCCAGCAGCAAGTTGAAAGGAGCCATGTAGCCAGCGTTGTTGATCAGAATATCCAGTCGCCCCCACTCAGCTGCTAGGCGCTCCGCGGCCGCCTTGACGCTCGGCGTGCTGCTCACGTCCATCTCGAGAGCCAAGACGGTCGGCTCATCGCGCCCGGCGGACTTTGCGGCCTCAATGACGGCGGTGACGGTGGAGGAGACGTCTGAGCGAGCGGCGACGGCGATGAGTGATGCACCTGCTTCGGCGTAGCCGAGCGCCAGTGCCTTTCCGAGCCCCTTGCTTGCTCCGGTGATGAGGACTGCTTTCCCGGTGCAGTTTGACGCCGTGACAGGGTTGATCTCGGGGTAGGTGTCATGGTGGATGACATCGCCCGTAAAGACATCAACTACGATCAGTCAGCCTCTGGTAAGTATTAGATATGGGATGAAGGATGGGTCAATACCCTTGCGTGGCGGACCGGCTGAAGGTTGTTGAGGTTCGGACGCCATGTGTGGAGAAATCTTCAGCTGAACAGTGTTCAATGGCACGATCTGAGTTTCTCAGGGTTTCAATCCAAGCAAAGGAAGTGTAGTCATAGAATTGGGTGTTGTTCACATTATTGTTGAGGTTTGATTTGGCACTCACCAGGGCGCTAGGATCGCATGTCGGACTTCCCCACGCCTCACGGAAGGATGCGCCGAAGCTAAGCAGCATTGGCCTATGAGGATTCAGAGGGGCGAAAATAAAGTGTAAGATTGGCCCTAAAAGCATGCTTATTTTCTACCGCAACCGGGATGACGAGTCTGGACTTAGCCGCGAATCCATCTTCCCACCCTTTAACGGATGGGTCTGATGAGTTGAACTTCGTCCACCTGCTATGAAACTGCTTATTTGCACCTTCACCAGCGTCAGAGAATCGCCGTTGGTGGGTATTTCTCGAGCATCGGGGCATGTTTGGCTTTGGTTTTGCTGCTCAATGCAAGCGTTCCTCTGAGAAATTAAGACACATTCAGTTATGGAAAGTCATGAATAAGCATAATATTGAATCGTAGACCATCGCTCTCATGTCTTGAGTGCATCATTTGGTTTTCACGTCATGTCTCTTGAAATATTTACACGAAAAAGAGTGGATGGCAATCACCATTTACTCCAAACCAACGCTGATGGCAGCCAGCGCCCAGTCCATGAAACCGGCGTTCGTGTCCAGGATGTTGGTGTTGAACTCAGCAGAGGTCGGGTAGAAGTTACCAGAGGGACCAAACTCCAGAGTGTAGCCATAGACCTTGTTGACACCAGGCTTGGCCCAGAAGCGGGAAAAGGAATAGTCGTCGCTGGCGCCGGACGTGGGATACAAGCCGACGGCCTGGATAGACGTGTAAGCACGGCCGCCGACAGCCTTCATGGCGTTGACCATGGCCGTACCGACGGTCCTGATGTTGGAGAGATCGGTGGCGGGAATGTACTCCTTATACGCCGAGTCGCCGACGGGGCCGCGCTTGCCGTCGTAGGCGGAGTTGAGAAAGTTCATTGTCGAGGTAGTGGTCTGGTCGTCGTCGTCGCCCCAGCTGTAGAGGAGGTCGCCGACGGCGGAGTGGATGTCCAGGAACCAGCGGATCTTGGGGAACGAGTCGTACACAGAAACGAGGTTCTTGGTCTCGGGCTCGGACTCGGCGGCGGTGCCGTAAAAGACCTCGGAGCTGGGCGAGGTGGAGGCGGGCGCCTCGGAGGAGTCAAAGTACTTTCTGAAGTTCCAGAGGAAGTCAAAGTTGCGGTTGATGTCGACACCGATGGAGCCACCGCTGGAGCCGGACTTGGTGTTTCGGTTCTTGCGCCAGAGGGAGCCCGACGACTGATCGTAGGCGACGCCGTCGGCGTTTACGAGGGGGAAGAAGACGATGCCGGCGGCGAGCACGCTCTTGACCTGGGCGTTGGTGTAGGTCTTTTTTCCGTAGGTCAGGCCGCTACCGGACTGATTCGCGGCAAGAAGGTCGGAGACCCAGTAGATGATGTTGTCGGGACCGCCGCGCTCACGGGCGTGGACGGCGGCGCTGAAGTACAGATGGTACTTTGACTTGTCGGTTCCGGCGCCGAGGAAGTAGGCGTACTGCGTGGCGCCGTTGAAGGTCTTGGAGGGCAGGGTCAGGGAGCCGATGCCATAGTTCTTGACGAGGGCGTCGCAGGCCGACTTGATCTCGGCGACGTTCAAGATGCTGGAGATGGTGGTGCCCGAAGCCCGGGTTCCAAGACCGACGGGCGAGATGGTTCCCGCGCTGAAGCGGTCGCCGGTTCCGATGGGGGCGTTGGCTCTCTTGTCCAAGTCTCTTCTGTGGATCGAGACCTCTGGCACCAGCTCGTACTCCTTGGAGAGATACTCGATCTGCTCCTCGGTAAGCCAGGCGTGGAGCTTGTAGTGGCTTCCATCCTCGCTGGGCTTGGCAACAGCCCTGCAACCAAAATCAAGAGTGTCATTGCGGACAATGTCTCTGTACTCGATTAGTATTCACTTTGAAAGAGTTACTCTATGAGGTCTCACCTGAAGTGCTCTGGCGTGGGTCCCTGCAGATACACGGGGAGCAGCTCTCCGAGCACAACAGTGCTCTGGAGGATCAGAGACGCTATGAGAGAGTACTTCATCGTGTTCGAAAATCAAGATGATGAGAAGCGGAAGGATGCGAAGGATGCGAAAGGAACGGCCCGTCGCCAAGTATGCAAGAGGAAATGGGGGACTTGGCCTGCTTTCATAGTAATTCCTACCATGTCCACAACAGTTTGCTTTGTCTCGGTCACAACAGCTCATTCAAGCAACTGGCTACTCAGAAACCAGTTCTCGCTCTTGAATCTTCCCCATGTCGCCAAGTCCACTAAACTAGCTATTATCGCGACCAATCATGGGCGGAAATCCCCCGGCCAAGGTAGAGGATCGCTCATGCAACCTGCCCCAACAGGCATAGCGCTCTTCTGATATTGGTAGGTGGTTGGAATCGTTTATATGAGAGCGCTCAGCGCCCCGTACATAAAGCGGTAAATGGCCTGAAATACTGCGTTCAAGGAACTTTGTGTAGCACGGAATTTGCAATGTCACCTTCCTCCACGGCGGCGAACAACGGCGAGAACCGATCGCGTAGACCTCCTCGACGTGTTCTCGTTCCCGATGTGGGGTGACGACTGCCGAAACTCGCAACAACTAGGCATAATTCCTTGAGCCTGGTTTCGATAAGTTGGTGGTCGCAGGGTTGGTAGCCAGCAAGGCTCTGTCAAGGTTGCTGGTATTTCTCGCTGGAACAAAAGATCTTTTCAGTCATCTTCTGGCGTTTGCTTATGCTGTGACGTGTGTTCGATGCAGGTAAGATTACTGACTAAGGAGCGCAAAATCGCGCCATAATCCCATCCTTCAGACTTTTTGTTTGCTTCAAATGTAAATGCCGCAAATCATGAGTTTCCATAAGCTGAGAGCTCTGGCTACTTGCATAAGGCCTACGCTCAACGAGTGTTGAATACACCACTGCGATCGTCTGCCATTAGCATTAAATCTTGGCATTTGTTGAATAACTTGAATCTCCAACAATGCTGTTGTCCTCGATACTCAAAGCCGCCATCTGCCTCATTTGGCCCGCATCGGAATTGGCAACATGTGGACAGAAACCAGCCAGCGCAATCCCGTCGCTCATCGATGCGACGCTCGACGACCTGAGCAACGGTCTCAGTAGTGGAATTTTCACCAGCGTTGACCTAGTCAACGCTTACATTGCGCGCATAAGAGAGACTACATCAACTCTAAACGCCGTCACCGAAATCAACCCCGATGCCGTCTCCGTCGCTGAGACTCTAGACCTCATCCGCCGACAAGGCGGACCGCTCCTCGGTCCGTTGCACGGCGTCCCCGTCCTGATCAAGGACAACATCGCAACTGCAGACAAGATGAACAACACGGCCGGCTCCTACGCCCTGCTCGGCGCTAGAGTCCCCGAGGACAGCACCGTCGCCGCCAAGCTCCGGAAAGCGGGGGCGATTCTGCTCGGCAAGGCAAATCTATCCCAGTGGGCCGAGTGCCGGAGCTCCAATTCGAGCAACGGATGGTCGACGTATGGCGGTCAGATCCTGGGCGCGTATTACCCCCTACAAGACCCGTCGGGATCATCGGGGGGCAGCGGCGTCGCCTCTTCGGTCGGTCTTGCGTGGGCGTCCCTCGGGACGGAGACAGCCGGCTCGATTCTGTTGCCCAGTGACGTCAATAATGTCGTGGGCATCAAGCCAACCCTCGGTCTCACCTCGCGGTACCTCGTAGTTCCAATTTCGGAGCACCAAGACGTTGTCGGACCCATTGCTCGGACGGTGAAAGATGCTGCTCATCTCCTGGGAGCCATCGCCGGGGTGGATCCCAACGATAACTACACGTCCGCGATCCCTTTCCAGAAGACGCCGGACTACGCCGCGGCGTGCGTAGAGAGCGGATTACTGGGTAAGAGGTTGGGAATCCCACGACATATTCTGCATGACTACAGAGGCTACCCTCCCTCCAACTACTCCGTGACAGTTTTCGACTCTGCCGTCGACATTCTCAGGTCTGCCGGTGCAGAGATTATCGATGACATTGTTCTACCGGGATACAACCTGACCGAGATCTACGCGCTCACCAGCAAGGGCCTTCACGCAGATTTTGCCGTTGACATAGAGAAATATTTCGGACAGTTGGAGTATAACCCGTACAACATCACCACGCTCCGTGAATTGCGGGACTGGACCCAGCAAGATCCCCGCGAGCAGTGGCCGGAGAAGAACACGGCTACATGGGACAACAACCTGGCAGAAGGTCTGCGTAACACGGACCCGGAGTTCTGGGATATTCACTCCCGGCTTCTATACCTGACTGGGCTCCAAGGCTACATAGGAGCTCTGAATAACCACTCCCTGGACGCCCTCGTCCTCCCGACGGCGTTTTCTGTCGAAGACGCTGCCGTATCGGGTACGCCGGTGATATCGGTGCCGTTCGGAAGACATCCAGACGACACTGAGATTGTCAAAGACAAGACTGGGACGCTCAACACTGTGGCACCCAACTTGCCTTTTGGCATTGGCTTTGCGGGGGCTCCGTTTAGTGAGGAAACGCTGATTAGCATCGCGTACGCCTTTGAGCAAAAGGTTCACGCTCGGAAGGTCATTAAGCCCTATTTAAAGCCCGAGACCGACTTGGAGGATATTGTGAAACATAGAACTGAGGTGGAAGCCAGGCTGGATCTATGATTTAAAAGTTGCTCTTGAGTTTGACTCTGAGTCAATAGTTTGTGCCACATCTCCTATCCAGGTAGCATTCGCAGATCTACTCCTATGACAGCATCTTCACTCGCCATTGCGCTTTCTCGCAGTCAAGCCACAATCACATCATCGATGAACTGTCCGGGCTTTTCCAGAACCCTGCGCACTGATTTACGGCGGCGGATGCTCAACCGGTCCTGAATGAAGGCCTTCTGGGTCGGATTCCGATCAAATCTCGGTAGGTCCCCGCATTCCGAGAAAGCCTCAAGACCTTGTCCGCAGCGCAGCCAATCTATGATCCAGATATCTTTTCCATGAACTTACATCTGACGTTTGAACTAAGGCTTCCTTGATTCAGCTTTTTGTGAAATGTACTCCCTTGTTTTGCTAGAGATTAACTATCTCAGTTAGAGAGTTTATGGAGCATCTTTTATCACCTTGAAGCCGCCAGGAGAAAGGGCATGGGAGACACTTGTCTGATCATACCTTTGAGCGACTGTACTCAAGCGATTTTTTTTGGCCTGACCGTAATCAGAAAACGAATTCTGGAACTGGCTGGCGTAATTTGTGTACTTTTAGCCCGAGGCTAGACCCATCTGATCTGCCGCCTTGTCCATCCGCTCTTAGTCTTCCATGCGTCGTTGAGCTCTATAAATGGCATCATCATCCCTATTATTCTTCCACCTCGCCCAAAGGTTGAAGAAACCGAGAGATCATGACTGCTCTGCGAGTCCGTGAAGGTTCCCACCGTTGCGTGGCATGAGCTCGAGCTTGACTTGGTGATGGCTTGGATCTGAAATTGCTGGATGAGATGAAGGCCAACATTATTGATTGCAAAACAACAGGCCGTGCTCTGAATATCTTTGAGGGCGATTAATACCTCAGTGACACTGAGATTGCGGAGGAAGCAGGATGGAGATACATCTTCTTGGACGGTCGACCAAATGCCTTTTCGTGCCGTCACATAGTCCGTCTCCTTTGCTCTGCGGGATGCTGTTGGCGTTGCTTCACCAAGACTGCCTAATCAGTTGACAAGCTGTCAGGAAGTGTGCAACACTTTGACTACTCGTGACCTTTTTAAGACAAACGCCGACCTCGGACTTTAGTAGAGCAAATACATCGTAGTATGCAATAGGAATACGGAGTTATCTTCGGGTTTTCTGGGACGGGACGTGGTCCATCAAGTCTTTTAAGGCTAGCCAAGTTAATTTCTTTTAGTCCTAAATCCAAGCCAAGCACTTGGGCTGGGCTCATGTTCGGCCTCAGGAATATATCAAAAGGTCCCATTGGGCAGAGTATTGAGAATAGGATCTGACAATCAAAAAAACCTAGCTCTAAGAACAGATTTTAACGATCAACTGCTTCACTGAGGTGTAGCGACTTCATTTTGTTGGTTACATATCGGGTGAACTCATGTTTGGCTGTCGAGGGGGCTTCCCGCACAGTTAACAGATTCGGTAGTCTGTCTTGACCCTTCGAAACTGGTAACTTACCTGACGCAGTGATGCCTCATTGAAACGTTGAAAAGGCCATGAGCCTATTTTTGGTGTCTTACAATACAGCTGTATAAGCTCCCGCAAGCTTCCTTAAAGAGCATTTCTGCCGAGCACAGCATCTTGTTGTCTGAGCAGCTCGCGAGTGTGCAATGCTGCTAGGATAAAACAGTGCAGTGCCTATCCACCGATGGATAGAACAACATGTATTCCGTTGCAGCGCAGAAAGAAATGATGCATTTTATCAGACGAGTACTGAACATCAAGTGCAAAATCTCAAAGACTTAATGTTCAAGACAAAGCACTCAAGCTGTTCGCTGTCAGAAGGCAGGGACAGGCAGCAAAGGGGGCTCTCCGTGGTGGCCCCGCCATGGGAATTAGAACGAACTAGTCTGCACGAGCTCGGGCACTGCCCCGTGTGGCCTTGATACCTACATCTGATAAACTTCAGCGGCCTACTCTCATTAGCAACCACCTCTAGAGGATAGAAGTGGCACTAAGAATGCAGTCTGGCAGCCTGTGCATAAATACATCCGATTTGGCAGGCTCCGCGGCTGTGCCCATCATCATTTTCCTCGTAAGAGCAGATGGACCTGATGGGCCAGTTACAATGCCGGGATGAATAACTATAGGCTAACGTAACCACTGCCATTACTTCTATTAAATTGAAACCCCTGCGGCTGTAAAGATAGGTATCACCAGTGTATTGTGCATGGGGCTATCAGGTATGAAGAAAAGAGACTTGGGGTTGAGATCGTAACTTCAAGATAGATTCATCCATCACAAACGGGGGACCTCCGCCTGATCATCATCGCTTGGGAACAGTATGGCATATAGAAATTTGACCAGCACAGACAACTTCGCATCATGAGTCTTCCACCCGCACTACCATAAAATCGTGAAGTCATGCAGACATAAGCGCCATGACAACAAACTTAGCGCCGCGACCGTTTGGAGTATTCAAGTCACACTTTGGCAATTATCCTCAATGAGACTGTTATGACAATCTACGAGCTTTTTCGCATGTCAATTTCACGGAATCCCATCGACCTTCCTCTGCATGCAATCTGTAACTGGTCATTATTTTTGAGCTGGGTTATCACATGTTGTACATGGTGCAGCTATGGCCGAGACATCACTGATGAATGCCATACCCGGGATATCCTTCATACGACTCTTCAATCACGTGGGATTCAAAGCGTCCTTATAGTGTTCCTTGTTCCTTTTCTCCAACCGTCGAAAGCTCCTCCGATGATGACAAGCGCGTCGGTGAGCGGTCATCGCTTACGAAGAGGAACACTGCGATATCTCAGGAAGGTCGTTGGGAATTATGGAGCTGTGCGAGTCTTCAAATTTACTGAGTTATCGCCAAGATCAAACATGATTTGATTTATTGAAACCAAATACTTCGAACTTGGATATGGCCTCATGTAAAATTTGCATGAGTCGTGCTGCGGCGTGGAGCGAACGGAGAAGTTGTGCTGTTGTGGAATTTCCGTCTCAGCGCTGTATGCACCTTGCTCCTTTGGTCCTTGAGACAGAGTGTTTGCGGCTTTGGAACTCTCGTGTCTGCCAAGAGAACTCGCAGCCCCAATTCGCGGCGCCCGCTGACCGGGAGAGGGTAAAGCTTGCGTAACATCACGGCTGTCTCGTGATCGGGAAGCTTTACGGAGTACGGATACAATTGAACCCCGATTCCAGTAAAAGCAACTCAAGCCGGAGCCAGGGCCAGAAACCAATTCACCAATCAGAGAGCTCCGTCTCTGCGCTTTTTCAGCCCAAGTTCCGATCCGAACTTTCCGGGACAACGAGCGATACCGATCACGACCACGAGGGCAGATAAAGTGATTATTGGAAACCTTTCTGTACTTCTTGGTGAAGACGGGGTTGCGTTTATCGTTGAAGCACCAGGCCTGGCAAAGGACCCCGGCACGTTGAACTCTAATTGGGCGCCTCCCAGGAACCGCCTGGTTGGAGTAAGTTTGTTTCGAGGCACACCGGCTATAGATCGACACTACCGAAAAACCAACTCACATCAAACTTTCCGCTCGGCCTCTGCCAGAATAGCATTTCACCGTTGGCATTCATCCCGTTCTTGAGAGGGAGAATCTCCCAACATCAAGGTTCACAGGCTCGGCTACAGCACCAGTCGCACTACAGCCGGACCATTGACGGAACAGGTTGAGCCGGGAGGGTCGACAAGAAACGAACTGACCCAAACTTTTTACTCCCATCTTGTCTGTCGATCTGGAGGGTCCCGTGGCTGGAGACGTTGTAAGCATTGGTTCGTAGATCGGTCACTGTATGCCTGTCAAATCCCAGCACACCGGCTGAACCTCATCTGCCACGACCCGACTTGAGGTTTCTAGTGGAAGAACGCCATCTGTTCTGGCTAACTCAGAAACTGACGCCTCTTATACTGCAAGGGTCCGATCGTGAACAAACTTCATCGACCATCCGGGCATGCCGTAGATAGAAGCACTACGTAAAGGTACCTCCACATCTCAACGCTTGTCTCTTGCTTGAAGCTCATGAAATGAATGAAACCTTTTCCAGTCCACGATGCAGGAGCCCCCCCGGCTGGTACGATGGATCTTCAACGATGTTACGGCGGCAGCATCCGCAGGTTGAAGTAATGGTGCCGTTCACTTCAAACGCGAAGAAAACTCCAAAGGAGTCTTGTTGCGTTCTTGCGACAAAAGATTCTAATTTTTCAAGCTTACTTCTTCCTCCCGCCTACTAGGGCCGGAGGCGACGGAGTATTGGGTACTCGACAGCCTCATCTGACAAGTATGCTCACCCCACGCGCGTCGCAGGTTGTGGCCAATCACCAGTAGCGCGGCTTGGCAAGAAGCGACTGTCTACGACGCGGAGGGTAAAGCTTCCGTTTTGGCGGCATGGTTAAGCTTTGCCCATCCCGCCGTCTCGCATGCGAAACCGATCAAGGTGCTCTCGATTCCGTCTAACGGATCTGAACACTGGTGATCTCGAGTCGGTCACTTGGGGGATTGATGCAAATGTCTTTGAACGACGTGATATCAGTTGGCGGGCTTTATTCGCGTAGACCTTGCCAAGTAAAGCATGGCCAATTGGTACATGTATAAATAAGTCGCTACTTTTCTACCTGCCAATTTGGGGAGTATTAATGGACTCATATCATCTATCTACTGCCAAACTTACAAACCTTTCAATTATCCCACCAAATCCTATTCATCCCCGCCACTAGTATGATGTCTCTCAAACTTCAGTCAGTCCATTGCTAACAGTGGACCAGTGAACTTCAACCTACTGTTCTGGTTCTTCCTCTTCGGGGCTGTCAGCGTCTACGCAGGCACCTGTACTATCCAGCCGCAGTCCAACCTCGATAGTCGTATCAACTCGGCCTTCGTCAAAAGAGCAAAGGATCAATGTCAAAGTGCCGGTGGAAGCCCTAAGCAAGGCAACTCTGCCTCAGTATCGTGCACTTTCCGAGGCGACGCGCCCAACTCGTTCCAGAGGACTTCAAATTTTCGAGTGAACGCGAACGGGCGCAACGTTGATGTGCGAGCTAAGGTGAATTGCAGCAAGCGTTGAATCGAGTAGAATGAGGCTGTCCATCCACTTTGTATCGCAGCGTCAACTAAAGAGGGAGGAGTTCGCGACTGGTGCGCTGGAACTGGGAGCTTTGAATCATCATGCATTTGGCGATGGGGTTTTAGCCGACGAGGGTTATTGAAGAGAGTTGTCGTTCCTTCCTAGTCCTGGTACACTATGTATCTTTACGCTTTGCTTTGCGTTGTTAGAATGGTTACCTACCTTAAGTATCACGCAATACATTGTCTAAGCCGCTTCGCCTGGTCAAGATCTTGATTTTTCTTTAGCTGTTGTTTTGTTGACGTGTCAATGAATACTATCATCTTAGATCCTAGTAAGGGTCGTCATCAAGAGCCTTCAGTCTTACCCGGTATCCCCGCGAGGATTCTGGGCAGTTTCTTATCTGACCCTTGATCTAATCATCTCTAATCACACAGAGTGCGTCGAATTTGCCAACTCTATGACAGCCACATATCGAAAGAATTTTCTGAGAACAAGATGGTATTCCGGTGTTTTCCTTTTCCCACAGCCTGTACACCTGAAATCATCGAAGATGGTGGAACCATTTCATTACTTAATTAATGAAACATTGTATCATAGTTATGGGGTCAGAAGCTTGATAACGTTGTTACTTTGCAATTATGTGCAGTCATGTGCCTTTCTCAGCTTTACTAGCATTGCAGTTGCCGTTTCCACGATCCTACCGCAAAGTTCCCAAAGTATCGGGAGGTATCGTTCCGGTTTTCCACAGCCATATTAACGATTGACCTCATGGGATCTCAAAATTGGCCAAGGAAACTAAGTACCATTCGATTCAAAAAAAACTTCGATGATGCAAAATCAAAATCCAATCTCGATCTGCTCCTCAATCTCCGTCGTCCGACCAACGGAAATGACCCCCTTTCTCTCGGTGAGATTAAATACAACATTGAACAAGGTACCGGAGTCGTTCTTCCCAAATTGCTTCCGATTGATGGACGCTGGAAAGTTTTGTTCGTCCTTGAACAGCTCCAGCAGGGTTCCGAAGCCGGCGTTCTCGCCAACATCCGGGGTTGCGAGCTCCTGCATACGGGCGGTTCGTTTCGGCGAATCTTCAAGCCAGAGTGGCTCAAAAACACCTTCATGCTCCAGAATTAGGTTGTTGGCATGGACAACACGGCCATGCTCATCGGCTGGTAGCTCCTTGAATCCAACGCTAGTGCACTCGAGACCAGTTGGGCCAGAATTATCGCCGAGGAGGATGTGGCTGCTTCCAGCTAACCCCACGCTTTTGATCTTATTCAAGGCTTCTGTCTTTGACCTGGACTCCAGAATAGTCCGTAGAGCGAAGTGAGTCGGCATGCGTTCCGAGTCGACGCCCTTGGCACGGATGCCGTTGAGAAGGCAGCCGACACCGTGCTCGTTGAATCCAATCTTCCCAATGATACCTGCCTCGGTGATCATTTGGAAAGCAGGAAGATCCATGCCGGAACCTTTTGGCTTGGCGCGAACAATGATCAGATTTGGCTTCTGCTCGGTCTTCCAGTCCCAGTTCTGTGAGAGAAAAGTTGATCCTGTAGAAGTCTTCCAGCCTAGCGCAGTGCACCCGTCCACTGCCACATCGACTGCAGCACTTGTCGTCTGCCGTTTGAAACCCCCTTCAAAGAGACCGAAGGCGATCTCACTTCGTATGTTCAAAGCAACGACATCAAGAACGTCTACCTCGGCACCCTCCGCGATTCCCTCCATCTCTGCAAAGTAGGAGGGAAACTTGGCTTTGAGGTGTGGCACAAACTCTAGGGTTTTCTCCCGTACAGCGGACCACTCCAAGTTACTGAAAGCTTTGAAAAAGATGCGGTAGAAGTCTATAGATCCGGCAACTTGCTTGGCAGCTTGTTGACCTACTGCCAGGCCGATCTGTGTTTGCATCGCATCGAGGTGAGCTACTCAGGCATTCATGAAGCAGTCGAGTGTAAACGCACCTCGTGATGTGTTCCGATAACAGTGATATCAAGCATCTTCGCCGAAACTAGTACTTCTTTGCTTGTTGTTGAGGAGATTACTTTAGCATGCAATGTCAATCGATGGACGCCTCTATTTTGGTCGCCTTTCTTCGTGATGCGGGGTCTCCTTGGCTACCTCATGCGTTCTTCGGAGTGGCGACTAACGGCGGGTCAACCCGATCTCTTGCATGCGGTGCTACTTACATGCACACATAAGCTGGCTTGCACACTCATCTGAAAATAGCGAGTCTCCAATACCTCTCGGCCAATCACATCCTGCAGGTTATCAAAGACAACGCGGAATAGGGAAAACATCAATTAAGTATTTGGGTGTGAGAGAAGGTTGCAGCCCAGGTAGAATGCAACACAGTGACACGGACGCGCCTTGTAAAACACCTTTTATTCTAGAATTGCAGAGCGGGATTTGATCTAGCGTGCCCTCTCAGCTTCCAGACGTGAATTCTTCTGACTCATCAATCAGTACAGAGCGTTGGCTATTGAAGCAGGTCACAATAATGCCAGACTGTGTTTATCACCGGCAGGGTTGCTCGAGGTCCGCTAAACGTCATAAATCAAGCCTGAACGGACAATCAATTCGATTAGTGTGTTGCGTCATTCAATTGGACAAGTTCAGATGAATTTTGAGTGCCATCAGTCAAAATTTCTCTCGGAACAGCGTGAATCCTGGGCGATGCGAGACTGGCGAGCTGCGAATGCGACCATCATAGAGCGGCCATTGAGAAGATATGGTGCCTACCCGCTTGAGACCGTGAGAACGGCTCTCTGTTTCACGTGTAGAACTTTCTATCAGCGACCAGTTCCCGCTCATTGGTAGGAATGCTTTCGTTCTCTTGTTCAAATAATGTTGTAGTTTTCTTGGATCGAAAAGTGTAGCGCCGAATGGTCAACTTTCGGTTAAGATTACAAAAGCTCAATATTGCGCATTTGTTCAGTTTTTGCCCTGTAGCATCGTAAGTGACAGTGGATTAGAAGGTTTTAATGTCTTCAACTGAAATAAGAATCACCATATAGAGAAATGACCCGATGGGAAGTAGTCATGATGTCCTTCTTGCATGGACTATCGTGAAGGTTTCGTTTTTTCCATGCTCCCTTGATAACAAATGCACATCAATAAAACTATGATGAGATACATTCAAATCATTGGAGAGACTTTTCTGCAATGAGCGTATGTGTATGGCCGACGCGAGCTACGACGAACCCTCGGGTGTAATGATCGGACTCATGCGTTGTCCCGCGTATTCTTAACCACCCGACTCGGGTCCGACTGCCCCATATTCGAGCATCCGAACCCGTACATCTCCAACTCTATCCAAGCATCCACAACCTGAGATAGACCATGAAGGAATGTGCAAACACGGAGCTGGCAAGGTTTAGATCCATCCAAAAGGTTTAGAGTTCGAAATTCATTTCTTAAATTTACACATTTCTTTACACCATAGACGGCTTCGTTTCTTCCCCAGAATACATATACCGGCCCATCTCTTCGCTCTCTCGAACTTCTAGACAATCTTCTCTCACGCATGTCTTCTGCATTCCCCTTCAGATGTATCACCAAATATTCTTTTGACTTTTCATATTCCTTCTCATCAGATTCATTAGGCGCCAATTAGCCTGCAATCTTGGCTACTGATGGCTACTTCTTGGCAGTGCCTGGCGTCAAGCCTTCCAAAGACGGTGCTTACCTTTGGCCTTACTTCTCGAGCAAACCTGCGGCGATCTTGTTTGTAAATCTACTCCTGGGTTCTTTTATCTATATTGGCTGGAAGATTTGGAAGACTCGTCCTCGTTTCTGCATCGTATTTGCATTAGGATGTCTCTGGAGGTTGCGCATGGAATCTCCAGTCTCCAGTCTCTACTAATACCCAGGAAGTCGAGGTCATCGGACACAGAGCACGAGCCAGCGCTCACGATAAAACCGATCGAATCTTGACGTTTGCCCCCCCGAACATGTTCGTCATTGTCGCCCCTGTCCTCTTTGCCATATCAACCTATGTGGCCCTCTATCGATTTATCACGAGCATCCACGCCGAGAAATTCTCAATAATCCAGCCGTCGAGTTTGACGAAGACATTGATCCTTGGCGACCTTTTCGTTCTTCGTTCACGGTGGCGCTTTTGGCTTGATGGTCGTTCAGAAGCCTGTTTCGCCACTTTTGGGGAGGGGTTATCATTATCGGACTTATAATCCAGATCTTCATGTTCGGTCTGTGTTACACCATCGTCGTCATTCTCCATTGCAGGATGAGACGAGCACACACTCCCGACTCTCTAGACAGACTGATTCCGTGGTAAAAGAGCCTATACATGCTTTAATCCGTTAGCCTCTTCATTGAGATTCCCTTAATCTCCAGAGTTGTTGAGTTCGCCGAGGGGTTTACCGTTTACTCTCTCTCTTATGAACGGACACTTTATATCTTTGACTCACTGCTAATGTCACATTTCATGATGCTTTTTCTTTGAAGTCTTTAACATGAACCGCATATTTGTTTCCGGAGAGGATTTGTACCACTACGAGATCGACAACTCGGTACGCCATATAGGTAGTGGAAGAGATTTGCTCCTCTAAAACCGACGATCCTTTCCACCCAGGATTGCACCCAGAAGTCCTTGAACTTGTTCATGAGCTCTGGTGGCGTTGGGTTTACGAACTTAATCGTCGCGATTTAGAATAGCATACTTTGAAAAGTTGCTTGGACTCTGAGCATGATTGCTATCGGACTCGTAGACTCGGAAATTCTTGACCCATGGTTCGGCCGGAAAAAATTAGTATGGCGAATTGCTAGTAGTGACCGAGCCGCTGTAAACCCAAGAGCTTGGAGTGATATGAGGTCGGATGAAAATTCAAGTCCAGGATGAGGGATCAGAGACGGGGAGAAGGAGGACTTGGAAAAGGGAGGCAGTATAAATCGCTGCCTAGAAAAGGAGCTAATACTTGGACTTTTGCTTTGTTAGGGTTGTTCAAGTGCTTCAAGTAAGCTCCAAGGCGGTACGGGGTGAAGAAGAAATTAGACATTGCCCAAAGTGACCATAGCCCGCTGTGTCTTACCTCTGGACATGATGTTATCAATACTCTCTACGAAAGCATAATTCTTTCAGCTACCAGCCAACTCTTTTTGACACTTGCAGCACGAACTGTACCCGTTGTCTCACATCAAATTTCCTTTTCAAACAGTCCTATTCCAACGAAGAAGGATCAAAGTCCTCCTTCATGTCGGGCACCCAGCCTTTGGGCCGTTCTGTTCCCCGGATGGCCAGACCGTAGCCCAGCTTCTCCACCTTTCGCACCGACTGTCGCATAACCTCCATCTTGCCCCTAAAGTCCCTTGTCGGGATCTCTGGGAGGATCTCGAAGCAACTGCTCAGCTCATGGATATCCATCAAAATGTTGCGGCCCTCGACGCCGGCGAGCTGGCCAGTCTGAGCAGTGGTCACCGTGGCGAAACGCATCATCTCGCCAAAGAGGTCAAAGAGACCAAACATGTAGTCGTTCTCGGTAATTGAAACATTGGCTGGGACTGCCGCTGCCGTCTCCTCCTGGCTGATAAGGGTCTGGTTCCGGAGGTAGTGGGAAAAGGACAGGGCCTCGACAAGCTCCTCCAGGCAGCGGAGGGAGTGGGCATAGCGGTAGCGGTTGACGCCTTCTATGTCGTTCTCGATCGCAGTCAGGTGATTCTTAATTTCCCCCATGCGCGTTTCGATCTCTTTGTTGGCGAAGTTGGGAAGGTCACCCAGCTTGTTGACTCTGCCAGGTATTAGTAGATGACACAGGATAGTTTTGTAGTCAGTGGAAGTCACCTCTGGCAGGTGAAGATGCTACGCCCATGTTAGCCAAGTCCAAGTTTAAATTAGAAATTCCAATCTCACATCTTCTTGCTCAATGCAGTGACATCTCGCGATGCCTTCACAATGCGCTCCCTCCGATCGTGGTGCTGATCCAGCTCATCACGAAACTTCATGAACATGGGTGTGAACTGGGATACGGGCGCAGCCGGCTTGTGCTTGGGCTCATGAGTCCGCGTGTTGCCATCTCGGTCGCGCTTAGACATCCTGGACTACTACAACAGGTGAAAGGTTTTGGTGAGATGCGAGGTCGGCAATAAGTGAGGCCCTTGATGAAGTCAGCGAGTGATGTTGGTGTGAGGTCGTGCCCGGTCAGAATTGAATTTAGTGGGGTCGGCAGATGAAGCACCCGGGGTGTGGGCCCAGCACACCCATCAGGTCTCCGGTGTCCAGGGGCTGGCCAGTTTTGCCCACGTCACTCAAATTTCCCATCAGGGCAATATGGGGATTTGACGATTCAATCCCCGAAACTCACATTCACATTCGGTCCAGAACAGTTTGTCAACCAGGGCATATCCAATGGCATTCCGCATAAGTTCGCTTGAATAGGACCATTTGATTTGATAGCCAAAAAAACTGCAGCGAGTCTCATCTTTCCGATTCATACTCCGGCATGGCCGGTCTTGACGCGTTCTTCCGGCCCGTGCCGCTTTTCAGCGCCGCCGCGCTCCTCCGCGTGGCGATGCTGTACTACGGCCAGTGGCAGGATGCCAACTCCGCCGTCAAGTACACTGACATTGACTATCTGGTCTTCACCGATGCCGCCCGCTTCACTGCTCAAGGGCGCTCGCCCTACGACCGCGAAACCTACCGGTACACGCCACTTCTAGCGTGGATCCTCGTGCCTACGGCGTGGCAGGGATGGTTCGCATTCGGCAAGGTTATTTTTGCAGTCGCCGACTTGTTGGCTGGGTTCTTGATTGTACGCATCCTCGAGAGACGCGGCGTGGCGGTGGGAAGAGCGTTGAAGTTCGCCAGTATCTGGCTGCTGAACCCAATGGTCGCAACGATCAGCACCCGTGGAAGCTCCGAGGGACTCCTGGGCGTATTGGTCATGGCGCTGCTCTGGGCCGTGCTGGGGAGACGAACCACGCTGGCTGGGCTGCTTCTTGGCTTCGGGGTTCACTTCAAGATATATCCTTTCATCTATGCGCCGGCCATTGTGTGGTGGATGGATGAGGAGATGCTCGGCCGAAAGGGGGCAGGTTCCGTTCAGGGTCAAACAATCGGTGAAGCCATGGTCAAGTTCGTCAACGCCGAGAGAGTCAAGCTGGCGGTCATCAGTCTTGCGACCTTCATGGGTCTCAACATTGCCATGTTTTCCATGTAGGAAACCCGGCTACATGCCATCTCGGATCGTGCTAATCGTCTCATAGCTATGGCACGCCATTCTTGGTGCAGACTTACTTCCACCACGTCACCAGAATCGATCACAGGCACAACTTCAGTCCTTACAACGTCTTGTTGTATCTGACGTCCGCTTTCCCATCCACAGCTACTATTCGAATCGAATCCGTCGCATTTCTCCCCCAGATCCTGCTATCGACGATGCTCATTCCGTTCGGTCTAGCCAAGAAGGACCTTGCTACCTCAATGATGGCGCAGACGTTTGCTTTTGTGACCTTTAACAAGGTCTGTACTAGTCAGGTAAGAACAAAGCGTTGCTCAATCGGTCCCCAAGTCATCGTTGACATTGTAGTAGTACTTCTTGTGGTACATGGTCTTCCTGCCCATATACCTGCCCGGCTCAACGTTCTTGAAGAGTCCGAAGCTCGGGGCTACTGCCTTGGCGCTGTGGATTACGTCTCAGGCTGCTTGGCTTCAACAGGGCTTCAATCTGGAGTTCTTGGGCATCAGTACCTTCTTTCCAGGCTTGTTCGCGTCGTCCATAGGATTCTTCCTCGTGAACTGTTGGATTCTTGGTATCATGGTCAGTGACGGCGCATCAGCAACCGCTCAGGCCGACGTCAAAGTCAAGCGGTGACATTCTCAAGAGTATGTAGATGTCATGTAGAGAAGAGAATTGAATGACTCCAAGGATTGCATCTCGTTTGAACCGGACGTGTTACCTAGAAGGCCTGGGTTAACTTGTTTAAACTATCGTGGCCCGCAACTCATGGACCAGTGCTCATCTAAATATGTTGCGAGACTCTTCATTTGAAACTGCCGCACACAAAGACTTTGGAAATGAAGTTGCGAACTCCGAAAGTGAGGCTCGACTGGGGACGATGCTGCCTGGAAGTGGACACGTGACCCGGCGTCACTTTCCCGCCACAGAACGCGCGTGGGCACACGACCCACGCCGATTCTCTCCAGTGCACCAATTCAATCCCGTCGCATTGCCCACCATTCTAGGCCACACAGCCAGCACTCAAGCTGCGCGCGCAACCGCTGCGCCCTTCTCCGCGGATTCAAGACCACCAAGTCGCAATGTGGCTCTTGGAGACTGACGGCAGTGTCTTTGGAGGTGCATCTCAATTTACCCCACTACTTGTGAAAGAAGCAGCTGACGCGATTGATGTTCAGGGCGACGACTTTGGCTACGGCCGGGCAAACGATATCTCTTCGGCCGGACGGATTCAGAACGTACGCATGGCCACTATGCGACCGCCTTTAATCGATGTCACTGACGGTCTGCAGCCGGACAACTCGCCATCTCCCATAAGACCATTTCGCGCAAACATCTGACCATCGACGTGGACAATGTGCCCGACGGCGACAGCGTACGTGGGTGCATGGTACGGTTGGCCAGCGTGATAGCTGACTGCCTCTTTAGCAACATCTCTCGCGCCGTTCGACAATAGTAATCGAAGATTTGGGCACCAAGACCGGAACGACTGTAGACGGACATAAATACAAGGGCGAGAAGCATGTGGTGGCCGCTGCTTCGGCAGAGATTAAGATGGGTGGCTGTCCTGACATGTTTCGGTACGAATATTGTCGTTGCAAGATGCCGAAACCCTGCTGATAGCCTCCTAGCCTGACCTGGCAACCTGTGGTCCTCACTTTCAGCTTCTCGAGCCGAGAAATGCAGTCCGACCCCTTTTCACGATTGCGTGTCGACCTAGAGCAGCTTGATGTCAAGCTGTTGGCGGATTATAACACTCAGCACACGACACACGTAGTCACGAAGAAGCGCAACACTTCCAAAGGACTTCAGGCCCTGATTAACGGAAGGTACATCGTGGCCGACTCCTTCGTCGATGCCATTGTCGCAGCAGCGACACCCCCCGAAGACGACGACATCACTGCGTCCTCTGTTTTAGAAACAGATTTTGACGGAAACTGGCCAGATCCGCTTAAGCATCTGCCTCCACGCGGCGGCGAGCCAGTTGAACGGCCCCCAGCTGCGTATGCGCCGGACGAGGTCCGTTTGGAAATTTTCGAGGGGTACACCTTCATTTTCTACGACAGGGGACAGTTTGACAATCTTTTGGCACCGATCACCAATGGCAAGGGCAAGGCCCTATACACCAAGGTCGATCCAAAGTCAACAACGGTCGACGACTTTGTTCTCTATGTCAAAACGGAAGCTGGCGAGAAAGGTCTTGGCTCATTTGAGGTTGGCAGCGAAGGACGAGGTGTTGTAGTCGTCCGCTTCGTACCGAATAAGGGCGACGCTATGGACTGGTATGCTGACTTCTTCACTCAAGTGTCCCTTCGGCTTGATCACAGACCCATCGAACAGAATGAGTTCCTTGAGGCCATTCTCATCAAAGATGCCAGCATATTGCGCCGGCCTTTGGAGATGGAGCCAACTCAGGGTCCGGCAAGCACAGCACCACAACAGGACCTGGCAGGGGTTGAGCCCACTTCGATGGATGTAGATCAGTCGACGACCTCACAGAATACGCCTCAAGAGTCTTCATCCGCGCCTAAGCCTGCTGCTGTCAGAAGTCGGGTACGGAGGGCACCGACAAGACGTTTTGCTGGATTTGATGATGATGATGACGAGGAGGTTGCCTTCACTCCTCCGGTGACTGAAAGCAAATCTGTTGACGCTGAAGCTGAGGAAGAGGGATTATTTGTTTCGCAAGACGCGCATGCGTCAAATGAGGTAGCCGAATCCTTGCCCGATACGAATAGGCGGTCCCAAAGGAAACGCCCTGCGGCACAGGATGATGACATTGAGGATATTATCCCAACAGCTGCTGCAGTCAAACGGCGGAGGATTGCGGCCGGAGAAGAGCCCATTCCACGTAACCAATCACCCGAGCCTCCGAAAGCAGTCGCAAGTAAGGTCAAGAAGGTGAAGAAAGAGATTGACGTCCTCGATGTTGCCCGTCGGCAGAGAGAGGAGATGGAGGCTCGTGCCAAGGCAGAAAAGGAAGATTTGGCCAATCTGCCCGACGACGTTGATCTGGAGGAGATTCGTCGGCTGCACATCGTCGAGGAGATGCCGCTACGACAATCATCAGCCAACAGAGGTCAGGATAAAGATGCCGAGAACGACAGGTGGGATCCGCGCTGGAACGGGAGGAAAAATTTCAAGCGCTTCAAGCCGCGGGGGGAGCTCACGGGACGGCCTCCACAGAAAGTAATCGTCTCTTTGACGCAAGTCAAGACCAAGGAATTTGGTATTGGGGACGATTACTGGCTGGAGGACGACAGCCAGCGCAAGAAAAAGGGCAACGAGAGTCAGAAGAGCGGCATGCTCCAGGATGAGCCTGCTACTCCGCCGCCGCCGTCTGCGTCTCGACCTGCGTCACGGCCACAGCGCATCGTCTTGAGCGACGACAGCGAGGATGACGAAGCCATGCCCGACACCCAGGCCGAGCCCGAACCCGAACCTGAACCGACACCGGCGTTGCGGTCGAGGAGTACCCGCGCGACGACGGCAACTCAGTCGCAGAATACGTCGCAGAGTCAGTCGACGAGACAGACTCGTGGGAAGAGGGCAGCACCAGCCCCAGCAAAGGAGCCACCGGCGAAGAAGCCGCGGGCCACGCGAACAGTCATCGAAGTTGCCGATAGTGACGACAGCGAAGATGAGCTCCAGTTCAAGTTTGGCCGGCGGCGTTGAAGGGACTAGCGGGTGGCTGATAACGATGATGTATGACTTGCATTCGCGATGAGCGCTGCTTCTATTGGGGGGGGTATCTCTCTATCCGTATCCTGCATGCAGGCTTGACCCGTCGAATGATGGGCCAATTGCTGCCGTATCTTGCTGTATATGCCTCTCAGTACCTCTTCTCTCAGTACCTCTTCTATGTGAACCCAAAGTCCAAACTACGTGAATCAGTCCATCTCATCCATCGCACTCGGCTTCGCGCCCTCGTCCTCATCGACCAACAGGCCCACGAGACACGCGGAGAGCATAGTCTCGTAGTTGACCCAGGGATGAATCTCCCCAAACAGCTTCGTCGCGTCGCGTCCCGCGCCGCGCAGCAACTCGGGCTCGCCAGCCGGGTGATATGGCAGGTACGGCGTGATGTTATACACCCTTCCCCCCAACGCCATCCAGGCGTCCTTGCCCTTGCGGCCCGTCATCTTCTTGAGCATCGAGGGTGTTACCTTGAGGTACGGCGTCGAGGCGGGGAGGTTGCGCAGGTCGGCATTGGGGCCTGATATACGCGCCCAGTCGAGGGGGGAGTGGCCCGGCGTGAGGATGACTTTCCGGGTCGGTTTGGGGGCCTTGGCGGAGTGTGTTGGTGGCGGCGCGAGGGAGGAACCGAGGGAGGAGGAGCCTCCGGATGGTCCGCGGTTCGGTACGGGGCCGCGCGCGCGTTGAGGGGAGTTCATGGCGGGGAAGGCGGCTAGGCGTGGGGGCACTGGGCCGCGGGATGTCGAGGCGGGCGGCGGCATCATGTTGTTCGAAGTGGATGGCGGCGGCGGAGGGGGCATGCTTCCTTTGCCAAGCGCGGGCCTAGGGGAGGAAGATGCTGAAGAGAGTGTTGCGCCGAGGGAGGGCGCTGCGGGTGCCTTTGAGGATTCTTCGAGGGTGAAGGAGGGTATGGGTATGGCGGGGGAGGCAGGTTTCGCTTTTGGTGTTGTTTGTTCCTCGGTTTCTGGCTCGACTTCTGGCTCGGTTACCATGGGCGGTGCCGGAGGAAGAGGATTCGGGGACGAGCGACGGATGACCGGGGGAGGAGGAGCCATTGCGACGGCGGCGACGGCGGCGGTATCTTGTTGAACGGTTTTGGGCGGCGCGGGGGCCGGTGCGGCGACGGGGTCTTCGGGGAGGTTGAGCGTCGGCGGAGGAGGGGTTTCGCGTGGCTGTTCCTTGGGCAAGGGCTCGGATGCGTGCCCGTTCGCAGTCGTCTTGGATTCATGTTGGTCTTTGGGCGGCGGTGGAGGAGGGGACTTTGACCGCGCAGAGGGCGGTAGAAGCTTTGTGTCGTTTCGCCAGGCGAGGAGGAAGGGCGGCATGAAGGGGTGTATCCATGGCGGAGGGGCGAGGATGACCCAGACGAAGGAGGCGAGGATGAGGGAGACGCCGATGTAGCCCATGGTTGCGCCCCGGTGATGGGCCTCTGGCCGCGATGGGGGAGGCGGGGAGAGAGAGACAGAGAGAGAGAGAGAGAGAAGAGGTTGAGGAACAGCAGAAGCAATGTAATGAGCGTTGTTGACGTGTGATGTGAAAAAGCTTGCGGCTTAGTATAGAAGCTCTGGTCGTTGTGTCTTTTCCCTTTCCGAGGTTCTGTGCCAGATGGGAAGGAAATCTTTGTCAGCTTGCAGCGTCACCAGGGTGGTTGCAACGTCGACTTGGACTTTCCGAGGCCGCTGAGTGGTGCAAGCTTTAGCTCGCGGGCTGCTAAGCGACAAGGGTGCACGGGGTTCACTGGCGGGGTTCGAGCCAGCCCAGCGGCATGGCGCGCTACAGAGATATGCAGTCGCGAAGTCTGCAGAAGAAGCGCGCCAGAGCACAAGGTGATGAGGTAAGCGGTGCAAAGAGTCGAGAAACCGAGAAGGGAAAGGTACGTACCTCACGCTAAGGTCATCTGAGCCGGGCAACCAGCCAGACCCCCGGCACACGGGCTGACGGGTGGAAAAAGAAAATAAACGAGATGGAACCCGGACCCCCGACGCCGACCAAAACAAAAATAAGCCAGAGTGCCCTGGCAGGAGATAAAAAAGGGACAAAAGCAAAGATGATCGAAAGGTGACATGTCACCGCCGGACCCGCTAACCACTCACCATTTGCAGGCTAGAGGAGCCTACTGGCCGCCCCTCCACGCCCTCCTCACCGATCACAGGGACTGGGTGCCGAGGCAGGAGGCAGACAAGGCAGGGCAAGGTTGGTTTGAACTTTGATGGCTGCCTTTTGTGCAGGATGCCGTTGTGTTGAACCCGAGCGCATGAATAAACAAATGCCAATCGAGATGAACAATGGAGAAGGACGGCGACACGGAGAGCACGAATGCATGGTCAATGGATGCAGCAACAACACTTTACCACCCGACAGTTGAGAGGACGAGACGCGCACAATAATAGAAGCGTGGACCGAACCTGTCGTGGACTCATGGTTCCTGTGGTTCCCGCGTTTCTCATTGTTCTATCCGTACAGATACCAAATCGAGACGAGTCCGAACTGGGGTTCTGTCGACGGTGAAGAAAAACGATGTCATTTTGCATTTCTGCATCTCTCGTAATTATCGGACAGGCATCCTCTGGTTCCTTGTCTTTGCTGCTTGCCTTACCTTTGAATGACATTCATTCTTCAACTCGCGCCTCCTTCCCCTCTCACGTCCATTCCCGCGTCTCTTTCTAACCCGAACGCGTTTACTCTTCTTCTAGACTGAGCACCTGGCGGCGCATGTCTCACAGCCGGCATTGCTCCTGTTGATCACGATTGCATGTTTCAATCGCGGCGACGTTTGAGATCGAGTCTATTCGTTTGAAGAGATACGCCCGGCGACGCAGCGCAAAGACACGGGCGCACGCACCAAAGAAGGAGAGGGCGGAAGAGACAGACACACGACAACCTCAGTCTCTGGCCATCGAGGCCACCGACAGACCTCCTATCCTCACCGAGCGACTCTGGCCGACCTCCTTCCTGCGGGCCACATCCGAATAGAGCATACGAAAGACAGGATAGACAGCAGAAACGGTAGCGACATTTGACACACCGCATCGTGCGGCGTGCCTCGCACCGGAAGTTACAGGCTGTTCAACAACCCTCGCCCAACTTCAAAGGACCCTCTCAAACCACCCCACTGCACACACCGCAGACAAAATTGGCCTTGCGGAGGCCCTGCAGGTTTATTTCCAGAATTCACAAGGGACAGCCCGGCCCAGTGGTGGACACTGGGAGACAGAGACACAGGCTGCCAGGGACGAGGCCAAGAACTACTAGGGACTCCCGGATTCTTCGTCCAATGTCTTCAGCACGACGACCAAGTATCTCTTCCCGAACCACCACCTCCTTTTCGCTGTGCTCCAAAGTGGAGGTACTTCCTCACCCCTAGCCTCCGCACCCTCACCTGCAGGTACGTACCCGCAGGTAGGTGCCCCCTCAGAAAATGCGAGCGCTCTCCTCCGTGGGCGTGGGCGGCGGCGGTAGCGACACCAGCAATACCAGCAGAAGAAGCAACAACACGCCGTCCGGTTGCGACAATCTCTCGACTGCTCCCCCGGCCCCGTCTCCCTCACCTTCACCCAGGCACGCCGGCGATCCATTGACATCGCCGCCACCGAAAAGCATTCAGGCGCACACTCCCGCCCGTCCCCAGCAAGGCAAGCCGCACCCAAGCCACCAACAACACCAAAAACACCTCGTCGTCAAGCAAGGAAAGCAGCCGCCGCCCGACTCGTCCCGACCCAGGAGGAACATCAGGCCATCCATCACACCCGCCACCCGCATCAACCCCGCCGCATCTGCTCATCGCACATCATCCAACCCGTCCAGACCACCTGGGACGACGACGGCATCATCTCGCCCATCGGCTGTCCCCTCGGGTTCTTCTGGTGCCTCTGCTGGTCCAACCTCCGCAACATCGTCGCCCGCCGCCGTCGCTGTCGACCGCAAACCCGTAGCGGCCCAGCTCCGAACCACAAATAATCCCACCTCGACTACTAACACCAATCCCGCCGCTGTCGATCCCTCTCCCACCCCTACTGCTGCTACGGCTGCGGCAGCTCCTACCACCACCACCACCACCACCACCACCACACGCCAACCACGGCCACTTACCGCTGCTGCCACTGGCCCACCAACGACAAACGGGCCCCGACGCATCACAGCTGCTGCCACCAGTACCAGCACTACCACCACCACCAAAACAAGCACCACTACCGCCGGCCCAAACACAACATCGTCACCCTCACCTCCCACCACCACCACCACCACCACCTCGTCAACACCGACAACAACACCATTACCACCACACTCAACGCCAACGTCAACGCCATCCTCTACCTCGAGACGACGACCGCCTACCCTGTCCTCCAGCTTGCGCACACCACTCCACACACGAGACCAAAATGTCCTGAACCCCTCTCGTCCTGCAAACGCCGCGCGAGCGAAGCCTTCCCCTACCCCGTCACCCACCGGCACATCCTCAGCGTACGCTTCCGCTCCCTCCACACCCACCATGCCCCCCTACGAGAAAGGGGGCAGCACCACCGCCCGCCAACCCGCGATGCCTTCCCTCAGCGCAAAGGCAATCAGCCGAACTCCTCTGACCCCGAAAGTCGCTGCGAAACCTTCTCCCCCCGTCGTGACCCCCATGGGCCGTCGCCGCAACGACAACACAAGTAATAACATCAATCACCCCACGCTACCGCACACAAATGGCGCTGTTGTGAGGGACGACCTGACGAGCCCTGCGCCTTTCCTGGCGGCGAGCAACGTCACCCCTCGCACCGGGAGTCGTCAGAGCCGTGTCAACAGTGCCAACACAACTCCGAATGGCACTCCGGATCCGGACAGGAACGAATGGGAGCGCCAGCCGACACTTGAGCCTCCGAGGCGGCAGGTCGTCACCTTCAGCCCGCCTTCGAGCGTCAGCAGCAGGAACGACGCAAACGATTCCAAGTTTTTTTACGCTAGCGAGGCAAAACCGTCGCAACCTTCCCAACCGAAAGTTCAGCCTCTCAAAGCTCAGCCCAGACCTCAAGCTCTCCAGCAGCGAGGCTCGACTTTCATGTACGCCAATGGCGGTGCTGTCGAGAAGAATAGGCCTACATCACCCGGCATTGGTTTCACCCCCGTCCTGGCGCCGTCGCTTGCACCGTCCCTCTCTCCGCCTCTCGCGCCGACGCCGGAGCCGCCATCGAGCAAGTTCTTCTACGCCAATGGAGCTCCGAACTTACAGCCTGGCTTCCGGCCCTCGTCTGCGGCGTCGATGACGGGATCAGTCACTTCGGGGTCGAGCAAGCTGCATAGGATATCAGCAGGCTCCGCGAATGGCTTCCCTCTGGCCCAGCGCCCTCTGTCGCCGAACAAGCCAGCCCAACCCCCGACGTCCGCGCCGTTAGTCAAGAGCAATAGCATGCCGCCTCAGACCGTTGGCCGAGCCCAAATGACAAGTCCTCCGCCGCTTGCACCGCCATCACATAAGCGTAGGACGAGCACCGATACGCTTTCGCAGGTGGCCAGTTATGCTGGATCAGAAGCGCCAGCGACAGATGCCATGATCATGTCCAGGTTCATGGCTTCACAGTCATCGACGCCTTCCGAGTTGCCGTCTCCGACAGTACCGAGTTTCTTCGCCCAGCAACCGATCACGATTGCATCGATATTACAGGCAGCAGATGACCTTGAAGAAGAGGAGGAAGATTCCGCTGATGAGTCCGATGACCTCGAGGACCTTCACAGCCCGACCAAATCATCCCACGGTGACCCGCTGAACGACATGGTCCTTAATGCAAGACGAGAGCGCAAGGTTCAGGATCTGGAAATTACCAACGCGTCTCTCGAGGCAATCAACAGGTCGCTGGAGAAACAATTACGAAAGCAGACCGCAGAGCTCAGGAGGTACAAGAGGCTGTCAAGGTCCGGTCGTATATCCATTCCTCCCTCGGGCGGGTCGAGCCGCATGACTTCCGTCGAATCTACCCCTGCGGGCCTAGGCATTGAAGGACTGGACTTATCGGATCTCAGCGAGGAGGAGGCGGAGGAAGAGATGGACGATTCCATGTTTGAGTCATCAGAGTTTTCTGAAACGGATTCCATGTCAATCTCGAGCCCTAAGCAAGATCCAGAACGAGACCTACGCCGCCGGACTCGGGACGAGAAGCGCCTGCGCTTGGATCTCTCCAAGCATAGGGAACTGCTTGTTGATAGCCAAAAAATCAACGTGAGCATCAAGAGATGCTTGAATTGGACAGAAGAGCTTATCAAGGAGGGTAAGAAGGCCCTCGAGTATAGCGTCCGCCCTAGCGATGTGGAGCTGCCCCCGCGGGTGCTCCGCCCGGCATACCTGGAGGAGAACGAAGATTGGGAGCGGGGACAGAAGGACGAGTTCACAACCTCATTACCGAGCAGCCCATTAGATTCCCCAAGGAGTCTTTCGCCACACTGGAGCAAACCGCAAGACCGCGATAGTGGCATCGAGCTGCCTCCGGATGAAGCATCGAAGAGGTACAACACAATAACATAATCTATTCAGCAGACTGGATCTCCCGTCGCGGCCTGGACGTGGCGGCGGTATCGCACAACATCACCACTCACGGAACACACACACATTTTTCTTACAAAATATTTCGTCTTCTTTGCATGGCACGGGGATCAGCTCTGGTTTAGGATAAGTCGGAACCACGGCGTTTTCTTTTGTTTTCCATGGGAGGCCTCCGAGAAAGAAGGGAAAGGTTTCATCCCAGTCGGCGAGGCATCGTCTCTTCCCTCCAGGGGTGTCAAGAGACCTGCCGCATACTCACTGCTTTTTATACCTATTTTTTTTTTTCTGGTTCTCTCCTTTGTCACACTGTTTTTGTGTACCAACAGATACCCCAAAGCACTTTACATATAAACAATGGAACATAAAGGGGCGGGCCGAATGAGATATTCATGGCCGCGCTTGGTTTGGTTTGGGAACTTGTTGGCTCTGCGCAGAATTGGAGCAGAGCACGGAAAAAACGAGACAGTGGAAAAGAAGACGAGGGCGGGATCAAGCTAGCAGTGGCGAGCCGATTTGTATCATAGCAAATTCAAGCCAAGAAGGCCGGTGAAAAGACCTGGCCGCGATTTTAAATCCTATACCTTATAATAGGTTTCTTGCTCATAAGGTGTGATTGGCGAGAAAGCTCGCCCTGGTGGTGGAATTGTGGCTGAAGTTGAATTTACAACTTCAATCTCTCTCTAGCCGCAAGGTCGTGACTGTGATGAATCTGCCGCAGGCTAGAGACTTTTGTTACGAGAAGAAGAACTTGTGAGACATTAGGTTGTCAATTTCTCAACGTTCTCACTGGAGAGTGGGTATTCAGAGTCAAATTTCCACATGATGCTCTTTTTGATGTGTCCCTGTTTAACTTCTCGGCATCGGCCGAGTTCTAGACATGGGACGAGCCGAGAGTAGGAGGATGGGACGTTTGGCTAAGAGTAAGACTTTTTTGCCCGATTTGCTTCGATCTCTTGCTGTTTATTCTAGGTTATGTAACGATCTGTTAATGATGACAGCGGTGATGTTGGTGATCGTGGTGACAACACTAGTGCCCATGCTTGCCGTCAAATAGTAGCCGCGGCCTGCAGTGCAGATTCTTCCATGTAAATATATGACTGGGGTCGGAGTAGTATTTATGTGAAGAAAACATTATGGGGGTTAGTAGCAGCCTTGTGTATGATGTTCCATCTTGGATGGGTCACCTCATTTAGAACTATTAGGGTGTTCCGAAAAGAAGATTCGAATAGGCAAAGATAGACGAAGCAAGGTACCACTACATAGCCTGGAGAAATGCCTCCTGCATTCTTTTCCTCCTATTTTGTACCAATCGCCCTGTGACTATACAATCGACAAGTCGGGGATGTTTTTGCCGGACAGACCCTTGTTGAAGCTCGGGATATCTGGCTTCAAGTTGGCAACGGCTTAGATGGACTCAAGGACGCTGAGCAAGAGCATGCTTTAATCATTGCCTCCAAACCAGCTCTCAAGTCAGATCTATTGGTTGGTTTTCTTCAACTGCTCACAACCTTCTGATGCCTACTTTATATTAGGGAAGCAGTTATGATTCTGCCTAGCGACCTTACTGCCCAGATCTTTCTCACGTACACTCCTTGCCGTTCGCAAAAGCACCCAGATTCAGATAGGAGATAAGATCGTCAGGGGCAGATTTTGTGAAAGGGGGAAAGCGAGCGGTGTAATGTTTTCAAATATCGCGTCAGGCTTGCTTCAAGAAACTGTTTGAGTGGAGATCACCCGGGCGTTGAAAGTTACATTAATGTTGGCAATTGTCTCAAAGTTCTTGATAATTAAACATGCACTATGAACTCTAACCTCTCGATACTCGACACCAAGTACGCAGCAGTTTTTCTACTTAGGAGGCATCATTCATCAAGGGAGCTGGTCGCTTTTCCCCCATTACTTCGAGAACAACGGTTGGAGGTGTGGATTTGCAAACGGCTGCACCTGTCTAATTCCGTTTCGGTGATTGTTTCAAGGGGATGTGGCCGCCGCTTGACGGCCGCTGTGGCTATTCGAAGCCAGTCGCTTTTACGGCTCCATGATAGGTATAGTTACTGTGCCACAGGAAGACCTAGACGCCGGCGAGAAGAGGAGAGCTTATCGCGTGATTCAATAGGGGTTCTGAGCGCCGGCGAACTCCACATGCAACGCCCTCGTTGATGGCCGATTCACAACTGGTACACTTAGCCTTCCATGACCCCGGAGAGAGACCACACCAACACGACATTGAAACCTCTTATTGGTGACGGATGGTTCCCATCTTCAATCGCTCATCAAGGCTGTCTAGCTGGATGTCAGGGCGCGTTGGTATACAAGTGAGGAAGGCAGCAGAGGGTCGCTTTACAAAGGGATCTTGAGGTAGGTATGGCTAGTTGGCAGCATTCGAATCTAGCTGGGCCCTGAAGTGGCTGGAATAGTGAAGAATTGAGTGAAGGTACAGGCTTAATTCCTTCGATGGGGTAAGGGACAGATGTGCCCCACTAGTATCCATTTACAAACAAACGTCGGGATCACCAACAAGGCAGATGCAGCCAGCGTACCAGGCTGCATCCAACAAAGCAACAGAAGGTCTGAGAATCCAATGAAAAGGAGGGTTTTATATCCCTCATACGACTGCTAGGGGCCCACCAGAGAGCACCCTTGTCAGGCACCTGACACTGGATCCCTCCAAGCAGGTCGGCCTGCACAACCCAGAAAAGCTCTTCTCTTGCAACTCACCACCTTCATTCATCTCAGCCAAGCTCACGTCCTTCCACTCTGGAATTGCATCGAAACCACATCCTCCGCCAATGGCTGATTCGATCAGGCGCCAACGCGCCAAAGAATTGGTCCGGGCCATTGCCAAAGAGCATGGCTATCTCGATGGCGAGACTTTGCAACGCCTTGACCCCGAGATACGCCGCGAAATCGAGGAAGCTTTCTTCAAGAAGGATCAGATGATTGGATCCAGTGTTATCACGTATGTGTCTGGATACCTTGAGGTTTACGAAAAGAGTCTGACCTCGGGAGAAAAGACTCGCAAAGAATTTATACTCTAGCAAGGCCCGTTTTGTTTTCGAGCTCCTCCAGAACGCCGATGACAATCAGTATACGAAGGCCAGAGAATCTGGTTCCGTGCCGTTTGTGTCTTTTCGGGTCTTCCCCAATAAAGTCGTCCTCGAATGCAATGAGGACGGGTTCAGCTCTGAGAACCTCACCGCGATTTGTTCGGTCGGGAAAAGCTCCAAGATCGGAGCCCAGGGCTACATAGGAGAGAAGGGCATCGGCTTCAAGTCTGTCTTCATGGTAGCCTGGAAAGTGCACATTCAGTCAAATGCTTTCTCTTTCTCTTTCACACACAAGAAAGGGGACTCGGGGATGGGTATGATATCGCCAGTATGGGAAGACACCGACGAGAAGCTGAGGTCGCCGTTGACCAGAATTACCCTTCATCTTTACGACGCCGGCGACACAGCTGCGAGAACACGTGAATCAATTCGGTCTCAGTTTGAAGAACTCCAAGCAACCATGCTCTTGTTTTTGAAAAACATTCGAAGCATACAGATCGAGTTCTACGACAGCAAGGGACAACAAACGTCTTCAGTGGTTTACAATGTCACTCAACTGAATTCAGGCCTTACGACACTGAGAAAGATCAGAACGGCGAACACAACGTCCAAAACAGATACCAGCCACTTTCGAGTCATACGTCATGCCGCGAAGAACTTGGCACGCAGCGAAAACAGGACCTACTCAGAGTCTGAAGAGGCCGTCCGAGCGTACTCAAAGTCTGAAGTCATCCTCGCATTTCCAGTCTCGGACACATCAGTTCCCATAGTAGAGCCCCAAGAGATCTTTGCTTTCCTCCCAGTGAGGCCAGTCGGATTCAACTTTCTGATCCAAGCCGACTTTGTCACAGACGCCAACAGACAAGACATTGTCAACGACTCTCTCCGCAACGCCGACCTTCTGAATGCCATCGCCGAGGCATTTGTCACTTGGGTATTGCAAATTTGCGACCACGAGTCCTTGCGATATCGGTGGGTCAAGTATCTGCCAGACAAAGGGCACTTGTCGTCTCTTCTTCCATTCTGGCGTACTTTGGTGACCAAGATCGATGAAAGACTTCAGAAGGCGCCCGCTTTCTACGACCATAAAGCCTCTGGTGGACGGTTGCTAAGCGAACTTGTCCGAGTCACTCCTAACATGGTTGATGAAAGAGGAAAGCTTCTATTAGACGATGGCAAACCAGCAGAGACCATCTCGCGGATATACGACGAGGAAGATATTGATATCCTAAAAAGCTACGGGCTGCAAACCCCCAGGTATGATCACTTCTTGAGGTGGCTGAGAGCAGACCTCGTCGATGAGTATACGTCGCGGATGAAGTCCAGAAGGATATCCAGAGATTGGCACGACAAGATGGCAAGAACGTTGAGTATTGCATTCGACAAAGGGTTCATTTCATCCATTGAGAAAATCAAGCAGATGGACCTCATACCTCTTGAAGATGGCACTTGGGTCTCTGCATTGTCAGGTCCAATCTACTTTCCCAATTTCCATGACCTGGATATTCCTGTCGATGTCGGTCTGAAGCTTCTCTCCAAGGCAGTGAAGATTCCGAGTAGACTTCGTCTTTTCAAGTTTCTGGGCGTGACGAACGCTCCACTACAACTCGTGCAACAAGCCATTAAATACCAGTACGACAATACCGAAGCCCAAAAGAAGCTTTGTTTCCAAGCTTCGAAACAGCACCTCGAATTCATGTACTTGACCGACCATCTCAAAGAAGGCAGCAATCGGATCAAAAACCTCAAAGTTTTCGACCACAACTTCCATCTCCAGGACGGCAAAATGAAAATAATGTACCTTCCCAACGATGATACATGTGATCTTTGGAAGGTCTTCAGCAAGACCGACCCAGGCCCAAATCTCGGTGATGGTGCACCTGGCTGCGATGTCCTCTTTATCCACAGCAATTACTTCGATGACGCACCAGCTACCCCGGAAGGTCAAAAACATTCATGGCGCTCTTGGCTTATCGATTACACGTCCGTTCGAAAGTACGTGGACTTTGAACCACAAATAGGTCCCCTCTTTGTGAGTCTTAAGGATGACGCACGATACATCCAAACACACAGGCCAGAGAAGTTCATGGAATGTCTCCTCCAATATCATCACGCTAAAAATGAGGAAGGCTTCTCACCTCAAGCCATCGCTTGTCTCAGACAAATCACTGTTCTATGCCGAGGCAATCGCAAGATTCCTCTAGAGGATATTTATTTCCCTGTGCAGAGACTCGAGGGACGCGTGTTGCGTTTTCTCGGCGACGGCGCCTTCTTCCCCTGGCTTTGGCTGGATGGCGACGAGATCCATGAAGAAATTCCGCCGAAGTGGAAAGGATTACTCACGAGCCTTGGTATTGGCCGGCCTGCTAGCGACCTCGAATTTGCCGCGTACATGCTCATGTATTTTTCCGAGAATTTTTCAGACTCTATGGAATCGGAATATAAAGACAGGTTATTTAAGTTGTATCAGCATCTTCAGACGCAGTGCACAGAAAGCAAGAACCGAGTCACAGCAGCAGAAATGATACGGTATGTAAGATGCCACGCCGCCATTTGAGTATATACTGATACCTGCAGAAACGTTTTCCAGCTCACAATGTGCATCTACATTCCGCTCGCGAATGACGAATTCGATTGGGTTTCGCCAAACGAATGTGTTTGGGAAGCACCGCAAGAGATGGCGACCAAATTTGATCTGCAACGGCTCTATCAGCCTTGGCTTAGTGCCGACGACGTGGATAGCTCCATTCTTACGCATCTCTTCAGAAGCACACTCAACATTGGGGATTGTACGTGGGACATACTTGTTGACGAACTGCGGGAAATCAAGGAATTGGAATGGGATGATACTGACAGAACCGGTACCATTTACCGTGCTTTGCATGAGCTGGCCACAAGCAATGTAGCAACCAATAGCGATGAGCTCAAGTATGATTAGACTGGCAGTCTCTTCTATGACCACAGCTGACTGGTTTCGTACTCTAGGGCACCATTTGAGAGCGAGGCACTGATCTTTGTCCCGTCATCGGATGATGGGCCGTCCTGGCACAAAGCGTCAGAATGTGTATGGTCAAGCGCGACCAAGTTGAGAGGAAGAGTGTCTCTCACAGACGACTACGAAGATCTGGAAGGTTTCTTCGTCGACCATCTGGGTGTCAAACCAGTGGACCTCTCAATGGCCATTGACGAGTTGAAGGACGTCGCAATGAGGGGATCGGCGGCGTTGAAGGAAATCAAGGAATCCATCTGGGTTGTCAACTCACTGCTGTCATCGGTTTCGAAGCCTCCTAGCCCCCGGTGTTTGTCAAAGTCTCGGATCTTCCCCGTCAAGCGCCCAGATGGGCACGTTGAGGCAGAAACCGAGGCCACGGAGTTTTGCGTCATTGACCGGGAGCCGCTCGAATCCTTGTTCAAGGACAAGATAAAGCTTCTCGACTTTACTTTAGAGCAAGTCGCCCGGCTGCGTCCATTCATTGAATGGGTACAGCTGCAAGATCGATACATTTCATGCTGCGTCAAAGAAATCACCTCTTTCCACGGCGGAGCCTCCATGCCAACTCTGACGTTGAACTCTCAGCGACAGATTCGGAACCGTGCGCATGCTCTCCTCAGGTCAGTATTTTACCAAGGCTCTTGTCTGTATTTCTTCATACTAAACTTTCAAATAGGGTTGCGGCGCACTTTGATAGCCCTCGTTGCCAAAGTAAACGAGACATGAACATATTCTACGATATCCTGAGATCAGCGCAAATTTTCGAGACTGATAGCATCTCTGCGAACCTCCGTCTCGTCCAGGATGGAACCTCTTATGTCATCGAGGGCAAAACGACAACACTGCATATAGACGAAGCTCATTCGAGCTTGAAAGTCTACCTACCGCGAGACAAAACTGACCAGAAATACATGTTTACCAACGTGCTGCCGCAAAAGCTCCTAGAGTGGATGATGAGACATCCAGTAACACATATCTCCCGAGATGTCACTGGCAGCAGCTTGGATGCGATCAAGAACGTTCTGCTGGCACCGCTTCCCTTGATCACTAGAGCTCTTCAGGACAGCGGTATAACCAAGGTTCAAGTTGTCAATCGTGACGAGGCCATGGCATCAGAAGCGGATCTCTCGGCATTGGCAGCCTCGAATTCCCACAGCGAGGACAGCACCAGTTCAGATGATGGTGCATCAGACCTTTCGAGTTCTAGCAAACCAGATTTCTTTGACTCTGCCTACTCAGAAGACTCTGCCCACTCAGAAGACTCGGCCCACTCAGAAGACTCGGCCCACTCAGAAGACTCTGCCCACTCAGATAACTTGACCGACTCGGAGAACTTTGCGACAGGCGTGTCGTCCTTGCAGAGGCAGCCCAACGCCCCGCCCAGCAGACTCGTCCGGCCTATCCCGCTGACGCCCTCCTCTGGCGAATTTCAGGACGATACCACTAGTGACGCCCGCTTTATTTCCCTCTTGGATAAGGTTATTGCTGCAGGGCGCAGAAGACGGGTCAATTTGCTGCCAGTCTGTGGAACGTTCAACATGAGCCAGCTGCAAGACGATCTTCCAGCCTCTCGCCGGGATACGGATTTCGGCTTACGCTCAGCGCCTCAAATTGAAAGAGATTGCAAGGTCGGTGCAGCGGGCGAGTTGTTTGTAAGTTGTAATCCTGATTCATATGCTAGCCCGTGTGACTAAATGGTAGCAACATCAGGTCTTTGAGCTCCTGTCTCACTTGTATGAGGATAACTCTCCCCTCCCACCGCTACCTGGGTTCTCCAGGAGCAGCTGGCAAAGTACTATTCGCAAGTACGTGAGAGTGCATCCAGAGTACGCAGACATGTCACCGTGGAGTGGCCGAGAGACCTCGGACATTGTATACCACGACACCAGCAATAGGTTGACGGATCTCTTCATCGACAAGAACTACCTCCAGGAGCAGTCGCGGGGCTCGGTATCTCGCGGCCTAAAGTACTTTATCGAGGTCAAGACAACAACAATGGCGTGCGAGACACCATTTTACATGAGCAAAGCTCAATACAAAAGAGTCAGTCTCCTTCTTCTCGTCCATACTATAATGTCGCGTTTTCCAAAAAGATCATACATGGTTAACAAGTTGCAGATGAGGGAGAATGTCATGACCGAAAATAACGACACAGTCTATGTCATTTTCCGGGTATATAATCTTGGCCAGGAAAGCATGGGTTTCAGGGTATACCTGGACCCGGAGACTCTAAGAAGCTCCGGGCAGTTGAAATTCACCGCCGAAAATTGGTCAGTGATTCCTGGGTAAGGTTGTGATGGATCTCGAGATGAGCATAGTTCGACGTTGGAGTTTCGGCATTCCTCAGATCTCGCCAGGGTGGACAGGAACAAATTTACCGGCAGTTGGCGCAAAGTTAGTGCTGTCTTGGTACCTCGAAAAAATAAGTTTGACGCAGGGTACTAGCACCTCAAAGGCTGTACTTGTCCACACATATCAAACAGCAAAACGTGTGAAGAAGCCAATTCACTCAACTTTGAGCCGCAAAAGCAATCGATCCAAAGACACAAAAATCAAGAAACGATATTGGCAGCAGTTGATCTGACCCATTCAATGCCTCGTGGCGGAATCGAACCGCCGATCTTCTCATGTCACTAGGTACTAGTGAGACGCTATACCACTTAGCCAACAAGGCGGTGTTTGACCTGCGACTCAGGGAGCTCAAGGCCCGTTGCACCGCGAGATGCCCACTTGCAGGCGACTCCAGTAGGCGAAAGGACCAGGGGCCAAACTCCACCTCAAAGGCCTGTAATTCACGGAGAATTTGAATGGTTTCCTCGATGGTTCACCCCCTTCATGTTCTTCTTCCTCGTACCTCCCATCATTCTTTATTCAAGCAATGTATCGATTCGCAGTTTTGCAACCAGCTGTTGACCCCCCCCTATTAATCTTTGATGACCCGAATCGGATGTTCTTCACCACTGCATTTGAACTGTGATGTAAAAGTCTTGAAGAGACTATTACAGCGACATCTCAATTCGAACAATGACATCTCGTAAAATGTGCTAACAATTATCGAGTAATACAGCCCCAAAAGATTTGAAAAAGGAAGAAAAAAAAAACCCACAGATAAGGCAATTGCACACTCGTTTTCCACCTGTTGACTCGCAGAAAAAAGGACTCCATATGCCCTCTTGATGAAGTACCTCCCCTCACTAAACTTCAAGCACAGCACGCCGGGAATCCCTCGCTCTGATCCTAGCTCGTCACAGGTGGTTCCCAAGTCTGTCCCCGAGCCTCTAAAAATCTTACTTTGCCAACCAACCGCAACTTGGATATCTCATTCCACGACGTTGAGTTCGAATGAATTACAAGGGGTCTACATATTCTTCATGTGTCGGCTCTGACGACCCGCGGCTGCATCATCTAGATACGCAGTCAAACGAGAATTGTATTCCCAGCGACTGCTTTGAGACTTTTGTCGCGATTAGCATCGGTGTTTTTGGTTTTTGGTCTTAATTCATGTCACGCGGCATCGGCAGTAAGCTTAATACCTTGGGCACGATAACGGCTGCCTTTCTCAGCAAATGAAAGCTTTTTGTTGACCTTGTGTGTATGACTGGAGCCAAAAAAAAAAGGGGGATTCGCAATTCTTTAGCATGCAAATGCAAAGAGCCACACAACAGGATGCTGCAAATACAACAGAGTACCAAGTCTTCCCTCCCTATGAACTCCGAATTACCCATCGTTGCACGTGCCGAGCCCAAACTCCGTCAAGGTAGCAAGAGAACCACAGACCCAGAGCTGACCCAGAGCTTTCCCAAACCAGATTAGGGGTATGATGCTGTCCATCTATGGCGTAGAAATCTCGAATTAACGCCCCTAATGTGACCCCTTGTTTGCTGTGCTTGCATGTTCGTTGTGTGTTGTTGTCGTCAAATTGCAAAAAAGAAAACCGCTGCGCGGATGTATGGCAAGTTGTTTTGGTGTATCGTCGAAGTCTGGCGACCGCTTCAAGGTAATGCAGCAACGCTGCCAGCCAGTAATGCGTAGTTGGCGAGTTTAAGGGACAATACTCGCGATCGAGGATAATCAGGGCTGATGATCATGCGGCCGTCCTTGTTGAATCCAACTTCGCCAAATGACTCGCTCAACTGCTCAAATTTTGCATTTGGCCGGACTCGATTCAGCTCTGCCAGGATGTTATCGCTCCAGACACCGGAACACCAGCCGTCTCTCAGGACAAAGTAGGGATTCAAGGGAGGGACGGGGGAGTCTGGATTTCGTTAGCAAGGAGGAAAGTCTAAAGATGAGAGACATAACTCACCCAAGTCTACGAAGCGAATCCGTAGGTAGTCCAAAGCCTTGAGAGTCGACATGGAGTGGATGCCTGCTAGCACAAGCATCTCGAAAGAGTGAATAAAATTCATGTCCTGGATACCGCTGCCAGAATCGTGGAACTGGGGCACAGGGCGACAACAATTTTTGACCGTAAGATCAATCGTCTTGAGCCGCGTCGTTCTCGAATCCGATCTCATCGCCGCCATATTGAAGAAATTCTTGCAAACGCGGCCTGTATAAGCCAGGTGCTCCAGCGCGGGGGTTGCCTCGGCCAGTCTCGTGCAAAAGTGGACTTGGTTGGAAACTTTCATGTAAAACGGAGGGCACGTGAGCTCCCGTCGGTAGTCGCTTTCCAGGCATAGGTTGAGATATGTGAGGTTGGTAGGTAATTTGGGAAGGATGCTGGCCATGCTCAGGTAACTCTTTGACTTGGGCTTGCTGTATGAGCCGTGCCATTCGTTGAGGTTTGGAAGAGCCGCGAGGAAGGCTGAGAAATCCGAATCCTCGCGCATCAGGTTCCACTGACCCTTGGTGACCAAGGTACGAACCGAATCGAGGGTCGGCAGATGCCAGCCTGCGGGCCGCTTATGCCAGCTGTGCTGTACCTTTGGCGCCTTTTTTCTTTCGCCTCCCTCGATGGTTAGAACGCAGACGTCAGGCAGGGCCATGGAAACAAAGGTGAAGGCCTCTTCGAGACTGCAGTTATTGGCAGGTAGAGTGTAGGTCGCATTCGTCAAGCCGTCCATAGTAACGGTGGGAAGAGCAAGAGTAGTGCTCAACGCCAACGGACCGTACTTTGGTTGGAAGACTGGAAACCAAATCTCAATGTGCTTGACGTAGTGGCGGAGGTGGTTGTGTTCGCTGAAATACATCATGGCCAGCTCTAGCGATTCGATAGTGGCCTTGATCTTGATATGACGGTATAGACGCTCCTGGATCAGGACCCTCCAGACGGGACTGACGAGGGCAAGCTCCGATAATTCCCTCCGTCGGGAATGACGAAGTGCTGTTCCCCAACTCTTGGTCACGCTCTGCATTCCTACCGAGCTCTTGGAGGACGTGGATACTCGGTATCCGAAAAGGTGATCGAGGATACATTCGTGGATTTCGGCAGGTAGGTCATTCAGGTTTAGGGAGGGCGTGACCTCGGGGGTCTCGAGGGAGTAGGAGGGGGTAGTGATGCCCGGGCCTCCGCAGGCATCGATGTCGTCGGCCATCGGAGTGCAGCAATCCGAGTTCCGCTGATCGGGGTGCAAGAAGGGGGTGCTGCTTGGGCGAGTCGGGGGCACGAAATCATTGCTCTTTACCTGCTCGAGTGGTGGGCTAGATGGGCCGGGAGATACAGGGTTGGATGCGGTGTTGAGTATGGTTGAAAGGATGGAGGCAGAGGCTGTCATAATCGAGGTCAACTCTTCAGTGGCGTTGGCGTTGGCATTGTAGTCGTCTCGCGACTGTCGCCTATCGATACCGGAAGGGTCTCGGTCTCGGGGGACGTTGTTCGTGACGTCGGCGTCGTCGTCGGTTGAAAGAAATGACTGCTCGACGCAAACGGACATGGTTGTCGGATCGGAAAGGAGTCTGGGTCGAAAAAACTAAGATTTTCGGAGGGGGATGGTTGAAGCCGTTCCTAGATCATGGCCAGACGGTCCAGGGGGGGGGGGGGGGGGGGGGGGGGGGGGGGGAGGGGGGGGGGGGGGGGGGGGGAGGGGGGCGGGAACAGTGGGAGGGGGGGGGGGGGGGGGGGCCGGGGGGGGGGGGGGGGGGGGGGGGGGGGGGGGGAGACGGGGAGCGGCGGCGAGGGCGGCGATAGCGGGAGAGAGAAAACAGGCGAAGGGAGATTGGCCCTGGGCTGCTTTGACGATGGTGGGGGAAATGAAGTCCCAATAATTCAGAGACCCTGGATACCCAGACCGGGGGGGTCACAGCAATGCTGCAGCTGTTTTGGTCGGCTGGCGGCCGTATTCGTCAGGTTGGTCCCAGTGGAAAGTAGCGCTGCGCTGGGGTCTTTTTTCGCTTCGCCCAAGCCACTTAACGCGGTCGGTCGCGTGCGCAGCGGCAGGGAAACGGCCCAATGAGTGGAAGCACCGATAAGAGGGACGGCGGGAGGAGAGGAGACGAGGAGAGAAGACGAGGAGAAGAGGGAGGGGTGGAGGCCAAGGCGGAGGGAGAGATGGACGGCCGGCAGGTTGAAGAGGGCGAGAGAAACGGGTGAAATGATTGGCGGCAACGGGAGGAGGCTGGTTTGGTCGAAAGAATGAAAGTGTCGACTATTGGCGACACGAAATGCGAGCGGGAGAGGTGAGAGAGGAAAGATAGGAAGACAAGGGAAGCGGTAGAAGAAGAAAGACCAAGGTAAGTAAGTTATCCGTCGGTGGTCCGCCAAAGTGGAATGAGGGAAATCAAGGCGTGATGTCGTAGCAGGTCGCCTTCACAAGACAAAGTGAACAACAAGATCAAGAGGAGGCAGAAGAAGGATGTGGACGTGGATGCGGATGCGGATGCGGATGTGGAAAAAGGGTTCGGCGTTGTTCAATGCTGTGTCTGGAAATGAAACGAGTACCGGACATTGAGAAAATGGTCGAGCGGACGGGAAGCGCAAGGCGTAGACAGCAAAGACTAGGCTGCGTCTGCGTATGCGTATGCGCCTGCAACTGCGCCTGCGCCTGCGTTAGGTGAGGCAGTGGCGGTGGTGGTGGTGGTGGTGGTGGTTGTGCGGGTGCGGTGCGGGTGCCGGTGTGGCACGGTACCTAAGGTGAGAGAGAGGACGGTCAGGTAAAAAAGGGGAGGCGACCCCGACTGCGGCCGGCGTGCTAAGGCACAGCAATGCTGTTGTTATGCCACTACTGTTCACTGCTGTTCACTGGTGAAGCAGGCGAACTGTCGACGGGGGTGGCGTGGTTGGCTTCGCGTTTCCGCACTGGGAAGGCAGTGTGGCACAAGATTGGATGGGCAGAATACGGCAACGACTC